ATAGTGGCGCTATGCCATAACCATATTCCTGCAGGCTTTCTCGCAGCTTAGTTAGACGATGAGTGACCAGTTTTGCTAGTCTGCCTTGCCCACTGCTTAATTGGTGTCTGTTTGACCAATACACCCCTCAAACATGCACAAGCCCTTGATACCGAAATGGCATCGATCGTCTCTCCAGGCAGCGACATAAATCAATCTGTGGACTGCAGTAGTCTAGGCCGATCGAAGCTGAGCCCCTCGAGCTGGAGGCGGTTTCATTACTAGGACGCAATCTGGTTTGACCGGAGCATTTCGCGGCGTGATCTCTAGTGCTCTGAAGGGAGGGATCATGGCCGTTTCGTTGATCCCTAGGGTTGTTTCTGGGGATCTTTTTAAGAGCACGGAACCGTGGCGCGTCTGAAACATGCGTGGCGCCCATGAATCGTGCGTGTTAAAATGTTTGATGGCTCGTTGAGTTGGCTTGGCTTTTTCAGCTTTCCTGCAAGTGGACTTAGTGTTTAACTGAAGGGTGGGGATACCGCGCGCGTAAATTAGCTCGAGTGACTACCATAGCTTCACAAAGCTGAAACCCAATTCTTGCCTTATGAACACTGTTTCTTCATGCCGATGATCAAAAAGCTCGAGGTTCAGAACCACAAATCCGTTTTCTACTTGATTTCTTGCAATTGCTCTGCTGTAATAGATTCAAAGTAGTGCCGCATACTTGCATATAAACGGGCTGAGCTCTCTTGAAATGGCTAGTGCTGTCCAGTTTAGGTAGTATGCAGCAAGCCCCTGACATATTCTGATACCCATCTGAAGACCAACATGCCATTCCAAGTATTGATCAAAAGAGTGAAGTTAGGCTATAAGTGCTGTTCTGGTGAGTAGAATAACATATTGTATTCAGAACTTCCGAATCGAAAGTGGTTTAATCATCTGGTAGACATAGACGACCCAAGAAAGATAGTCATCGAAAGTAATATCCAAGGAAATGTTGCGACAGAACAAGTGAGTCAACTGATCAACCGACAATTCTCAAAAGTCGAAATTGATCAAAAGTAGCCTTAGAGCGACATTGCCAAGAATGCCTGACATTGAATTGCAGTGCCAGCCCGACGTTGCTCTGGTCACTGACTGATTTTGTATCCTCCACCGTCTGCAGTGGTGAGGGTGGTCCATATCAGAATCTCACGTACCTTATTGAACAACACAGCGGCTAGCAACGCTAAGTAGGGACTATACGAGTGAGGTGAGAATTTCTTTGTCAATGCGCGAGGCACCATCTAGAAATTGAGGTGTAGAGTTATTTTCTGCTTTGTTTCATACATAGTGTGGTAACAAGAGGCTGTGCTATGTTTCAAATGGACATACATATAGTAAGATCATGAAATTGTAATTATCTGTGGTACTTGGGGGATGAGTTTTATAAGCTCAACAGACAAGGGCTAGGTTCCTCAAGCTCTGGGTTCATTCATCGGTAATAAGCCCTGAGCCACAGAGTTTGTCTTCCAGCGTTTCTGTAATCGTGGGGGCTGGCCCATAAGCCAAGCACAGCGTGATGAAGATTGCCAGCATAGACCTTGAAGTTTGTGCTCTGGGATCGCGAAAACATCTAGTGTTCTTTTTGGTTAAGCTATAGCCCTGTCAATTCTTCCGATTGGCTTCCTAGCCAGTCGGGGGCCAAACGCTAAGGCTGCTGATCCACGTCAATGTCCTTTTGTTGCACTGCGCCTTTTGGCTTAGACGATCCCCGCTCTCTTGAGAGATTGGCTCGTTGCGCGCCTGTGGAATAAGAGAGTCATATCGATTGGCTCTATTAGACGCCGTCAGCGCTGCAGCCGTTTTGCTCTGGGGCCTTTACGAGCTGCTGCAAGCCAAGCATGGCCAAGCCACCATAAAGTGGAGAGTTCAGTGTTGCAATCGGTCAAGGCTGTCATGATGCATCGGACCGATGCAAGCCAGAGTCTGACTTTTTGGATCTGTCATTCTCGCCAAACACCTCCTCGGGTTCATTGTCCTATAATTCGTCTGGGACGGAATTGGCTGAAAGGGTTACTGGAGGTCTCAGTAATGGTGCAAATGGATTGTGAGAATGATGACGCACAAATATTCTGACCAAGCGATCAAGCGATCCGAGGAGATGGGGGGGGTATACGGTTTCCCGGTGATTACCTAAAACGGAAATAGAGTCGATGCGTAGCAAATTTCGCGCTTAGCGACCTATGAGAGCTTTGTGGTTGCTTTCATGCATGGCTATTCCTGCTGCCTATCTGGAATGTGAGAAATGGAGGGCAAGGTACCAATGGGGGCGGATGAGTGAGCAATCGAACCTGGGGGTCTGAGGATAAGGAAATGGAGCGATCACGGGGCTGTGCGTCACAATGATAGTCAGTCACCCATGCCACGTTGATGATCCAGGATGTTGTGTTGCATCTATCAATGATAGATGATACCTTGGTCAATAGGGAGCGGGGGAGATGCAAAGTCAACGATGATAAAGAGAGCATGAACCAAGAGTGTGAAAGAGAGACCTCAGCGGTCTGACAGTTACCAGAAAAAGGTTCGTGAAGTGGGAAACTGCCGGGCTAGGCTAGCTGCCCTTACCAACTTACCAACCTAACTTCACCTGGTGTTATTAACGTTAAGAGCCAAGAGTCGGCCGCTCGTGGAAGCGAATTGACAGGGAACATAACTAGGAAGGAAATGGGTTGATAGGGACTTGCGCGGCAGCGGGGGAATAGAATGGATGGTCGCAAGCATTATTCATCCTTCTAGCGCAGTTAGTTGCGCCTGTCAATGGCGCCTACATAACTTACCCCTACCTAACCAACTCCTCCCGTTTCGCTTGTTCAGACCAACCACGCGCCAAAAGCGGAAGGCGTCTACTAGTCACCTATTCGCTCGCACCCGCTTTTTGGTCAGGGAGAAACGGTTGTCCTTCTGTAATCAACCTGTCCACGGCACTCTACCTATGGTAGGTAGGGAGCCATTCCGACTTATTCCACGGCACGGCACTCAGTCAATTCAGCGGCATGTCAAGCGGGCGCCGCGCGCCTTTGAATACCCCAGTAGATGGGAATAGTACAGTAGCATAAGATGGGGATGCTTCCTAACACCCTCCCCCTCTGTCTATCCCTATACCCATTTTCTGTCTTTCCTGATCCATGGATCGCCGTGGACCGCCCTTTCAACGATGAGCCCGCGACCTTGGCCCCGGATTCGATTGCTGTCGACCCGCTGTCTATTGTGTACAAGCCTATTGGACTGACTGCCCCTTCCGGGATGCTTGACCTAGACGGTTAGGATTTACGCGACGAACCCCTCTTGGCAAAAATCATATTGCTGAACCTTTGTCGAGATGTGTTATGACCGTCCTATCTCCATGGTCGACCATTGTGATGGGCCTAGTTAGACTGTACGGCTTAGGTCGAGGATTAACGAGACTGCGTGTGGCCCCTAAAGATGAGCTCGCCTAGCTTCTGCGCTCTTGCTCTTGGCGGCACGGAAACCACGCTATGTATCCCGTCCATTTTGACTCGTGCTATTGGATTGACGCGCTTGGAAATATTATGCCATTGGATTGGGCTTCAGAAGGGCACGAATACCAAGTTGCGGTTTCTGCACAGCCAAGGACACGGCTCCTTCTCGTTTGCATCGACCGCTGACTCGTTGAGCCCAGAGAGAAGCGAGCGCAAGGATTCGAATCCCACGGCTTTCTTTGGATTCTTCCCGTCTCTGTCGCCTCTGAGCATGTAGCTCTGCTTCCAAGCAAACATTCGACAGACATCGATTCGTAGTCGTCAACCAACTGCCGTCTGCAAAACATAGCACACAGTTTGCGCGTATTCCATAGCGTGCCCAATCCAACATGCAAACCAACATCACAAGCAAGGTCCAAGGTTCAGCATTGACGCGGTAGCGCCAGGCGTCAAATCTCGACGCCAGCAGGGTTTCGGTCTTTGAACCGCGAGACGCATACGCAGCACAAGCGATCATTGGCAACCCTGAATCAGCCTGAAGCACAACGAGTCACTGGCATACGGATCATGTTGCGCCTCTCTACCCTTTCATCGCTTGACAAAACTGGTCTGGTATTTCAAATACCCGCCAGCTGCGGCTCCAGCCCAATCTCAGAACGTTTCGGCTGTCGTCTCATGGTGCCGGTCCATCTTGGGTACTATGGGTAGAGAGCGATGGGGTCTACTACCATGACCCGCTTGATTTCGACGTGGGAGGAGAGCCCACCCATTTGATGGAGCCTTACAAGGTGGGTGCGCGCGCACTCATCACCCCATGTCAGCTCTAGCCGTCGCATGGGTACCTCGCTGGCCTGGTAAGGCAATCGACATGGGTGCTAAACACGCTGCCGGTCAACTTCAAATCGATGGGTGCTGGTCCTTTCCCCGCTACGCAACATCCCAACACCATGACTTCTGGTCCCTTGGGCCATAGCTACCGGATCTCTTTCTCTGAACACGCCCCCCAGCCCTTCATTACCCAAGCTCTTTTCCCCATTTCCCTTGCAATGGTGCCACTCCCGCAATCATTATTCACCCTTGTTACCGGCACGTTTTCTCATTGCTCAGCGTACGCTATATGGGGCACTCTACACAACACTGCAATTCAGACCCTTGTCGGGTACTGCCCTGTACTCGTGGTTCCATGTCACTCAAGCCTTCTTCGAGGAAGGTTTCCTGTCAGTATTCCTTTACTTCGTCATGCACGTCCAACGGGATTGTGTACTGCCCTCTTCATATAAGTCGGCATCCTGTCCCTGGCCGTGTTTGGGGCTCAGATGGTCCATAGATAGATCACCGCTTTTAAATCAAGCTTTTGGGCCTTCATCTCTAATCAACTTCACAAGGCATTGTTACAAGCCTCGTCCCCTTACTTATTAATCGCATCGGCACCTCGCATCAACAAGACCCCTCTATCATCGGCTTCATAGCTCTTGGACTTTCCGTATGTCTCAATCCGAGTCTCTCTACCTTCCCTTGTCTCCTCCATCCTCAGTCAAGATGGACTCGAACACAACAGATGGAACCTGTGACAGCCCGAGCTCACCTCCCACCAGATCAACTGTTGGTAGTCAAGTCTCTGTTAGTGGGGAGTTCGTACTTGGCTCAAACATAAGTGCCTCGCCGCAAACTCATACGCTTGAAATATCCCCTCAGCCTCCAGTTCCCTCGCCAAACCATTACTCATCCACACCCTACTTGAACACGCCAACCCCCGAGTCTACTTACCTCTCCACACCTGCCTCTCAATCATATTCTCAGTTTCCAACCTTAGCTTCAGAAGGCGTTGATTCAACCTGGAGTCAACCAGATCAAGCACAGGAGGGACCAAGATCATTGTTTTCCTTCCCACAAGAGAACAGGCATCAATTGGCACCGAACTCTCGTCAGACGGGACGATCAACCAGCATGAGGTATTATTTCTTTTTGTCTCAAACTCTACACAAAGTACTAATGTTATTGTTGAAGCACTGTTGCTATTCAGTTTGATCCAGCTTTTACCATGGGACCTCGATCAGCCTTCACATGGCCAGGTATGTTACAATCTCTTCTACTCGATTTTAATCTAAACTGACATCTTTACAGGCCCGCTCGAGTCAAGTAACTCTGGAAGCAGCTTGCTAAGTCCTGGACTGCCTTCAATGGGACATGTTTCTGGAAGTAGCCTCACACCCCCACCACAGTCAAGATCCGTGACATCGAGCCCCCCGCGACTGTCTCTTTCGGCAGACCAGCGAGAAGTCAAACGACAGTCAGATAGGGCACGTCGAGACTCGAGGCTGGTGAACAGAATGCGCCGCGCCAACAGTAACTCTTACGTCGATTCTTCGCCTTCGGCTTTGGGACTTGCCACTACCACGACTGCTATGAACATCTCAGCTTATACAACTGCCCCCGCTCCCGTGACTCTAATGAGCGATACCCCGACCACGATGAGCAGTTCGACGTATCTTCAATCTTACAGCCCGTCCCTCGAAGACCACCAACCGCAATCCGCACCCGTTTATCCTACCTCATACCCACAAACCTTGTAAGACCCCTGTATTTATAGGGCGGCGCCCGGACCATGCTAATCTCTGACCATCAGACAAGCAAACTATAACATGCCCGTGGATTATACAGCAGTTTATGCAGGATCCAGTCAGTATAGGTATGTTGCCAGCGTGCACATCTTTGGCGAGCAAGGCTAACTGTTCGTCACAGTACCCGATCACCGCCTGTACCTGTTGGCCAGGACGTTGGTTTCATGTATCAGGTTTCTCCTGTCCTGGGTCCTGGAGGCGCAAACACACAAGAAGCGGGACATGTCAGAGTCGTGCAAAGTCGGCCAAAGCCGCGATGCTGGGAACACGGGTGCAACGGACGACAGTTCTCAACTTTCAGTAACTTGTTGCGACATCAGCGCGAAAAGTCTGGCCAAGCCGCGAAGGCTTCGTGCCCAAACTGCGGAGCCGAGTTTACGAGAACTACTGCGCGAAATGGACACCTACTTCACGACAAGTGTAAGGGTCGACGAAACTCATGAGACGAATATGTTGAGATGAACGAATTGTATAAAATCAGCAACACGAGTATGCAGGTCGGATGCTATTCTTACTGCAACGTTCGCGGCTCAGTCTCGGACTGAGCCGGATTTGGCGTTAGTGGGGGGCTTATGGTCTACCAACAACATCACAGTTATTGGTGTATTGCTTTTAAAGGACGGCGTATTTTGGCAGATACAAAGACTCTGATTTTTCGAGTCCTGCAGTCTGAATCATTAAAGCTAGGGGGACGGCTGGCGTTGTTTATATGTCATTGGCGACCAGATATGGTTCGCATCATGAATCAACTTGGGATGTCTGAAGAGGCAAGGGCATACTGCTATTGGATTGCCTCCGGAGCATATTGGGACTGGAGTCTACTTTTAGCCATTCTTGGTGTTCTTTCTTTCCACCAATACCCCCGTACAAGAGGCTGGTATGGATGGAATCGTGCTATCTTTTTACTTCTATACTGTATCTATTCTCCTACATTTGGAAGCAGTGGCGACATTAGAAGCTGGCCCATAACAACGCTTTGTTTTATCAACACAGAATCATGAGGGAGATGTTTGAAGCTTGAACACCATAGACATATAGGTACGACACGTTATATTAGAGGTTTGAGGAAGCTTGGGAAACGAACCTACAGTCAGCAATATCTGGTGTATGCCGTTTAAGGTATTTAGCAGCTTAGCAACTTACTGCCAAAACTGGTGGGTTGCGAAAAGTGCGGTACGTAGGTATACAGGCTAAGCTGGAATGGATGACAGAACTGAGCAGATTGAGGAGTGAAGTATGCAAGAATCGAACGAGGCATCGGATTTGAAACAAGCCAACCGTACAGGGAGGACGGGATGCCCCAGACTACTGGGAAGGGGATGTGAGTCCGAAGCAAATGATCGTCGCGGCACTCAAGCCCACCCTTGACTGAATGACCAGGTTTATTGGACACAGCCGCGCCGCAAATAGCATGGACCAGGCCAAGAGCACAAGTTGGCTCCAACGGTTGTGCCTGGCTTATGAGGGATAATATTTGGTGGGATAAGTAGTTCTGGATGAGTATTAGTGCCATCTTACGCGGACGCATAGCTCCATAGTCTGAGAAGGATTTGTGGTTCAAATGCAAACATTGGTACTGGCAGTGAATCGATCATTAACTTTGGAGGTTTAAAACTTGGCAAGACAATAAGCAAACCTTAACCTCGTACGCCGGCTGAGACATTAAACTGCTACCCGACTCCGTGTCCGTGTCCGAACCCGTCTCGGCCCCGAAAACAAAGGCCCCCCGGAGAACAGACTTGTACGAAAAGGCCGAAGATTGACACTCTGTCCGGGGGTATCGCTGGCGAATGGACGGTCGGATCGTGGTCGTCCCAACGGCCGGCCGGCGCAACCACGCCCAGCAAGGCGGCGCAAAGTGAAAGGAACTGGAACCCCCCTGGTCTGGGCTGCATTCATCACCCCCTGAGTCTTGCGTGGGATGCTGTCAGGTCTGATACGCTCACACCAGCATGTCATCGAAAATGCACCCCAACTCACCGACATGGCATGTGCATTGCATTGGATCTTCTTTAATGAAACGGGGGCCAGCCACATGGTTTCTGGAACAATCAAGCTTGATTCTGTCAGAAAACTGAACCAGCAACAGCCTGAAGTATAGGGCATTGGCAAAGGAATATCATGGCCAACAGTAATATCATCAATGTATGTATACACATGCTTACTTGGCCTTGGGTAAATCCTGACGTAGGGATGGTTACTGAGTGGAGATAACTGACGCGAGCGGACATGTTCCTGGTTCTTTTGCTGTTGCTAGAGTGTAAGGGTCACTTACTCATGTTGTCCTTGCAGTAACTCGTTGGAAACCGGCATTCGTGTCTACTATGCTACGCAGCTAATTACGTTTATGTGAGCTGGCGAATCAGATTATATCAACTATTACCAGGAGCCCCGGAAAAGGTAGCATAAACCTTTACGGCACAGACATACTGGACTGTACTGTAGCCCAAGGTAACCTTTTGACAGACGGAAAACCGGAAGAAAATCTTGAATGCCTGTCTGTTCATGACGACATGGACCACAACGACGGGACCGTCTTTCCTTTAGAGTAATTGATTCGACAAGCGAAATCCATCACGACGATGGGTCAACCTCTAGAAATGAGCATGATGAGGTCGAGTGCCAAGTGTCGCAATGGATCAGATCGTCGCCTTTCACTGTGAAAAGAGAGACTTCTGTGTGTCAGCTTTCTTTCCTTATGCGGATAGCTCACGAATGGCGCGGATGCATTAAGGAGGAACCCTGGCCACCCGGGAGGCGCTGTCATAAGAGAACCCAGTTTTCCTAGGCTGAGGCTCACTGATTAACAGCCCTGCCGCCCCAGCGATCCATAGCATAACAAAAGAATCAAGGACCCCGAGGCCAGACAGAGGTCGTTGCACAATGCGACGTTGATCAATGGTAAGGCACAAGCACTCTGGGTAGGGCTGGGAAAAGCGGGATGTTCTGTCCAGTTCAGGCGAAATAAACGTGGAGGTGGGGATTAGAGACTGAATTGACCTGAGAAAGAAGTGAGTCGTTCCCGTTTTCTTCTACAGCAACTGTATGGTACCCGAAACAGGTGCGCAGGACACAAGGTAAGCTCAAAACTGACAATGGGCAAGCATAAGGGCTCCCAAGTTCTGGGGACTATGCTATATTGCAGACTGGACGATAGGACGCTTTGATAAGACTCTTCGCTAATTACCCTTTTGTCTTTTCGCTTTCAGCTCCCCGATCAACCGGGGCGACCAACCACCCAAACAAACAAGCATATGAAAAACGGCTTAAAGTCAATTCGGCGAACTGTGGTGCATCATTAGCCGACAAACGCCTCGACCCTCAAAATTTACACGCAACACCAATCGTGAATAGGGTAACATCCAACCCTTTTCTCGAGCCTGAACCTGGACGAAAGGCGTGATCTTCAACTAGACTGCTTTTAATTAGAGGATGATCAAGGTCAAGATTTTTATTTTTCGGAGATGATTGAGCCGTGCCTTGGCGGGTTTGTGTATCGGAGTTAAGAAGTTTGGCCATCGCCAAGCAAATGCCGGAGAGAACAACTACGTAGCAATGGGGCCAATGCAAAAGAATCGTGCCCACTTCCTATGCGGCATCCTCAATCTAATTATTCACCAGTTCAACCTTTCACAGGGAGCTCTTCGTCCGCGGAAGATCCACCGACCAAAATACAGCCCCGGAGCCGGACTTGTAGTATATCGGCCGAGTCGGAGATGATCTTCGTTGCCGCCAAAAATCTGCCCCTGATGGTCTCGTTTATTAGCTCATGCTTTTCCTCCAAGCGACAATTCACAGTTCACTCAAATCGTGATCCTCCAGGATTCTTTTCATGCTACGTCGTACTGTTTACTCCCCTATAACACACCATAACCGACTCTGTCTCAACTCTCTCACCCTGGCTGGCTGACTCGCAACGAAGCGATACTCTGCCACCCCCTTCTCACCCAATTCAATTTTAAAACCCTTCTCGAATCACCACGGGCCAGGCATCAAGATCTGACATCCAGCTAGCGCAGTGCGCCTCGCCTCCCCCTTTGATAAGCTTAGTTTGCGAAGAAAATTGATCCTTCAAGCTGGACAAACCGGCCGCTGGGCTGAGTTTCCTGGCATATGGTGATGAGTTGGTCCAAACGTCTGCTGGCGAAACAACATCTAACAGAAAAACAAAATTGAGCCTCATACCTTATCTGAAACGTCGTAAACATCTGCAGTAGATGTATGGCACCCGTGCTTTCGTCTAAGGTTTACTGGGTCTTCAGGGGGTGTGCAACAAAAACCCTCCGAGTCAACTCACCAGATTGACTCCGTGGTTGGTATCCATACTGCCTAAATAGTTGATTTACACGAGTCCTCTTACCAAATGAACTCTGTGGTAGGTATCGTGATGTAAACAGTCGATTTACAAGGACTGCTTATAGCTCGCTTGCAAATTGTTCACAGGTTCACAGGCTATCAGAAGTCTTACAGACCTTTTCTGACTTCTTTCTGCGATGCACTTATGAAGATGCACTATGCTCCAAGAATGGTCCTACGAAGAAGAAACTCTTTCCGTGTCTTGGTAAACCCCCCGATGATCACTTACACGACTTACCATGTTGAGTGTCGGCCGCCCTCTGACGGGGGTCCAACGTGCCGTTGAAGGAGCGCGGCCCGTCCTGCACCCCACTGTGACATAAACGGTAGAAACCTTGTGCATGTTCCAAGTATCCACTTGCTAGTGGCTGTATCCGCACGTACCAACAACAACCAAAACATCTCTTTTGTTGACATTCTCACACCCCCAATTCAAACCACACTACAATGCCACAATGGTCATGACAGCGTCGCGATACCGGGCGCGCAAGCAAAAGGTCTTCCGGTCCGTTTTCCAGACGGACCTCTCATCGCCCACGCCGCGTTCAACTCCCGTTGCAGCCTTCACCGATCAAGGTGTTGCCTTTGGAGGTCCCCACGCGTCACCTCAGCATGCTCCCCCACCACCGCCTCTCTTTCACGAGACTCTCCAACATGCCGATGACCAGGTGAGATGGGATCGAGCATGGCATGTTGTCACATCCAAGATCCAGCTACCAACTTCGGTTGCGGTCGAAGATTCCTTTGGCACTTTGCCTCCAGAGTCACAAGACGTTGACTTGGATTTCCGTGATTCCCTCGCTCTGCTTCTCTATCCTGGCCGCTCCTTGCCCCAAGCAGCCCATACAGAAGATATTCTCCTTTGGCACACACATCAAGTTCGCCAGCACTTTATTCACCATGTTATGCCACTGCTGGCTGCATGTACCAGCCAGGGTGATCACACACAAGTCTTGGTCTCAAGTATCTCAACTCTCGAAGCAGCTCATAGGCAATATCTTTGGGGCTTGACACTCATCGTCCAAGGCTACGAAGAGGAGGCATCTGCAAACGCAGCCTTTTCAAAGTTTCGTCGTGATTTACATACCATTATTGGTAACTCTCTCAATCAAGGCTTGACAAACGCCCTGACAAGTGTCTTGCAACGACTCATTCGTTCTAGCCTCGGTATAGGGAGACGTTATGATGGAATATTAGAATCACAAGACAATTGTGGTGATTCGGCGGCTCGGGAAGAGCTTCTGGGACTTCTTGAGTCTCTTAAAAATGTTGGACTTGTAGGAGAGAGATTCCAAGTGCTCTTCGCCGAAATCATGGATGCCAGCATGGAGGAATTTATCAAGACCTCCTATTCAGGGTTCTGGAAAGCGTCTGAACAGTCGTCAACGCCAGGCTCAAGTACCTTGACTGGGTGCCTTGGCCATCTTTCAGACTGGGTTGAGAACCAGTACGGTCGCCTTGCTGTTGAGGTGTTCAGTCGTCTTGAAACTCATATCACTTGGAACGACGTTGAATGCTGGAAGGAAATCGCTGTAGGTCGCCTTGCTACTTTGCGAATTCAAGAACTTTTCGATATCGCTTTGAATTGGCCCGAAAGCCGAGGCGGACTCGAGGATCTTCGTCTGGCCGTTTCTACGCCACAACGTCGCCTTCAATTGACCGACATATTCTCCCTCACTCTTCAGAAGCGACTCCTTCATCCCGGACGATCCACCTCCGATATCCTTCAAACGTACATTTCTATGATAAGGACATTTCATGCCCTGGATCATTCAAAGGTTCTCCTTGATCGTGTCGTCCACGCACTGCAACTGTACCTGTGCCAGAGGGACGATGCCATTAGGATTGTCGTCACAGGCTTGCTCTCTAACCCGAGCGAGGCTAGTACGGAGGAGGGAAAGGCAAGGCTTGCGGAGTTGGCAGTATTACTCAACTCAGCTTCTCAACAGCAACGGCGTCAGGTAGACGACGAGGACCTAGACTGGAACGACATGACCTGGGTGCCCGATCCTGTGGATGCAGGTGTCAACTACAAGAGACCTAGGAACGAGGACGTCATCGGCACTCTGATCAACGCGCTTGGCTCTCAAGATATTTTTATTAAGGAGTTCCAGCTTATCATCGCGGAGCGATTGCTTTCTAACCAGGCAAGCTTTATACAAGAGACCAAAGTATTGAGCCTGCTTAAGAAGCGGTTCGGTGACAATGCTCTACAAAATTGCGATGTCATGATGAAGGATATTCAAGACTCAAAAAGAGTCGATGCGGTTCTTGGCAAGAATATTTGTCAACCGTCGGTTGATTCAGGAGCACTGGCATATCACTCCAAGATTCTCTCCCGACTCTTCTGGCCTACCCTACCTAAAGACCCTTTCACAGTTCCGCCACCTGTTGCAGAGATGCGGGCCAAATATGAGCAAGGGTTTGAGCGACTCAAGACCTCTCGGAAACTCACCTGGTTGGATCAGTTAGGTTCTGCAACTGTGAAGCTTGACTTTGAGGACCGCACAGTCGAGCTTGAATGCAAGACTTACGAGGCTGCGGTGATATACGCATTCCAGGATGATAGCACTGAAGGCAAACCCGGCCCCACAGAACGAACTTTCGATGAGATATGGCAACATCTTATGATAGACGAAGATCTTCTCGAGCTGGCCTTAAAATTCTGGATCTCCAGGCGAGTGCTTCGTGATGTTGGTAGCCGAACCTATGCTGTCTTGGAGCGTTTGGACGACGGTGAACAAGCTGGTGAAGCAGGTGATCCTGGTGAAGCTCAAGAACTTGGCAACGACAGCCGCTCGTCTCCTCGCAAGCCCAAAATCGATCCCAAGGAGCAGGAGCGACGAACTATATACTGGCAGTTCATCGTGGGAATGCTGACAAACTCAGCACCGACTATGCCCCTTGGACAGATGTTAATGATGATGAAGATGCTGATTCCCGATGGCTGTTCATGGACTAATGAGGAGTTGCAGGAGTTTTTGGCAGAAAAGGTGGCGGAGAATAAGTTGGAGCTAGCCGGCGGCAAGTATCGCTTGCCGAAGAAGTGAAATAGGCTACTCGAACCTGAGCGTCGTTGAGAGTCGAATGTCTGCATCATGGGGTTCGAGCGAAGTGCGTACTGGCTGCAGTGTCACCCTCTCGACAAACCAACACGGTGCTGGAGGCTGTCAGCGCATGCTTGCACCACAGTACAAACATTCGGGACCGAGCAGGAGATTGACGAGCCGAGACGACCGTTTGATGGCGAATATGTCGTGGCTGCCGCTGCTGCATCAGACGGGAGAGGGATGTATTCGTATTTCATCCTCCTGTTGTTACGTATGTGAATGTGGCCTTGTTTTGCATCGAAACGTGGCAGCAAGAAGACGGAGCCCGGAGGTCACAGGTATAACCGCCTCATCTCCACAGCCTTGATACATCTTCCTTGGTCCTATGTCGTGCCTGGGGGAGGTTTGTTTATGTACTTAGTTGTGCGTTGCTCCAAGCTTCCAGCCGAGGCCGGGCAAATAGCCAGAATAGGAAATATGAATCAAGGTGCCCCAAATGAGCGGACCCCTCGAGTGTTTCTGATCTTCACCAGGGTTTAAGAAGTTCACATAGCGAATAGGGCGTTTGGTTTTGAAGGACACCGGGGAGTATTCTTTATCACCTTGGGAGTTGACTTGGTGCAGATCTAGAATAGCAAGGGCTCCAACGACGTTCTAGGCAGATCCTATGGGTTCCCAAACACTGAGGGACCAGCTGAGGTTTCGTTTCGTTTCGTAGGCCAAAGTGGTTGCAGCTATTGGCTCCTCAGAAATTCGATGGGTGTAATGCGCAGACACATGAGGCAGCAGGGCACGTTGTAGTGCTTTCGAGGTTTCCTCAAGTGCTCGACAGCTCGATCAACTACTTGTATGGACAGAAGGGAAAGTGCATGATGGATGTCTGTCCGTATCATATTTCAGTCACGGCGATTTTCAATGAATCACAAATATTGAATCCTCGAAATCTGTTCCAGACCATCCTCAAAATCCCTTTTTGGCCTTATCCGATGTTTCCATAGGCAATGTTCGTTTCCTTGATTTTACGACACAGCCACCTTATCACTCAAGGCAAGGTATGTAAGACATGTGTAGGTCAGAGCAATGTGCAACAAGCAAGCCTCCGGTGGATAGGACGTCTTGGTTGTGATAATTTACACAATGGCGGTTTGAAACATGACCACCTCGCGTGAATGATGGGCTGAATTATCACACAGGCCTCGGCGTAAGGTGGTGCGACTTTTATTATGTTGTGTTGTGTTTCTTATTACAGTAGGTATCCGCTCGGCTGTGCCGTCGGGAAACGGTACCCTTTGGTACAGTATGGTTGATACCGAGTCTGCTGGGCTGGCGTTATTTGTAGTTGATGCAGGAGAAGTCGTAAAAGGAAATAACATTTCATTGGCTATGAAGGACAAACGGCACCTGAATAATGGTGAGTATCCTTATGCGCAACGATACAGCGGAAGCGGCCATATCGTGAAGGACATTACTGAATTCCAATAAAATCCCTTTTAGCAGATTCGCGTATGCTTATGCAGCTTTCCTTGTTCTCGTTCGTTCGCCAAGTGACGAGTCCGATCGCCGGACTTGAATAGTCAGGTAGGACGTTTTGGCTTTTACTCGATCGCTGCGAACGTCAGATGAACGCAAGGTTGACGTCGGGGCAAGTCGGGCTGGTTAGTAGGCCCTCTCTTTGATGGAGAGAGTTTCGAGCTTTTTGCCCTCCTCGGTCAAAGGCCCCTGTCTCTCTAGCTGACGAACGAACACCTGTTTGTCTTGGCTAAATGAACGTGGGCCTGTGCTGTGCAATTATGAATGGCTCGAGGCACGCGAGGCGACGGCTCACATGATGGATCATGTTTACGCCTGAATCATCACAGCACCAACCAAAGACGGTTTTAATGTATCACCGGAACCTGATAACCAAAGTCAATTATGCATTGGCTAATACTTTGTAATCGGGCATAGCTTGATCATGTTGAGTTTTCTCACTTCCAAATATACACTTCGAGAATTGTCGTCAGATTTATTCAGAGTTTCAAAAGTTTAAGCAAGAATAGACAAGATGATTCCATAAGAGGAGAAGCTTCAGGTGCATTAGATACCTAAACGTTGTTCTTCAAGAGAAGCCTGATCGAAACCTTTGCCAGTGCTTTTATTTATTCTACTTCGGAAAAGGCGCCTCTACTAGTCATAAGTGAGGTTACCCTGATCAGCTGGAACTGATAGTTTCCGCTGTTGCATGTAGTGCTGTATGGGTTGAGTCTGTTTCCTTGATGAATCGATTGCAAGTGGACGGGGCCGGTTCTGTTTAGGTATTTACGGCACAGTGGAGTTCGCCTGATATGGATGGAACCCCATGCAATCGAGGTGGCCCCCAACCTACCTAAGTTGACAGTGAGCTGTATCAGGCTTCTCAATAGTCAAACATGGAGGAGGGTCTTTCAAAGCAAGTCTCATATCTCCTATCTGCTGCATCATACGCACTTTCAACATGTCGATTCCCCCGAACAGAGAGGCCATGAAATGTCAGCAATTCCCTGATCTGAGTTCCCGTGCCCTGGTCGATCGATGGGTTGTGCCCGCATGGGCTTGGGCGGGCTGGCTGATAAACTGGCTTGATGGGCTTGAATTCTTCCCTACCCTGCGCATGCAGCTGATGGCTAGACCTTCTCTACGCATGACCATGGCCACGACCATGACCATGACTCTTTTGGCGAACTGTGCTTTTAGAAGTGGAGGCACGAATAGTCGGGTGGTTTGGCACGCTGCAGAGTGTGACTTTGGTTATCCAGGACAGCATGAGGAGTTGGTTCTCCGCCTCTGGTGTTCTGTTGAAGCGGTTGATGAGGGCGTGCGTTCGTTCTATCGCTTGGGGTTTCTATTTTGCTATGCTTCTCTTCTTTACTACAATATTGTTTCCTCGCTGAACCTCCAATCTTGTTGTCGCTTTCGGCATCGTCGATAAGAGGCTCTCGATGATCCATTCTTCGCCCGTTGCGTTTATCATAAACCACGCAAATTCCGCCATTCACCAGCCTGTCAATCAGTCCCGTATTGATAACTTTGACTACGAGCAAGGGCGTCCGCTGGTCGGAAGCTTCCTTGATGGTCACCGTCAACCTTGCTCTCCACCTATTACCGAACACGGCCGGTCGGCATATTGATGGATTCAAGTATCATATCCGTCCTTGATGAACTGCAATTGCGACTGCGACTGCGACTGTAGCAACGATTCTGACTCGAATGCCACATTTCGTACAGACCATCCGCCAAGAGGTTTCCCCCTGCTCATAGTTGGAGGAACACAACACGCCCAAGCGGTTCATTCTCGCTTTTGCTTGTCCACCGTATCGTCTAGCTTGGCTTATTAACTCAATTCACTTGGTTCATCAACACAAAGAAGGCGCTCTTACTGACCCTTCTGAAGGTCTTTGGCCACCGTTTCGTTTCACGCCCCCCGTCATCTGGATCTGACCTGTGCCTAGTTTAGTAGTTTTCATTTTATTCGCTGCTAGACTACCCAAACGCCTCGTACGCTTCGACCATTGGAGTCCGCGACCACTGACGCTCACTCAGGCCAAGCCTCAGGTCAGCATTCACTTCCAATATCTTACTTACATTGCCCAACTTGCATTGCAATGTCCACGACATCCACCAGTGATCTCGCAACCAACCCCCCGCCTACAAGGCGGCATACAAACGAGAGAAGGGTTTTTTTTTCTTTCTTTTCTTTTAGTTTAATAGAAATGTCATATCTAACCGTGAACGTAAGACTTTACCCCATGTCCTAAGCAGGCCCAGCCAACAGCCCAGTCTTTGAACCGAGACGAGCGAGAGCCTAGCCCAGACAGTGAGAGTCAGAACGTGCAAGAGACGACAAAGACTCCAGCTGTTGCCCTTCCGTATTGTGCCTTCCATTTAGTAGCTTGCCTAGCTCTGCGACTTGATTTCACTCCCAGCCAGCCTGTCCCTGCAACCCACAGCATCATCACCACCCGCTTGCCGCCTGGTCCCAGGGAGTCTGGCCTGGTCTCATTCGTACAAGCCATGGCATTCGTTTTATTCTCTGCATTTCTTTCTCTTGTCTCTCTGTCCCCCACACCATTTTGTTCTTCTTCTCCTCTCCCTCCTTCACCTCAGTCTTCTTTCTTCCAGTCCTCCTCCTGCATCTCCCTCTTCCAATTCGACTTCTCGTAGATGCAACACCGCCAGCTTACACCCCGCCTCATCCTCGTCGCAGAACGCCGCCGCTAGAGTTGAAACTACGTCGTCATCGGCGTTATCGCAAATAACCGATAACGAACGACTGCCCCTCATCATCATACTCATTCATATTCACCCCGTGGCTGCTCTCTCTAGCCTCCCCACGACCGCTTGCGTGCCCTTCTCACACTCTACTCTACTCTCCATTTCCCATCTGCCTCGGGGCCCGGGGAGCTTTGATCTCATGACCACATCCTATCTGCGTTCCCCGATCACCGTTTTGTGACTGCAAGCGTGCTACCGATAGTCCTAGTCCAACACATGTAATACGAATACACATATTCACTCATCTTTTACGTGGAGCCCTCGTGCAATCAGCATCCGTCAACCTTGCTCCCTCCCGCTTCGTGCTCTTCGAAAAGAACTGCCTTCACGATTGCGCTCGCCTTTATCGAGTTCCAGTGAGCTGCAGGAGGACTCGCGTCTGCGCAGCTCCGTTGGTTTGTGAACCAGATCGGGCCAGTACCATTATCAAGCCGTTTGCTCATAATGGATCCTATGGATTTCGTGCTATCAAGCAACCACCACCGACCTTCCGGTCATTATGACCCTGTGCATTCTGCCTCAAACCATTGGGCACCACACTCTCAGACACAGAACTCACCTGCGTACCCGTGGCCTGCCCCAAACCCAAGTTTACCTCACCTCTACTCACATCACTATGCCATGCCGCCACAAAGCTCTGTTCCAGATCCGTACGGGCATCATGCAGCTATGTTACCACCAATGTTAGGCATGTCGTCTCCGGGTCCGTTTGCAGGTAGCATGCCTGGGCCAGCATCGCCACGGCCAGGCGGCCGTGCTCATTCGTATCGCAACAACATACCGGTTACCGTTGCTCCAATGCCTCCTGGCACTGGTAGCTACAATCACGATGCAGCGTTCGCAAACCAGATTCCTGCCAACAGACCTCCAGATTTTCAGCCACAGGGGCTCGGTTTAGGCATGCCTCCCCTCGGAGCCGGTCACCAGGAAGTTAATTCACTACACCGTTCGGCATATGTCCATGGCGACTCAAGCGCCAATGGCATGAATCATAGCAGCACTGGTTACTTTCCACACTTTCTCCCAGCCCCGCTACCCCCTCAAACCTTCATCCCGACTTCGACAAGAAGAGGCCACTTCACTGCTGCATCGTCATCATCCAGGTCATTTGGTAATCTTCCCTCTCCCACCAGTAAGTCTCTCCCAGTAGCGTCGCTTTCTCGACATACCCTTTTCAGTCTCATAGGCTAGTGGATTTGCGAATCATTTGTTAGTCCGTGCGATGTAGTTGTAGACTGAGTGTCCTTCCAATTGCTAATGCTTACACTTTCTAGGACCTTCTCCTTCGTCATCTGGATTTCGGCGATCTCACCCCAGACAACGCAGGCGCATAATGTCGACAGAGTCCGGACACGACGAAAATGAGGATGACGGGTATCATGGTCATCGTGAGCATGTTCTCCACAGTCCGAACGGTTCCGACTCATCGCCAGAGGTGGAGGAGGCCTTAATCCGGCAGATGCAATTTGTCAGAGGCTCTTTGAAGACGAAGATGGTGGCTTCCCAGCTAACGCTCCAGTCACTCTTGAGTGTCACGCTTGAGGACTTACCCGAGACAGATCGAAGTAAGGACTTCCTCCCCGTCGAAAGCGATTGAAGCTAACGTGTTTCAGGTTGTGTAATCTGCTATAACGAATACGGCATTGAGACTCCAGAAGGCATTAAAGAGGCTCCTCTTCGTCTACCAAAATGTGGGCATGTTTTTGGCGACCACTGCATCAAGAAATGGTTAGAGGATTCGGATAGTTGTCCTTACTGCCGAGACAGGCTTCACTCGGAACCCAAGTCACAGACAAATTCGTCTGCCGCCGCATTTCTAAGCTTGATGAGAAATAGAGGCGCGAGCATCCATCCAGTGTAAGTCGAAAGAGAAAGAAGAGGGAACACGAATACCTTGTCCGCTTTATCAATCAACTGACGTAGGCAATAGGATGGCAGCGAGTAGTCCACATGATGAAGCCCTGGCACGGGCAATTATGGCCACGTATGGAGCCGTAGACCCACGGAGCAACGGCTCGCCTCGATATTCAACACAAATACCCGGAGAAGGAAGGTCACCTCCTAGAGAAGGTGGTGAACACCAGCACCGTCGACTTCGGACGCGGTACGGCAGCTCATCCACGCGTGATAACTTTGTCTTGCCCGAAAATCGCAACCAAGCAGCGTCGATATCTTCACAGCCTGTCACGACTGGCCCTAATCTATCAGCCATGCCACAGCAAACCGAACGTCCACCTTCGGAAAGACAGACACAGGAGTGGAGGGGTGTTCCCGCCCAGAATGCAAACGACGGATCAACAACAGTCCAAGATCGCAACGCTGAATCAGAATCGTCAACTGGAGCGACGCCAATAGTCTTGCCGGTGTTACCTCCATATGCAACACAAGACGCTGAAGGCCAACACTCAAATCTTAGAACTCTTCGGAACCCATTGCAAACACAGACGGGTTCGCCATTTGAGGGTTTGGGAAACAACGAAACTGCACCAGATATGACATATCACGGCAACCGTAATTGGTAATCTGCCATTTAGCACCACAGTCTTGGCTTTATCTCCCGAAAGAACAGGAAGAAAGGGCGGCTGAACAAAAACCGACGGAGAACAGATACGTTTGCGATAACCAAGTTGGCAGCGCAAAAGCTATGGGCTCGTCAGAGTCACGGGATCGCAGTCGCAACATAATAGGTGGACTGATTTGATATGAGAATTCGGGAATCATAAAATACATGAGGTCAGGGGCCTTTCTGGCACGGGTTGGCGTTGAGTATCCTGGCATGGTCATAGTTGAAAACGCACCAGATCAAGAAATTTTTGGTATGCTTCTGGTTGATTTCACCAGAGCCATGATTGGAGGGGAAGTGTTCTGATGGGGCAAATGCAAAGAGACTGAATTGTTCACTACTCCGTATCCAGCCATCAATGGGTAGGCAACCTATCGCTGTAGCGGAATTAGCGATAATATCGAATGAAAGACTTACATAGTAGTAATCAGCAGCAGAGTTGTGCTCCCAAAGACCCTTGCTCAGTTTATAGTGTCTACTGATCTCCTCGATCGGATTTCCATTAAAGCGCATGGTCCAGCTCCGCAACTTATACTAGAATGGAACTAGCGTATTGATGTCTCCGCATCAAGAGTTGGTCAGTCGGAGTTTTTGTTGTATCGATGATGCCGTTGGAACGGTGCAATGTTGACGACCGACTCGGACCATGTGGTACATCCATTTATATCTCTGACGATTCGAGTATCCCATAGAGTCTTGAACGTTTAGGCCTCCCCACCACGCTGAAGATAGACGAATCGCTTATAAGACCATTCCCTGTCGCTGTACCCCTTGAGACGCGCAACTGTCACCATTACATGTGTCTTCCTACGTTCGACATAAGGTTCATACATAAACTGGCATTCAATTTTTTCTCTCCTTGCATTTTCACTTAAACTCGACTATCATGGGGTTACCATGGGAGGGTATCACGGCCGCAGCTGCTATAAGTTCCTTATCTCTCGCATGGGCACAGAACAATTGGTCAAGACTCCGGCTTTTGGGACACTTTACAGAGCTTTGGATTGCGAGTCTCGCTATCTGGGGCGTCTGGGCAGTATGGATATACCCTTTATTTGTGTCGCCCCTGAGACATCTACCTGGACCTTCCGGGAACCATTGGTTCATGGGTCAGGCGAAGAAAATCATGGCCGAGCCCTCGGGTGTTCCAATGCGAGAATGGTTCGTGGGCAACTTTCTTGTGTCGAAGCCTAGATCACGGAATAGTCACTGATGAGCAAATCGCATTTAGGGCTTCTAAGATTCCCAACAATGGCCTACTCTGCTATCGCGGTTTCTTCAATCAAGAGAGAGTGATGGTCTGCTCAACGAAAGCATTGGCTGAGGTTCTTAGTACCAATAGTTATGCTTTCCCGAAGCCCTCCCATTTTCGATGGTCCATCGGTCGCATTCTTGGAATTGGCATCTTACTTGCCGAGGGCGAGGAGCACAAGATGCAGCGTCGCAGCTTGACACCCGCATTCGCCTTTCGTCATATCAAGAACTTATACCCGGTCTTCTGGAGCAAGGCTAGGGAAGTGACACGCACCATGATGGCAGAGTTCGGTGGAAAGGAAGAGGTCCAGGTTGAAATATCTAGTTGGGCATCACGAGCCACACTCGATATAATTGGTCTCGCCGGGATGGGTCGGGACTTTGGCGCCATTCAAGACCCTGAAAACACGCTCGCTCAAACGTACAAGCAGATATTCAAGCCTTCACGCCAGGCCCAGGTCCTCGCTTTTATTGGCATGATTATCCCCATGCAATTTATCACCAAGCTACCTTTCCGTCGAAACGAGGATATTGCTAAGGCAGCCACCGATATCCGGGCAGTCTGTCGAGATCTTATCCGTGAGAAGAAGGCAAAAATTGCTAATAAGGAGCAAGCCGATGTTGACATACTATCGGTCGCTCTTGAAAGCGGTGGCTTCACCGACGAAAACCTGGTTGATCAGCTCATGACATTTCTCGCGGCAGGGCATGAGACAACAGCTTCGGCCATGACCTGGGCAATATATATGCTCTCGAAGCATTCCGATATTCAGAGCAGGCTGCGGGACGAAGTGCGCGAACGTCTTCCGTCTGTGGATTCGGATGTCGATATCACCAGTCTCGACATAGACCGCATGCCATACCTGAATGCAGTGTGCAGCGAGGTTCTACGATATTACGCCCCTGTCCCGTTAACAATGCGCGATGCCGCCTACGACACCACCATTCTCGGCCACTCAATCCCCCGCGGCACACGTATTGTCATTGTACCGTGGGCTACTCATTTTGATACTGAACTCTGGGGACAGGATGCGGGCCAATTCAACCCAGAGCGGTGGCTCCCATCGGGTGGAGAGAGTGGTTCCGCTGACCGCAAAGCAGCGAGTGGTGGAGCGAGCAGCAACTACGCGTTCCTGACTTTCTTGCATGGCCCACGTAGTTGCATCGGATCCAGTTTCGCAAAAGCAGAGTTCGCCTGTTTGCTAGCGGCATGGATTGGTCGCTTCGAGTTCACCCTGGCGAACCCTGAGGAGATGGATGAGAAGAAGGTGGAAATTCGGGGTGGTATAACGGCCCGGCCCGCGAAAGGTATGCACGTCAAGATCAAGACAGTGAGCGGCTACTGATATGATACGGGTCGATTTGTCTGTCGATTATGGGTCGGAAAATCGGTGTACAGTACAAGGCTTGTTTTGCGTTTACACGATATTATGTTACATAGGTGATATTGCGTGAGATGGTGTGTGTAGGTCGGGAGATTCGCGAGGTGGGTGTGTGGATGCAATCCCCAAGCCATTCGTTCACACAGTTGGAGCTTGTCTTAGCTAACGGGTAATAATGGAACGGCTCGCCAGTACCTATTCTACAAACATTCCTAACAATCCTTACCGGTTCCGCCCAGCTTATAATAAACGAGGCCTTGCTCATACGTATTCGTTCTCGTCCAGTGAGGTTGAGCTGCAATACGAGGCCGGCACTGTGAGACACTCTCGACAAAGGATTATCCTCACTTTTCGATACTGTACAGGGTAGACCCCACTTCGTAGCCTGTAAGAACCGACGCATGTGTAACTGCAGATGACTGCCAGCTGGCAATGGATCTTCGATGTGGATATTACCACGGCGCTAGCCAATGTGTGGCTGCCTGAATGAGGTATTCAGACTGTCGAAGCACTTTAATTAAAGCCAAACGTCCACGATATCAGGTCACGCTTGGCAAACCTAGAGCTTGTCTCTTACAACGTACCCATTGAGATCTACGGTAATACTTGCCTAGCCATCAAACGTACAAGTCAAGTTTTAAGAATTAGCGCCCAGGCCTCCCATGGCAAATGGCTCATCGCCCAGCCCAGAAGGCCAGATCAAATCTAAGACCCGCTACGATCCCCATTCTATTTCAGCTTGACCAACGACGTGCGACCCCAGCCACCGCCTGTTTAGCGGGCCGCGACGGATGGGTCCCATGAAAGCTGGCGACGAGCTCCCGAAAACAAAACACCATCAAAACATCACACTCAAGAACCCCCCCCGACGAATTTCGCAACGCTGGTAGACCGTAAACCGGCGCAATGCAGCGAGAAAATCGCTCTCGGGGCCCCGAGAGCTCTCGCCGCCGGTGGTACGAGTCTCGCGACCGCGATCCCAGAGATCAGGGAGATTCGCGTCAGCAACCATCGCTGCCACCACAACAACAATCACAATATCCCCAACAACCAGTCCCGCAAATGTATCAACAACGCTCTCAGCAACGAGTATATGACCCGCAACTTTATGAACAATCTCCAATGTATCAACAATCACCGCAGTATCCGCAATTTCCACCACCTCCTCAGCAATATCAACAATCGCAACGTTACTCCAGCGCGCCGCCTCAGTCGGTGCCTGAATATAATAGCCCTTATCAGCCGCAGCATAATTCACAACGACCACAGACACCCTCAAGTGTTTTCTCGTCCTCAAGTGACACATCGACATCGCTATTAGATATCTCGCGATACAAGGACACGAAACAGTTTGGTGGTGTTTTTGGCACATTTTTCAAGGCGCCTTCAGACCGTGTCAAACAGCGTCTCCACAGAAAGAAGAAGCAGAAGCGCCGTGTGCTTTACTTTGGTAATTCATCATCCTCTTCTGTGAACTCTGACCTAGCCTACGGACAGGGATACGTCCGGCAACCAAAAAGCCGTACCCTGAGCCCCCGAAGTCAAAGCCGTGCCTCTGGTCAAGGCTATACCTTTTCTCCAGGTCATGGCCCGAGTCAAGGACATCGTCGGCGCAGCTCTGGGGGGTCTGATCGCGCATCGCGGCCGACTCCTCGGAAGAAGACCGCCGATGAAGAGATAATGGCCCTTGGCCAGCAACTCTCTGACTTAGCGCGGCGGTCCAAGGAAGACGAGCAACGCCTATCCAGCCGAGGATCAGGCAAGGGTAAGGCGGCTGCTCTGGGACTTGCAGCCGGCGCAGCTATGGCATCTGGTTATGGCCGACAGAAACCTGGCTCACGGGGATTGGGTAGCTCAAAGCAGCGCGTCGACACTTCGGATGATGACTCAGACTGGGAGGATGCCTCAGACGATGAGTCGTCTAGTAGTGATGACGCTGGCTCAGCTGCCGACTCAGAGCTTGCATATGGCATCGTTGGCGAATCTATCAAGCCCGCAGTCGGTGCCGCAGCAGTCGCAGGAAGTGCAGCAGCCACAACCGCTATGGCTGGCTCTAGAAAACCCTCAGGTCAAAGCGCAGCGTTTGACTACCGGCGATATGGAGACCGGGGTTCTATCGTTGACCCCCGCCTCTTTGGCCCCTACAACTCTCTTCGAGGCTCAATTAATACTCCATGTGGCTTCCGGGATGACGAACAGGCTGCTGCGTACCGCCGCGACTCTGCTAGCCTAGAAACTGGTGGACCAATCCAGATGCGAGATGTGTATCCCGTTCCTACCTCTGATCCCAACCGATTTGACGGAGGACGATTTTCAACGTCCGACAGGCGCCAGGATTCTTCAACTCGACCTGCGCCGGTTCCCCTGCAACAGCCGGTCCCCAAGCAGGCGGTTTCATCAAAAGTTTATAATGCAGAAAAACTTGATGACATAAACCGTAGGGAATCTCGGCAGCGCAAATCCGAACAGCCTGACGAAAAGGGCTGGGGCGGAGTTGCTACCGCTGGTCTTGCTGCAGCAGCGGTCGGTGCGGCCATGGCATCTTCATCATCTTCGCGAAAAGACAATCGCGAGAATCGTGATGCGAAGAAGCATGACCGTGATGACCGGGACCGCCGTGAGCAAAAGCGCATCGACCTGGAGCGCCAGAGAGCCCTAGAAGCGGAGGAGCAAAAACTCAAGGAGCTCGAGCATCAAAAAGCCCAAGAGTTAGAACGGCAAAAAGCCCAAGATCCGGAACGCCAGAGGCTTGACTGGGAACGACGCCTGGCCCACCACACCCAGCGACAGGAGACATTGGAGAATGAGCGTGAACGAAATGTGAAATGGGAACGTGACTACCGAGGATCGGATCCTGAGCCTATCTTCCCCAAGTATAATGATGAGCGAAAATCTTCACGACATGATGATGATGATGACGATACCCCCACGGATAGAACGGAGAAGAAGAATGTTGATGTTATAATTGCGTCTCAAAGGGACCAGGGCGAAGGTGGAGTCTTCCGTATTGAATCGGGGCCGGAGTTCCAAGTGTTGCGTGAGCCCGTTGTCCAAGCTGACAATAGCGAGCGTGATGCGACTCAAAATGGTCGCGACCTTCCTCTGCCTGTCGGTGCTGGTCATCGCTCTCTAAGCGACCCAACTCAATCTGCACATGAGGCCATCGATCCCTTCCAGTATCAAGTTGCGGATGATGCATTCACCATGTCTCAAACAACCACACCTGGCCGCCCCCTTACACCTAATGTTGTCACCATTGAGCGCGAGCCCAATTTCGACGACTCACCGCCAAGTACTTCCGCAGCCGACGCTCGGTTAAGCCGACGAGACTCGTTCGAGATTGAGCGTATGGTTGACGAGTACCGTCGGGAGGCTCAAGAATCATCACAACGTCACGATACTCAAGCTGCTCATGAGTTCGAAGAGGACGAGCGAAAGGCCAAATCTATTCTTGATGAGGCCAAACATGCCACGATTCCTGTTGCAGCTGCCGCAATAGCATCCGCCGTTGCAGTCGAACATGAGCGCTCCCAAGAGCACAAAAACCGTGGTTACCCGAACAACAGATCTCAAGATAGCTCAAGAGATCGCAAGGATACTGTGCAGGAGGAAGCAGACAGGTACTACCGTGAGGCCTGCATCGCCCGAAAAATTGCCTCCGACGAACTACGATCTCGAAGTGCATCCCCCGAGCGATCTGTCGTCGACAAGTGGCAAGAAGATAAGAATGATCCGTTCACGATTGTCACACCGCCGACCATGGAAGACAAGCACCCGGATAATAACATGTTTGATGGACCAGATGCAGATGTGAAGATTGATAACAAGATATATCCCCGGGAAGAGCGCCATTTCCGAAACCTGGGTGATAATTCTTCCGCTCTTGTGTTGAGGTCAAGAGAGCCTTCACGAGAGCGTCCTGTCCTCAATCTGATATATCCTACCCCTGCCACAAGTCGCCAACATACGCCAGTCCCTCGAGCGCGAGGTACAAGACAGGCGGATGACGGAGTACCCACGCCTGACGATGTCAGCATTGGACCTAAGGGTGAGATCATCTCTGCTAGCGAACCCGTCTCTGTTGCCAAATCTGTTAGCTGGGGCGAGAATGAGACGAAGAGCTTTGATGTAGACACGCCAGAGAACCGAAGCGATTCCGACAATTACTTTCCTACTGATAAATCATCCGATAAGCCCAGGCCGAAGCTAAACAAGGCGAGCCGCTGGGGTATTCTTGCCGCGGCACTGGCTGGTAGCAGCGCCGAGCCACATAACGAACCTGATATTGTAGTGCCATCCAAGAACTCAGATATCCCCAGAAGCTTTCCGGATGAAGCAAGCAGAGATATCTCTGCTCACAGGGTTGAAGACGTTTCCGGTGACGATATAACACACGAACCTCCAATTCCTGGGCCCAAGCCTCCAAGCCCACATCCTCAACAGATGCCTGGCGGCTTTGCAGATGACTTTGAGTTTGCTGCTACTCTTGCTGCGGGCCTGAAGGATACTGGCTTCAACCCCGACATTGTCATTGATGATCCCTCCTACAGTCGGCGTGACTCTCCTCCAGGGGTCCAAGAGGCAAACGGTGACTCTCATGGCAGCACAAATGGCAATTCCTGGTACAAGCGACCTTACGCCGAGGTCATTCCCGAGCCCAGAAATGATAACGTTCCGAAACTTCTCCCCGAGCAAGGGTTTGTTCTCGGGGAGGTTGAGACCCCTCAGGAAGCGCCTTCTGTTCGCTACGAAGGCGAGCGCGACATCAAGCCAGACTCGCCAAAGCCTGAAGACGTGCCAATTCCTCGCGACAGTTCTGATACTCCCAAGTTGAGCAAGCGAGAACAGCGCAAGCGAGACAAGTCTGACGTTGTTGTTGTTCAGGATGATGGAAAGATTGAGAACGTCAAAGCGGAGCCGTCACCTTTAAGGGAGATTGGCGAGGAGGTATGGGAAGATACCACTCGCAAGAGAGGAAAGAAGGATCGCAAGGGCCGCGATTTTGATGACATGAGCCCGAGAACTTCTTCTATCGATCACTACGCAAGCTCGTCCCGCGACGCCCCAGATCATGATCTTGAATCGAACAACAGTCTTGCGGACTACGATCGCAGCCAGAGCTTCAACGCTGCGGATATCGCCAAGGTGGCTGTGCCAGCCCTCGCTTTGGGTGCCCTTGCCTCCTCAAGTTCAAGAAACACACCCTCTCGTGACGTTCGCTCCGAAGACGAGCAAGACGTTCCCAAGAAGTCGCACAAGCATTGGAATGACGACGATCACTACTATGACGACGACAGATCTCGCGTCTCCGCCCCTGTGAAGCCTTCGCACCATCGCCATTCATCTCGAGACGTATCCTCCCGGGACGTTCGATCAGACGATGAGCGGGAAGGTCACAGGCATTCAAGCAAGCATAGGAAGGACCGCGATTCTCGCGACGATACCAGATACCGAGGTTCTTCTACACTGGACCCCACTGATCGACGGTCCGCAAGACGAGGAGCATCTCGAGATCGTTCAAGGGACCGTTCAAGAGATCATAGGTCTAGAGAAAGGTCTAGAGACAGACCTAGAGACAGGTCAAGGGATAGAACAAGAGATCGATCTCATCACAGAAGGTCTGACGATGATGAGAGGCCAAAAAGATCGAAGCGTCACTCCTACGGCCATGACTCGCCAACCCGGTCATTAGCAACCTCCGAAATATCTGTTGGCAGTTCAAGCAGCAAGAGAAGTAAGAAGTCGAAACGAAGGAGTGGAGCCGAAGAAGACTTCGACGACAACAGAGAGAGCCCATCAGATCGAAGACGTGACTTCTTTGACGACCGAGATGTTAGCTCTGTCGTATCTGAGTCGCGTGGAGATGACCGTCGGCGCGAGAGCGGACATAGACGCAAGTCTTCGCGTTACGATGATGACGACGTGAAATCAGTTGCATCCATGCCTGACTCGTCTCGCCGGGACAGGGAGTACAAAGAACGTAGAACTCCTGAGAAGCGACCAAGCAGCAGTGTTCTTTCTAGCCTCTTCAAATCACGCAAGGACAAGAAGGATTCTTTTTTAGATAATGCCGGCACCCTTGGCGCGGGTGTCGGCTTAGCGAGTGCAGCAGCCATTGTTGCATCTGATGCTGCTCGTTCCAACGCCGCCGATACCTCATCAGATCACGAGAATTCTGTCTCTCGTGATGGCCGCCCTCGTGCGCGCAGCTTCGAACTGGTTGACCCCGAAGTCGTGCCCCGCGTTATCAAACCAGCCATTGACCCTCAATATGGCGATCTCCTTCCACTACCTCCTAGTGAACCAACTAGCCCTTCTTCTGGTCCGGAGGAACTACCTCCTCTTCCTGACAGCAGGCCTGATACCCCCCCAGAGGAGCGTATTATCCGACGAGATTCGCGGACTCATCAACGACGCCGTAGCGTTTTTGACACGCCCACGAAATCACCCAGTCGAACCGCTGTTCCTATCGCCCTTCGTTTGGGTAACAGGTCAAATCCCGCTTCTCCTGTTAGCTTCAAGGCATCCCCCGCTAGTTCGCCTATCACGTCTCATTCGGATGCCGTGGTCATGTCAAGGCGAGCAGCTCGACCAACTTCTTGGGACAACAGTCGAGAAATCATGCCTCTGTATCTTCTTGAACACTCACGGCACCAACAACCAACAACTGGCTCAGTGCTACCTGCGCTCCCACCCAGTGAGCCTAGCGAGACTTCTGCAAGGAACTCACCCGAATCCGAGTTCCTTAAGCATAGTGACGATTATTTCGGCTCTGGACTTGACTTTACTGGGCCTGATCTTCGTGTTGACACCGAGCTCTCGGAGCAGCATCCCAAGGACTCTGTCGCAGGATCTCAGGAAACCACGCCTCGCGCAGAGTTCATGCCCATGCTTCCAGGCCCTCTCCCTTCTGATGCTGCCGAAGAGCATGCGAAGGAACCCACGACTCATCTCCCGATGTCTGTGGAAACCATCAATAAGGATATGGAAACCGACGTCTCCTCTGCTTCACCATTGCCTTTTAATGCTTCTGCTGTGGCTGTTCCTGCCGCCTTGGCTACTCCTGCTTTCTTCGAAAGCCAGAAACGCACTGACTCGCCCGCAAACAAAACGGATGACCTCACATCTCCTGATGGGCGTTTCTCGGACGCTCTCGAGGGTCACTCAGAGCAGATATCACCAGGAGAAGCTGTTCTCAAATCTCTCACTGCCGATCTGCTCATAGAGCCTTCTTCTCGATCTGCCACCGAGCCTGTTGTCGTGCCCGTCACTGAACCTGTCACTGAGCCCGTCACTGAGCCCGTCACTGAGTCTATTACTGATCCTATTACTGAGCCCGTTACCGACGCTATGACTGAGACTGCACCTAATTCTTCTGCAATTTCTGCCGAGGTTACCACATTCAAGGAATCCGCAACTCCCGAACAAGATGAAGTTGCTGTTGCCACTAACGAAGCCCTCGAGCCTATTCTTGCAGACTTGTTAATAGAGGATAACACCCGAGGACTCGCAGTTGGGCCTTTAGTTGAGGATGTCACAGCACTGTCTCCAGAATTTTCGTCACAACCCGTCGAAGAGGCAGCCCCCGAGATAGTTGAGCCTTCCGATGACCAGAAAACCAAAACTGCTATCGACACTACTTACGAAACTCCCGAACTCATCAGTGCGCCGGACAGCATATCTCTCACAGAACCCATTGCTGAAGATGTCTCAGTAAGTGGTTCCACGACGAAGTCCGCGGCTCAGCCTATGGAAGAAGAACGAATTACCGATACTGCTCGCGACATTACTACCGGCGTGACCAACCCTATTACCGAGCCACAATCGGTAGCAGCTATTGGTGCCCATACTGAGCCTGCTACTGAAGACCCGCAAACACCGTTCGTAAAGCCTGAGGATGCCGTCGCCCAGCGCGCAGAAAATGAGATTACCACTGAAGAGTGGTCAAACATGAACGCAAAGGACAGGAAAAACATGAAGAAAAAGCTTAAGAAGAAGGGACTTGAACCGATCATTCAAGATTCATTCGACATTCCAGTCCTGGCTACCAGGAAGGATGACCATGCCGTCCCAGGCGACGAAGCTGCCGCAGTGAATGAATCTTCTGAAACAAAGCCGGCTGTGGATGAACCCGAGCCCACCCACGAATCGACACCCCAGCCCTCTGAGGATCCTTCTGCCGACCCATTCGCCACTGAAGAAGTCGCGAAACCCCAAGAGCCTACGGCTTCGCATCAGGAACAGCACACGACCGCACGTTCTGAAGAGGCACAGGATGTCGATGAGCAAAACAAACCAGTCGATTCGAACTCATTGGCGGACCGAGAAGCCGAAGAGTCACCAAGAGGGCTAGACAACGCCATTGAATCTGTGGTACCACTAATTGAGCCTGAACCTGTAATCGAATTCTCTGCCAATGCTCAAGCTGCCACGGAGGCGACTTCCAACACCGCTTCAGCTATTGCTGAAACGGCTTCCGAAGAGCAACCAGTGTCTCCATCCAAGAGTAAGAAGAAAAAGAAGAAGAGCAAGACGCAGCAGCCATCAGAAGAGGAAGCAACTCCTGTAGAACCAACAATCACTGAAGTTGAAGGCACAGCTCCAGTTGAAATTCCTGAAGCTGAAAAAGATGCCTTTGATGCTTGGACAGAGCCAGTCGCGCCCACTGAACCCCCCGCTGAATCATCTGAAACAGTTGCTCATGGCGACTCAGGTTCTATAGTAGAACCACTCCCAGAGGTCCCTGTTGAGCCTGCTGATGCAGATGCATTCGATGCTTGGGCCCAACCAGATACCATGACTGAGAACGTAGATGCTCCGGAGAAGGCACTGGACAAATCTACAAAAACTTCTGACCCGGCTTCTGAAGCCCCGATTGTATCAACACAGGCTGACAGCGCCGCTAACCCCAAGTCAAAGAAGAAGAAAAAGAAGAAGAAGGGCGCTAAAGCCGATGATGAGCCAGCGGTGGAGAAACAAGGCGTGCCTCAAACAGGGGAACCTCTTCAAATTGAGGAAGCTGGAGACAATGAAGCGATTCAGGATACCAACAAGAGTTTGGTGGAAGAGCCACCCGTTCTGGTAGCTGTGACTAATCCTGAGCCCGCCGATGTTGCTCAAGACAATGAAACCTCGGAATCACAGCCTGTTTTGTTATCAAAAGACGATGATCAAGTTCTTGATCGTGGAAAGTCTTCTCCAGTCGAGGCTCCTGAGCCTGACGATCTAGAGTCTAAAGGTGATGTCGACTATCATCCGTCCGCTGGTGGTCTTCACACTCCCGCCAAAGATGCACGAAAAGACAGACAAAGCCAAGGATACTTTCCATCTGCCCTTCGTGCACTTCCCGCCACGGCTGGAATCTCTGCTTTCAAGAGGATGTGGGGATTCCGGGACCAAGCGCAAGCGCAGTCACAGAATAAATCGCGCGAACCTCAACCTGATGCTCAGACCCAGCCTGATGTAGCAAGTGCTGACAAGTCAGCGGTAACAGACACCAAGGCTGATATTACTACACCGAGAATCGATCGTGACGCTCCCGGGGATAATGAGCCTGCTAGCGTAAGCGCTGAAAACCCAGAAGTTGCCGACATCGAGCCAGATGTTCCCGCTGCAGACACCGCTCCCGATACGGATGCCAACAAAGCGGCTCGCACCACATTAGAGCCCCATATTTCTGAACCACTCTTCTCGCAAGGAGATCCACCGGCAGACGAATCTCAAGGAACTTCTTTTGGACTGGAGTCTTCCCAGGTCGATGAATCAGTTAAAGCCACCGAAGATGCCAATCATGGCATTCCTGCCGAGGATGAAGTAACAACCACCCTGGACACACAGTCCACCGAGACCACCCCGGTCCCGGCTGCTAAGGAGGCATCCGCCGAAACGTTAGAAGACAATGGCACAAGTCCTCCGGCGACAAGCGTGGTGGAAGCAGCAAGGGCTACTGAAGTCGGGACCGATGAAATCAAGCAAGACCCCTCCACAACAATTGGGGGTGATGACGTTAAGTCTCCGGCAAACGAGACCACCGAAGCTACCTATGAGGATTCAACGAAACCAGCTGAGGCTGGTCTTAGCCAGCTTGCCAAAGAAGAACCTATCAATCCAGCAGAGGACGACGATGCGAGACTTGCCGAAACAAGCCCAGAAGTGAGCACAAAGCCTGTCGAAGCCAGCACTGAAGAAGTGCCTAAAGAAGATGCCAGCAAGACAACTGAAGGAGAAAGTGCGAAGTCTATTGTGGAAACAACTAGCGAAAATATCGAAGCCGACGCAACGGGATCGAAGAGGAAGGCGAAGAAGAACAAGAAGAAAAAGAAGAACCAAGCTAGCCAGGATGAGGCTCCCGAGGAAGAGAACAAAGACATTGCCAAGCACGTTGAAATCAGCCAGGAAGTACCAGGTGGCGAAACAGCAGTAGAGTCTGGCAGAAAGACCCTTGAAATTCCGGTGCTAGATCCCGTGGTTGAAGCTTCTGGCCCTGTTGTTGAAAATGCTCTTCTTGATCAGAAGCCTGAAGACGAGTCGACACATGGCATAGTAGACGAACCAAGAATCAAGCATCAACCACAGTTTGATGATAGGTCGGTTGAGAAGGAACCTCAAGAGCAGCCACCGTTGGATACTGTTTCAGTGGAACCGCAAACTAGAGAACGGTTGCAGACTGATGATCAGTTAGCCGAGAACGGGCACAAGGAACGGCCACCGAGTGACGCTGAGCCGACTGAACCTGAAGTCAAAGAACAATCACAAACTGATGATCACTCAGCGGAGCATCACGTTCCAGATCAATCTTCGACCGGAGAAGAGCCAACTAAGCCTGAGGTGGAAGAGTTGGCGCACATGAATGACGAATCACCTGAATCTGGGCTAAAGGAACAGCCTCAAGCCAACGACGAGCCATCTCAGCCTGAAGCTGAAGAAGAGCCCCAAATGGGCGACGGACCGGCCGAGGCTGTGGCTAAGGAACGATCGCAAACCGATCTCCCAATGGGGCCTGATACCGAAGCACAGGCACCCACATTTGGCAAATCCACTGACCTTGATGTTAAGGATGAATCACAAACAGCAGACATATCAGTTGGGCCTGAAACAAGAGACGAAGCACATAGTGAGAAGCCAGTGGACGAACAGCCACTAAAAGAACTACCACCGACCGCTGATGACCTTGCCCCTACATTTACTCTTGATGAAGTCCTGCCTTCAGAGAGATCAGATACTCATCCTCAGGAAGTGGAAGCCACTGGGGAAAAGCCCTCTCTCGCAGTTGAGGATGCTGAAGCAGAGAGCGAGAAGGCAGAGATCGAAACCCTTCTCGAGAAGAAGGCGAAGAGGAATGGACGTCTTTTGAAGAAGGATCAAACACGTCTTACTGCCCTTGAAGAGAGTGCCGCTCGAAGGCTAGCGTCACCAGTCGTCCCTGAAGTCGAAGAGCCAGTTTCTGAGAAACCGATGGACCTCAGCAATACCGATGGACCCGCTCAGGAGTCTGAAACAAGCGACATATCAAAGAAGGCCGAGGGTACTCTGGACGATGACAACCGTCACCCGAAGGAGGAAGTGCCTTCTGCCAGACCTCCGGATGTCAGTGAAGTCCGCGCCAATGAAATTTCTACTGAAAGTGAGGCTCGAGATGCTGGTCAAACGACTGAGACCACAGATGCGGAAATGTCTCTGCCGGTTGTTGAAGGGACCGAGGAAAGCATTGATGTCGTTGACACGGTTGTGACTACTGAGCCTCAAGATGCTACAGCAGCTCCTGAAGGCGAAATTTCAGAGCTGGCAAGCACCAAGAAGTCTAAGAAAAAGAAAAAGAAGAAATCGGTATCTCTCATTGAGAACGAGGAAGTTCAAGATGCAGCAACACAGAACAGCGAACCGCCTGTTTTAGTATCCGAACCTGAGCGCCTGGATCAGCCTACAGCCAGTGTCAACGAAGTGCCGGTTGCCGAACCTGTTTCCCAAGCCTTAGTTTCCAAGGAGCCGTCAAATGAAGTGCCATCAAAGGATGCTGAACAGCCCGACATCCCTGCTGTGAGCCATCTCTTGGAGCCTACAACCGAGAGTACGGCCATTGAAAGCCAGCTTGAAGCAACTTCGGCTGCTATTGTGGAAGAGGCCGAGCCAGAGACCTCATCTGATAAGAAGAGCAAGAAAAAGAAGAAGAAGAAGAAGAATGCTTCTTCTGACGAGCCAGAGAAGCAGCCTGAAGCCGAGCCTACACCCCAAGAACCTTCCGAGTCAACTTCTGGAGATTTGATCTCTGATAATGCCAAGAACTCTGCCTCACAAGAAGCAAACTCCAACGTTGCCCAGACTGCAGAGTCAAGCGGCATTGAACCCACAGAGACGCCTGTCCCTCAAGATGAGCCGTCGCCTCCTATTGAGTCGGAAGTGACAAACACTGTCGAGACTGCCCCAATAGATAATGAGCAGACACAGCCAGCTGATGCCAAGACCATCGTAGAAACCCCTTCTGCCCAGGAACCAACACCAGCCACCGAGAGGCCTGATATTGCAGCACCCGATGAACCTCCCTCCGAAAATCCTCCGAACGTCGAGGACCCCGATTCACCGGCGAAACTGTCAAAGAAGGACAAGAAGAAGAAGAAAAAGGCCGAAAAGAAGAAAGCTGCTCTTGAAGAAACTCAGCAAACTGAGACTGAGCCTGGCCTTGCTACTACTTCTCAGAATGCTGAAGATTCAGCCGATCCTGGAATCAATGCCCCAGCCGAAAATCCTCAAGACACGCACGATGAGACCCTTAAACAGACCGATGAAAACGAGACACCTGACACAGCGATTCCTTTGGAGGATAAAATGACTCCTCTAGCCGACGATATCAATGTACCAGATACCGGAAATTCCGGAGAGCTTCCAAGCGAAGAACCAGCTGGTCCTGAAGACGAGCGGGGTGGGTTTAGCCTCAGTCAATCCCAGACCGACCAAAAGAAGAAGGCTAAAGACAACGATTTTGAAATCCTGCAGGACCCCGAGACCAACCGTCCAACGGAGCCGGAGACGATTCCGGATCCGGAAAAGCAGGACGTCGCCGCCGCCGCCGTGGATGAGGCCCAGAGCCAAGGATCTACCGAGGGTACAAAACGGAAGGAGGACAAGAGCATAGCTGGTGATCTTGAAGCCTCTGTCGAGCCCGAGACGAAGCTGGAGCCGGAATCGGAACTGGGACAGGAACTAGAAGACAATAAGGAGTTTGCTGGCTTGTCAAAAAAACAGATCAAAAAGTTGAAGAAAGCTAAGGCTCTGGCTGCCTTGGACTCCTCATCCAAACCACAGACGCCCAAGGGAACCGAAGCCTCAGAAGAGGTAACATCGGAACCTTCGGCTGAAGCTGGATTGGAGGAGTCTGAACCAAAGCCCCAGGTTCAAACCGAGCCTGTTGCTCCAAGCCCCACCGAGGCAGACCCAGAGCCTGACTTTAAGATTGAGAAAGAAACACTCCCGGAGATTGAGGAGATTGTACCTATAATTGAGCCTGTCATTGAAGCTGAATCCGAGTCGAAAAACGAGACTCAATCTCTGGACAACACCAATATTCACTCTGCGACTGGACAAGCCATTGCTGAGCCTGAAGCTGATGCCGACATCCAGGCATCACAACTCGAATCTAAGCAACAGACAGCCCCCGGACAGGATATCATTGTTCCTGCACTGGAGGTTGATTCTGAAGATAAAGCCGCTAATCTTGGTAAAGAGCCAATTACTAATAGTACAGTTGAGCAGAAGAGCGCGGTGGAAACAGATGGCTCATTAGAATACTGGGCTTTGCCAAGACAAACACTCAAAGAGCCTCTTGATACGATTGAAGTCTCTGGCTCAAAAGCTGAGGCGGAAAAGGAGGCCGATGTCGCAGCCAAGCCAAATTTCACGGAAGAGCGTATTCAAGATCCCTCACCCTCTTTCGTAAGGAAGGATGAGATGAGAGACAGCACATATGCCAGGCTATCTGAGGAAGCTGCTGCTTCGACGGTGCTCGAGTCTTCTTTGTCCATTGAGAATGTATCGACAGACGCACCTCTCGAATCCGCGGATGAAATTGCTCTAGGACAAGCCACTGATGATAACATTGAGTCTCTTCCGCAGCTGTCTCGAGCTTCTGCAGAACCCTCTTCAGAGCTCGACTCCGTCAGTGGGAACACTGATTTTCTACGTGGCACCAAAAAAGGCAAGCCAGATCACACCCGGGAGCTCAGTGTCACAAATATAGCTGCTTCTGATATCATTGCCTATGATGCCTTCATCTCCTCACCACAGCAGATTGCAATGAAGGCAGCTGAGCAATCTCCTCTAGACATAGAGTCTCTTGAGGCCAACCCCTCGCCGCCGGGCACAACTGAACAAGCGCCTGAGTGTCTGGAAATCTTAGATATTCCCGCCCAGCCCAAGTTGGCGAACCCTGCTTCTCAGGCTCATGAGGAGCCGCATACTCTGCCTATCCCGTTCACCGTTGATGCGGGTATTGGTGCTTCCAGTCCAGAGATAGCGCCTACAGCTACTTCTGTACTTTTCAAGAATTCAGCAGACCCTGGTCACGGTATCATTGAGGCCCCTGAAAGTTTGTCTCGCGCAGAGAAAAAGAAGTTGAAGAAAAAGAACAAGCAGAAGGCTGTCAATGAAGATGCCGAGGAGGCGGAGGAGCCTAGCAAACCCGTCGACGTCGACACCCCTTCAAACCTTGCAGTCGTTCATGAATTGATGACACCTGCAAATCCTCCAGCAAACTCCGTAATTAGTGCTGCATCCACGTCTGAACCAGGGGTAGGCTTGGGAGCCTCTGATTCCTCTGCATCTGCCGTGGAATCCAAACCAATGATTCCTCTTCAGATTGCTGTCGACGTAGAAAATGAGAAACAAGACCGATCTACGACGAAGAGGACAACAGAACCCACTTCTGAACCATCCTCTGGGCCCGCTACTTCTGAAGGCAAAATCAAAGCATCGGATGGTGTAGGCAGCCTAGAATCCGAACCAGTCAATGAGGCCGATGAAAACCAAGTGGTCGGGGATCTTGCGACGGCGTTTCCGAGCTCTCAACATATACCAGGAGCGACTATTGATCTAGCCTCTTGTGAACGTGAGGTTGTTGAACCTTCTCCTGGCCGTGATTTCAGTGCGCCCGAGAAGATTTTACCTGATTCTCCAAACCAGGGCATTGATACTACAGGCGGGAAACATCCTCAATCCTCAGGCCCTCAACGAGCTGAGAATGAGTTTACTACCGAAGAGTGGGATGCCTTCTCTTCCAAAGACAGGAAGAACATGAAAAAGAAGTTAAGAAAGATGGGTCTTGACCCAATCATCCAGGCTTCTTTTGAGCCGACCCATTCAATTGGCAAACCTCTGCCCGAAGTTGTGTCCGAAACGAGACCTTCCATATCTCAAATCGAGCCAATTAGTGCCGAAAGTAGCGGACAACCTGTGCAAGATCTGGAGGCGTCAAGGGCAGTGTCACCCTACGAAGGCGAGAACAGCATCTCTACTAGTAAAGATAATACTGGGAAGGGAACGGCCTTCGAAATTGGCAATGACCCGGATAAGTCAATTGAGCCTGCACCAGAACCTCGGGATACCCACGAGCGCTTTCTCGTAGACGCAGCACCTGCACCTGAGACACAATCAATCCGTGAGACTGAGCTGGATCAACAGAAGCCGCTGGACGGTGATACTAAACATTCTGCGATGCAGAAAACCAAGAGGGAAATGAGCAACGACACAAAGACGGATGACGACGTTCGCGCTTTGACCGAGCCACAAATCGTGGCAGAGACACCCATGTTTTCTGAAGACAATCAGCACGCGCCTGATGCGCAGGAAGACGTCCATGGTTCTCTGCTGCCTGAGAACGCAAACATACAGGAGCCGGGAAGTGATGGCGCACCAATTCCATCAACTATCGCGCCAAAGTGGGAATCACCACCACCGAGCAAGCCAAATCAAGAAGTGAAAACAGAGCAGCTCACTAGCCAAGCCCCCTCGACTCCAGACTTAGAACACTCGTCCACAGATATTCCAGAGATCGATGCGGGGCTTGTCGGCGCTACATGTGCCGTAGAGACGCCGACACAACAGGAAATACGGGAAGCCAGAGATGAAGTGGCACCAGCTCTAGCATCTGACAAAATGTCAGAGGAGACCAAGGAGACCAGAGAACACCAGGAGTCTGTCCTTGTACCAGCAGAGAGTTTCACATACGGCGATGAGCCAGCCGATTCTGCTGGGGTTGATACGGACCACGAAGCCTACCTTCCTGCTGCTGAGCTTGCTCAAAAGCATCAAATTGACAACAATTATGGCGCGGTCATATTCGCTCCATCAACAGATCACCCCCCAACCATGATTGAACATCCAGCACTTGGCGTCCCACAAGAATCCCCCGAACAAGCGATGAGCCTTGATTTGGCTGAAACTAGCAATGCTGATAACTCAGCCCAGGCTTCCAGGTCCCATCTGGACACCGAAGAAAGCTCTGGCCCACGAGTGATTCCTGTCAAAGAGTCTGATGAATCTATGCACACAGGCGCACCTTCAACTTTAAAGGATGTGGAGTCGTCTGAGTCGACAGAACCTCGGCACGATGCCACCACACGATCAGCGATTAAGGCCCCTGATTCAAGAACCGACACATTAAATGTCTCTCCATCTGATGCACATGCCGAGATGTTCCAGGGAGATATTGTCAATATCAGGCGAGGCGACGAGAGTGTCACTCCTTCAGAGAAGAAAGAAAAGAAGCAGCCTTTGCCGAATCCATCCATTGCTACTCTTATACTAAGCAATGCCAACGAAGAGTGTGCAGTCTTGGACGATGCCCAAACACAACGGGAGATTCAAAACCAGCCAAAGCCTGTTGATGGAATATTGAGCGATCTTCATGAAACCCAACCAGAAACCGGACTTCTCACCATTGATCAGGTTGGGATCGATAACAGAGCAGCACCAGCCAAGTCGGGTACTATCTTCCTGGAGCCGGAATCACCATACGTACTAAAGCCTACAACAGCCGCAGCTGAGATCGAGAGTAACTGTCACCCCGGTATGCCTGACGAATCAACTGTACCACCAAAGCGAATCGGAGAAGCAACTCAGATGGAAGATGCAACTAAACTGCACTTCCAGAAGGACAAGAATATGAAGACGAGCCACGCTTTGGAAGCGTTAATGACAGAAGAGAAAACTTCCCCAGACCTATCAAGCCGGACGCACACCGAGTTCCCCCGAGTTTCTGACAGCATATCGATTCTGGATGATTCAAAACTGGACGATAGTGCCCAAGATGTTGTGCCGAACCTCGTACATGTGCCTGAGACCCCAGGGCCAGGCCAGGCATCACGTCAGGCCACAGAAGGAAAGCAATACCTCGGAAACAAATACAAGGATGGCCCTATTGTTGATTCAACTGTCGCCGAGAAGGAAGAGACGGGGTTCCTTCTTCGAGATTTCAGTACTGAACACCCCACTGTCAAAACTACACAAAGTCCTCCCCCCACGACAAGTAAATCTTCTACTCTTAGCAAAGGCGAGCCGTCGCTAGCGCAGGTTGAAGCAAATACATCTGTTGGGCCTTCACCAAGACAAGTCTCTGAACCTTCGCCTGTTGCCGCAGAAGTTCCCCTTGTAAAGTTGGCCAAAAAGGAAAAGAAGAAGCAGAAGAAGAAGCAGAAGCAAGCGGATCATGAACCTGTCGAGGCAACAAGAGAAATGCATCAAGGTGTGCTATCTGATCAAGTTGTTTCTGACCATCCTGTCAACAACCGTCTTCTCTCAGGACCGAATGCCCCAGTTTCCGAAGAGCTTGTGACGACGGCCGTGTCAGACGATTTACGGTCAATACTGATCAAGAAGGAACCCAGGAATAAGGAAGAAACAGACAAGCAGCCACAGGATGGTGATCTAATCCATACCAAGCTTTTTCTGCCCGGATTGGCAATCGAAAGTCAGCCAGATGCAGCCGTTCAAGTTGCATCAGGTCGTGGAATAAGTGATAGAGCTCCTGCTCCGACCAAAGATGGTTCCATAGCCCCAGAATCTCCTGTGGTAACTCCCACCGTGCGACATATCCCCGCAACTACACTTGCACATGATACTGTGGGCAAGGATGCGGAAATGACACCAGCTTCCGCGAGCCATTCCATTACGCCAAGGTCAGAGGAGACCAGGTCGAGTGAAGATGCACGCTACAGAGGCATGGCCTCGGAGGAAAGAACCAGTCTCTCCAATGGGCCACCAAGTTTGACCGCGACAGTGACAGAGCCGCGTGACACCAAATCTATTGACAAGTTGTCGAAGAAACAAAAGAAGAAAGCCCATGAGTTAGGCTTGGAAGTGAGATCTGCTGGACCATCAGTCTCACCAGAGCACGCATCTGCCAGTGATCGAGATGCTCAGCTTTCACTTGCAAATGAGACAATACAGCTGAAAGAAACTGACAGATCAGCATCGCAAGTGGATGAGCACCTACCACTCCAAGGGTATCCTATTATTGGAATTGCTGCTCCCCCTGTCATGTCTTCTCAAGAAGCTGATCTACCCTCGCCTGAGGGCTGGACACGCCCACTTCCTTCATTTCCACAAGACCAGCTATCTGGAACGGATGATCTCTCGGTTGCATCGTTTCTTGCCCCAGTACAGCGTTCTGAACACGCTGCGTCTCAACCCTCAGGGGCAGGATCCGACACCCCATCAGCCTTCGATGCAAAAGAGGAAAAGAAGAGCCTGGGAGAATCCGAGCCGACTTCCATATCTCCGAAAGGATCTCCTGATGCTAACCCACAAGCCGTAAAGGAATCTACAGATCAGCTTGTACGCTCTTCAAAGGTTACAGCCGCCACTTCGGCGGTTTCGAAAGATGAACCAGGCCTGCATAAATCCAGCAAGCCCAGTACATCGACGTTTGCTGGAGTGATTGCAGCCACTGCCGCAACGTTCAGCTCTGCCATGTTCGGGGATTGGACAGGAGGCGACAAGAGTAAAGGCGCAAGAAAAGAAGAAAAGAAACCAGAAGGCGAGGATGGCACCAGGGAAGAAAGTAATAAGGAACCGCAGAATGGTAGGAAAGGCGCAACCAAAAGCTCAAATGACACCAGATTACCTGCAAGGGGTATTGACAAAAGTCCACTGGGAGAGAACCTGACGCACCGAGAAGTCCAGGATGTGAGGAGGAAGAAACCGGAAAAAGGCTTCGCCAGTGGTAGTGCGGACCACAAGGAAAGAAGTCACGACATTGCTACGGATGCTAAAGACAAGAGCGAACTGGCAGAAACAAAGCTAAAAGCTTCAAAAAAGTCAAATAATGTCACATCGTCTGTTGATGAGATGCTGTTCGATGCGCCAGGAAAGAAGAGGCGCTCAGAGAGCTACGAAGGAACATCGGAAGTTCGTGGCACAGCTGAAGGTCCTTCGACCAAGCCGAAGAGAGAGCGCAAGTCAACTTCGCGGCGGTCACATGCAGAAACTTCAGACACGATGGAAAGTCCGGTGCTTGGCAAAGGAGAGTTGGAGCTGTTCAGAGGTTCCCCCAAGCCTCTTCTTCGCCGTGGATCTGACGTTGAGGAGCCTAAGAGCGGTCTATTACGAGAGGACAGCAAGACATTCACACCACTGATGGGAACGGAATCAGACATTAGTGATCTACGACGATCGCCAAGCAGACTCTTGGAGCCAGTCCCAGAGGTTCCCGAGGCCGAAGTTGAGCCAGCCAAGGATATATTCGCAACACCAAAAGCCAAACGCGACAGCGCTCCAGTTGGTGAGGCATTGAGCTTCCAGAGACGAAGTAGACGTTTGAGTGAAGAGGCACATCGTGACAGCGGATTTGGAGGAGAGTTATCAACTCTAAGGCAAAGCAAACCTTCTAGTCAAGAGGCTTTACGCGATAGTGGAGTGCATACCGAAGACTGGGCTGAAAGAGAAAGTCAAACACAGCCAGTTGCAGACCGCGCGGTGTTGCAAACTCCTGATCCACCGAGCGAGCGAAGACTGCGTCGATCTCCGCGAGGCACACCAGTGTTGCGAGAGCCTGCAGTACCAGGACCAACACCGGAGCCAGAAAAGAAGAAACAATATGGGGCTCTTACTCCAGCCGGCGCAGCTGTAGCCGCCGTTGCAGCGGGTGCGGGCTTAGCGGCAGCCCTACGAGGGTCTGAGCCTTCAACTCCAATTCCAACCACAAATTCCAACCCGACTTCATCATCAGTTTCTGGTCAGAGAAGCGCTTCAGACAATGCAACTCCTTCTCGTCGGTCAACACCACGTCTCGAGGGTTCAGGACGTCGCACTGTCTCTAACACCAGCCTCTCTCGGCGTCGGACCCCGGAGCCGCTTAAGTTGAGGCCTGATAGCCCAGGCATCAACCGCTCGTCAGGCACCCCCACACCACCGCTCCGCCGTGTTGACAAGCGAATGAGCAGTGATTTGCGGGCTCTACGTCAACAAAACACCACCGCCGCCGCACCCGTCAGTTCCACGCCTGTCGCAAATGAGGGTCGCGCCCGTGCCAAGGAAATGGCCGACGTCTATGTAAGTCTATCGCCAATAATTATCCCAATGTAATACGGCGCTAACAATAACAAAGGATGGCTTCGGTGAGGGTCGCATCGGCTCACCCCGATCGCCAACCCGGCCACACAGCATGCGCCGCCGACAAAGCATGCAGGTCCTCGAACTCGAGAATAAGGTCGAGCAGCTTATGGCCGAGAACCGAATGCTTACAGAAGCCCGCGCTATGGCTGAGACGAGCCTTAGTCAACGAGCTGCCAGCAGTCTAGCCGATCGCGATGCCGAAATCGACAATCTCAAGCAATCGTTACAATTTCTTCAGAACGAAGTCTCCAGACTTACAGAAGTTAATGACGGTCTTGCAAGCGCCAATGCCGAGCTTGCAAGCAAAGACAATGGCCGTGTAACTGATCTTGAGAGCCGCAATGCCGTTGTCACGCGTGAACTAGAAGAGGCTCGACGCGAAAAAGGCAACACCGAACAGTCTCTTGAAGCAAAGGACGCAGAAATTGCCGACCTTCGTGCCAAACTGAGTTCCGCCAAAGAGAAAATTCGTGACCTTCAGCGCCAGATTTTAGAAGCCAAGGCTGGCGACGACCATTTTCTCAACATCCGCGACGAGGATCATTTCGACCATCGTTGCCAACAACTTTGCTCTCATGTTCAGCAATGGGTGCTTCGGTTCTCCAAATTCTCTGATATGCGCGCTTGCCGCTTAACAAGCGAGATAAATGACGAGAAAACAATCGATCGACTCGACAACGCCGTTCTTGATGGATCCGACGTTGACGTTTATCTCCGGGACCGTGTGAAGAGACGCGATATCTTCATGTCCATGACCATGAACATGGTTTGGGAATTTGTCTTTACTCGCTATCTTTTTGGCATGGATAGAGAGCAGCGACAGAAGCTCAAGTCACTGGAGAAGCTGCTGACCGAGGTCGGCCCTATCGAAGCGGTACGCCAATGGCGCGCCGTTACCTTGACTTTACTGGCGAAGCGCGAAAGTTTCAAGCGCCAACGTGATCTGGATACAGAGGCTGTTGTTCAGGCCATCTTCCAGACACTGTGCAAGATCCTCCCGCCACCATCAAACTTGGAGGATCAAATTCAATCTCAGCTACGACGTGTCATGAGAGAGGCCGTTGGTCTCTCGATCGAGATGCGGACGCAAAAAGCTGAATACATGATGCTGCCGCCTTTGCGACCTGAATACGATGCGGATGGTGAACTTACTGCGACAGTTCAATTCAACGCATCGATGATGAACGAACGAAGCGGCAACATTACAACCTCGAATGAAGATCTTGAGGCTCAAGGTGCCATTGTTCGGGTTGTTCTTTTCCCACTTGTCGTCAAAAAGGGAGATGATAATGGCAAGGGCGACGAAGAGATAGTGGTATGCCCTGCACAGGTTCTTGTGCCCCGCTCCAAGGGTCTATTTGGTGGCGCAAGTGATGGTGGGAGCACTTCCATCGGCGCTCGGAGTCATATTAGTCTTGTGACTGAGACAATGGGTCAAACTGAGGTAGATTATGTAGATTAAGGGATACAGGATATGGGAAGATACCACTTGGGAAAGGAAAATAGGCGGTGTTTTGGGCTTTGATATTTCGGGGACAAACGCACTACGAGTGAGCATTTCCTTTGTTTGTTTATGGTTTGGGAATGAAAGGGGAAAGGGTCTCACGATCTCAGTTTTATGTTTTGCTTTTCCTAACTCCTTTTTATGTTATGCGTGGGTTGATCAATGGCGGTTCGATCTTGTTCGATTTCACACGTCCTTTGATATTTTCATTCTTTTCTTTTGCTATTTATCTGTGTCTGCAATGACATTTAATGTCTGAACGCTGGGGATTTGATGTATCTATTGGGTTCGATCTGTAAATTAGATCTGTTAATGACACGTTCTCATGACTTGTTAGTTATCGTCGGATCCATTGTTTGATTTGTCCTTACAAGTTGTGTATCGCATTAAACTAAAGTATCTATTGTCAAATACCAAGATGGCCAGGCATGGGTATCAAAAGCTGTCTACTGCCACATGGGCGATTCCATATTCATATTCGTTTCTCTACCAGGTACTCTTTAAGGCCAGAGGTTCTACCAAGTTCAACACGAACCCATGTTCACTAGGCGCCAAGCGTTATTAACTTTTCCCAAGAAAATCCATGGAACACTTTTTTCCTCTCCTTGGGGGTATAATATGTTAACAAAAACCATATCCTGGATTGCTTAAAAGCTTGAACCTATCCCGGAGTTGACTTCTGCCTTTCGTCGTTGAGCCTTCATGATAGATTCCAAGGTCTTTCCATCTTCCACCATGTTGCTGTCATCTTCTCGTGTTTCCTTGCTCTCGATGTCGTACCTAACTCGTCCAATGGGTGGCAAAGTCTGCTCCCATGCTTGTTGTAGGGGTCTTTTCAGGCTCTCTTGCAGGGTTGTTTGCATTGGACCTTCTAAAAGCTCCTTGGTCGGCTCTTCTGGCTTGAAATGCGGCTTCCTCGTTGGCGCTGGCATTCGCGGCATCTCCCCCCTTCTACGCCTATTGGTCCATCTCCACCCATCAAGTGAGACGGCAACCTTTTCTGCCTGCTCCTTTCCGTAAAAATGCTTAATTTTTCTGACCAAGTACCGGAGCCGCGTCTTGCGGCCCATCTTACCCTCCTCAAGATCTTGAAGCAATACCTCAGCTAGAGTCTGTATCAAAGGCTGTGACATATGCTGCCCAGTCCTTTTGCCCCAATTGATAGCGGTTTCAATATATCTAAGGCGCTGTCGGGTTGTCAGACCGGGTTTCTTCATGTAGAGCTGACATATCTCTTTCAGGAAGTCCATCATAAACACAATATTCCGTACGATAGGGGCTTTCAGCCGGGTAGCAGTTTTGGAGGAGCAAAATTCAGCGATCCGCCAGATGAGGTCTGGCGGTAGGTCCGGATGCGTTACTATAGCTTCTGCATGTCGTGCCCACATATACCAAGGAAATTTATGCTTGACTGACGTGCCTTCATTGTATGATTCCCAAAGCATGACGGCACAATACGGGTCTTTCTCCATCTTCATGATATCTTGTATAATCCCATGACGATCGCTCACCAATCGAATCGACTTGATCAATGTATCAAGGCGTCCAAAGGTTTCACTGGTGTGAGTAAGCGCCCTCAAGTTCGCTATGCGTTTCTTGGTTTCGCTGTGACGAGAGTCTAGAAGTATTGCTGCCCAGGAGTGCAGCTGAGTAGGCCCGATAATCCATTTGTATAATTGCTCTGGGCGTATTCCTCCCTGTGTCGTGCTCATAAGACGAATAGCCATGAATTGCCAGACTTCTGATTCTGCCCAATCTTGCGTGTCGTGAACATTGCTGGCGAGTGTGGAGAATTCATCTGTTTTAAGACCTGGAACTGCCGCCAATTTCAACAATAGCTGAAAAGCTAACGTGCGTTGGTCTGTGGTCTCATTGACCAACTGGAAGCAATGTTTCGTCAAAGCTTCAAATGTTTCTATTTCCGTCATACCTCGGACAGTAATTAATCGAGTCAATTGCATACTGCGGCGCAAGAGGCGGAATGATATAGGTCGCGTAGGATATTGCTCGCCCTGTGTCATTTCCAGTTGATTATGGCTGTGCATCAGGTCGAGGTAGTCACTCGTATCTAGTTGTAATCTTTCGTATAGAGCAAGTAATCTCAGAAGCTCCTCCAGGCAATCGAACGTAGAAGGCTGGGGTGTCATTTGCAATATTGTTTTGAGGCACTGGTGCCAAACATGGCCCCCAAACAAATCTTCAGTTGAGGAGGCCCGAGCACGATATACAGCGTGGATTATGTATATCCATTGTTTGGCGGCCGCGTTATCGAGGACTTTGGCCGGTGCTCGTTGTCTGAGATGATTGTCAAATGGATCGAGAGCCCGGATAAGGTCGTCTTTGGAAATCGTCCTTTCCTCGACCATTTTTAAGATTTGAAGAACATAGGGCTCGCATATCTTCTTCAATGCTTTTTCGTCTTCGAACTTGTAGAATTTGGCGAGCCGCTCGTTCATATCACCCCGGGCCTGTCCTATTGGCGAGAGAGTTATTGTCGCTGGCACCAGACCCGCCTCCGGTGGTGGTGTAGCCGCTGCAAGCTCGGCATTTTGTTCGTGTCCTAGGTCCTCGAGGTTCCTGAGAAAGCGCTCGAACAGACCAACCTTTTTTTTATGACGATCGTTTGGTGCAACAGGAGCCTCCCATGTCCATTCGCCAAGATTAACGGGCACTTCGATCCTCCAAGGAAATGGTGAAGCATGAGAATTAGGAATAACGGCAACCATATGTCGCTTGCCCAAACGACGCCGGCTCTCGAGAGGGCCGGCATATGAGCTTAAACTTCGACGAGGAATCGGACAGACGCGTTGAAATCGCTCAATGGCTCGGGCTAATTGGGCATTGGTGATCCAGACGCCGTCTGGTGAGCTTGCAACAGAGCACACACCCGAGCGCCGGCATAGTGCGGTATAGTGCATCGTCGAAGCATTGGAATTCCTCAAATCGCGGGATATAGTATCGTAATTCGGTTCATGTCGGCATCGTGACTATGCTCTGCGCAGAATTCACGTTAGAGCTGGTTTCTTAGTAACTAGATACCTAAGGTAAAGGTGCGTGAGAACTTTCAATTTGGAGCATTTGGCCCACACACGAGTGGCCAACCAGAAAAATGATATTACCCCAGGTTTTTTTTTAGTTCCATGAGCTAAGTGAATGCCTCAGGCTGTATCAATCCTTTATCTGCCTTGCTCCACAAAACGAGTCCCTGGCGTCTCCTGGCTCTGCGACAAGGTCTCTCGGGAGGGAAGCAAAAAGACTTGAGACCTTGAATAGGGCGTCTAAAAATAAATTGACAAAAGCATCCAGAGTTTATCTTTACTTACCCGACTATTTTTGTCACTTAGGACTTGGTCCGTAAGTTTTCTTACTTCCTCTCGGAGCTACCATATGGAGAACCGATGTGTTCAAAAGCCCCAGAGCCCCTTTTGCTGTATGCTGATACGCTGTGTCTTGTGGTCGTCCCTGCGTCTCCCTGCATCTTATTACGTCTTCTGATATTGACTGCATAAATAGTATCGATTCGGCTCAAAATTACATCTGACAAGGCTAGACTATAAGCTTCCGGGGTTTGTATACTTTCCGTCGAGGTTGCGGCGCATTCCATCGTTTTGACAGGCCCTTGATAGCCACAAGATCCCTGCCGCGGCTCCGGCTGGCCACTACGGTGAGCGTGGAGCTCCCCTAATTGGCAACATCAAGGAACCAGCCTGTCCCTGCTCGCGTTCGTCTAATACTCCGTAATCCGTACATACTGCTTGTCGCCTTCTCCTGAACACGATATTCGTCCTGATTTAATCAACATCACAACAAGACATCACATACGACACTTTCACTCTGCATCGATCAGCACCGCTCGATGGCTCTGTGTGACTTCTTATCGACCCCGACTACGTCACAGAGAAGCTAGATGGAGCCCGTGGTGTATGAGGAGACCCCGTTCGCCGACTACCTCAGAGGTGAGCATTATTCTCCCTTGCGCGCCATATCGCTCTTCCCCTATGTGGACTAACATAATTCAAGATGGGGGAGATGAGCCCCAGGCCGACTGGGCGCCCGGTGCAGTAACGCCCGAACTTGATTCATCCGCTGGTCGATCAAGCCCATCACCACCATCCAGTCCATCTCCTTTCGCACCCACTGGTCGACCTTTAGTTAAACCAAGGTTCCGAAATAAGGCTCCGAATGGGCTTCATTTACAAGTCCCGAAGCCCTCCTCATTGCGATCTGCTAGCAGGAAGTATTCAGTATGTTACCTCGAACTGGTGTAACCAATCAACAATTGCTAAAACCACGTGCCATAGGCTGCAGTTGCAGCGAGTATCGACCGAGCTGACAACGCCAAATTCCTCGAACAATTCCGATATACCATCATTGCGTCTCAGCTTCTAAGTGGCCATTCCGGGCTGGGGCAGTCGCAGTTAGGTAACAGGGGACCTAGCCCGCCACCGAACGAAGACGAATCCCTATTGTCAACGGAAGGAATTCTGGCATCAGTTCTTGCCGCTCTTGCGGTTGCCGTTGTTCTGAGTTGGGTTCTTGGCAGTGGCGTTACGAAGAAGAGACTGGTCTTTCTTCTCATTCTTTGCGCAGCGGCAGTCCTGCTTGGCCAGGTTTATATGAAGCGACAATGGCTCCGGTATCGAAGATCGCAATCACTGTCTGAGATCACTTCTTTTGTTGAAAACTCACACAACTTTGACAGTGCGTCAGGTGCAGCTCTCTCTCTCATACAGGAAGTCGAGTTGGTATCTCGAGGTTACAGACTGTACGTCTCTCATTATCATGTGACAGCATCTGCTAAACAATTCACAGTAGCGCTCCCTTGCCACCAATCAGCCGTATAGAAGACCGTACCCAAACCCGGCGTTGTGTCAGACTGCGCAAAGCCTTGAGACATTCTTTCCAAGAGGTTCTTGAGTCTTACAACCAGGTTTGTACAGTTGTCAACGGATTTGCGGAGCAAACAGACTTGGAAAAATATTACGATATATACGACATTACCGACTTCGACATGTCAGACGCCCGTCAAGGACTAAGTGATGAGGATCTGGACGATCCTGAATCCTTGAGAACCCTGAAAATTCTCGCTGCTCGATTCTCCACCATACGGAAACTATTCCTTTGCGCTCTACTTGCTCTGGATGCCAACAGTGATGCAAATGATTTGCTTCGTTGGACAACAGCTGTAGAGTCTCTTTTGAGCTTAAACAGTTCAACTCAAACTGCTCATGCTAGGCTACAGAGCATCCTCAGCGAGCAAGACAGTAAGAATACGATGGAGGTTCTCATTAATTAGTCATCTGCTCACACTTCTCTAGCTTTTCCATCTTCCCCTACGCCAAAGAACGCCCTTACGCCTGGGCGGGAGCGCTGGAGAGCTCAACTTCGGAAACTTAACTCACTATCAAGCGGAATCAGAGGCCTACAAGCGAAACTGCAACTGCTTCGTGAAGAATCCGACAGGACCCTGAACGACTCGAACGACATCTCGGAGCTCGGCCCGAATCTAATGGCGCAATATGAGTCCATCGGCATGGATCTAAAAGATCTAATGGCCGCGTGGGAAGAGGGCAGGGCAGCTTTGGCACTCGGCATCGATAGAAACGAGAAGAGGCTCTCATCCATGAGTACTTTGCTGTCGCCTGTTAGTTCTCTCAGTGGGCTTACTACTGTGGACGAGAACGGTGGGGCTGCAGCAGCGCTCAAAGCATTGACAGGCGAGTCTCCGCCTAGTTCTGAGTATGCTGGTTCCATGGAGCAGGAGGCACCTGAAGTCTTTGAAGCCGTTGCTCTCCCACGGCCGCGAAGCATGCTCACACGAGAAGAAAGAATAGTCAAAGTTCGGGAAGAACGAGAACAAAAGGCCCTTGCCCGACAGCACGTTGATGCAACCAAGGGTATGCTTCGGGAGCTAGAGACAGTTATTAACCTACGACCTCGAACTCGTGCCAGCGCACCGGCAGGTCGGATTGTGTCAATGTAGGGGTATCGATTTTTATGAAACAAACAACATCACGATCATTATCATCAACACTTTTCTATCGCCTTCTCCCACCTTCACCAAGTACAAAACAATCGTCTGAACCGACTCCGAACCGTTTTCTTATTCTTGCTATCGACTTATGAAAATTCACATTCGAGCTCCACAGACAGATAAATATGTCAAGCACAGGTAGCGTTACGACGACACGCACAATTCTCTATAAACGGCACTTTTCTATAGACAAGCCATGGATGGCTGCGGCGTTTCAGGTTCAGGGTTGGGGACTTTGTTTTGTATTATTTGCCCACTATCATCATTCTAGGCGATCGGGTTTTGGACGACGTTCAATCGCACACCAATGTTGCCTTATGGAAGCTAGCTGCAAGACATATGCGCTATAAATCGGTCTCCTGGGAAACCATTCGTTCCTATCTAATGATCTATTTTGTTCGATGTAAATGATAATGGGGGACACTTAGCAATATATGTATGATAGGTAGCTAGCTAGTAGGTATACATAACAGGTCGTTACACATACTTATGGACAACTCCGGTACCATTCCCCTCTGTCGTTCTATACCTAACCAAGGTACTCGGGGAGGTAACAATGATTCAGGTAGCTTTAAGAACTGGAAAGAGCCTGAGAATCTACCTGGGTACAAAGATACTTCTGCGGTTCACACCTGTCGGATAAAAAGCCAAGGGACCGAGGACCTCTCAGTTAGGTAGTACCTAGGCATCCATCCATATTTTGGAATAACAGGGACGTCACTAAGCTTGGGAATGATATACCCCTCTCAAGCTATGATCTTATATCAAGACATAGAAAACATAATCTGGAGTTTTGGAAAAAAAAAATTAAAAAAATTCGGTTCGAATGTAACACTTCAACCCTAACCGACAAAAGGCTTGGGTAAGTTTAGTAGGCGTCGGAGGCCTTTTTAATTACTTCTGGCATTCTCATCTAATGGCTGAAGTTTTCTTGCTCTCAGACATACCTAGGCTAGGGGAGGCAAGAAAACTTGGACCTTTATCCTAAGTGATAAAAATAATTAGTCTAAAGGCTTACTAAGTCTACACTAAATTTACCTAAATATTTTTATCACTTAGGATAGGTTTTGAGTTTTCTTACTCCCTGAGGCTAGGTACAGAGTTAGTGAGTAGTGGGGCTTTCCAATTATCTACCTCTTAGAAGCGTCCGCCCAAAACGCGACGCGTCGGGTGTTTCATGGTCGCGCGTTAAGTGACTCCCCACCTGCCAGCTAGCGTAAAGCAGCCTAGCAATTTCGTGACAAAAGCACATTGCTATCTGCATCTCGCATTTCATCCACCAGACAACCTCCCATACTCCTTCCATAACCATAACACACCTTGCTTTGCGAGCTTCTCTGTTCACTTATTCTTTGCTTATACTCCCTGTCCATCTCTACCCACTCATTACCAGGAAACCTTTCAATCAGTCAGTCACCTCCACCAACGAACACCCCGCCCTTTTTCTATATGCGTCGCAGCTTCACGTGCCGTGAGGAAATGTATCAGTGGTATGCTAACAAATAAACAGAGATGTTGGAAGCACGACTCGCTCAAGCTGATCTTCTGAAGAAAGTCGTCGATGCAATCAAGGACCTGGTCCAAGATTGCAACTTCGACTGCAATGACAGTGGCATTCAGCTGCAGGCCATGGACAACTCCCATGTGGCCTTGGTTTCCATGATGTTAACTGCTGAATCCTTCGAGCCATTCCGCTGCGACCGCAACATCTCCCTCGGCGTCAACCTCACATCCCTGACCAAAGTCCTACGCGCTGCTCAGAGCAACGACGTTCTTACGCTCAAGGCTGAGGATGGCCCTGATGTGCTGAATCTGCAATTCGAGAGCCCTGAGAACGACCGTATCAGCGAGTATGACCTCAAGCTTATGGACATTGACCAGGAGCACCTGGGTATTCCCGACACCGAGTATGCTGCTACAATTGCAATGCCCTCTACCGAGTTTCGTCGCATCTGTACCGACTTGATGGCTATGTCAGAATCAGGTTAGTTTTCGCAAGGCTCGCTTCATATTTGGCTACCGAATTGTTGTCTAACACTCAGCTCAACAGTGATGATTGAGGCCTCCAAGGACGGTGTCAAGTTCGCATGCAATGGCGATATTGGTAACGGCTCAGTGACTCTTCGAAGCCATACCGATGTCGAGAAACCCAAACAAAACGTCGAAATTGAGTTGAGCGAGCCTGTCGCCCTCACCTTCTCCCTTAAGTACCTGGTCAACTTCTGCAAGGCTGCTGGCCTCTCCGAGCAGGTCAAGATCAAGCTCTCTAATGAAGTGCCCCTCTTGGTTGAATACGACCTTGGAGGTCAAAGCCACCTGCGTTTCTATCTTGCTCCCAAGATCGGTGATGAGGAATAGAGGACTGCCATAATGTAATACGACACCATCGGGGCCATGCAAGAAACACAGATACCAAGAATTTTGCCTGCTTATTGGAAGTCTTTCTGTAGGCATAAAAGGGGTGTGCGAAGGGAAAGGACTGTAAACGAACAGGTTAGATAGGGAATACAAGGGTACTGAGTCAGGAGCTTTAGTCCCTTGTTGACCAACCAGTTTTGACGATAAATGATATTTTAAGATCGTACTTCTCAAAATTGATACTGACATGACACAACACTAGTCCTCCTACATCGGAGATATTATGTCTGTGAATGTACTGTTTTATTATTGCCAGGATATGCTCATATTCCGATACTAAGCAACCCGATCGTTCCACGTTGCACGTCTGTTAGTAAGATGTCAGATCGTATATTCGGAGCAAGCTCAGCTTACAAGTTGAAGCTATTCGCAGCATATATACTATACCTGAAGCCATTACTCATTGGAGTTAATTGGCTTAGAAAAGAAGCCTGGTGCGGGGCAATGACTGCATCGTATCAGACGCTGGCGGGGCACACAACCAAATGGAAGTCACTGGTAACCTTTTGGTATCAGCTGAAGGGCGTGGAGACAAGGCTGTTCTCGCTGCAATTGAGTTAATTAACTCGCTTTGTTACTCAGGTCGGAATTGGGTAGGTAGGCATTCTGAAGTTTCTGTTTTCTAAACTTTGTACATACAGGTAGGTAGCTTGTTGATACTCCAGGTTTAACCCGATTTCTTCAAGTTAACTTGTGACTAATATCGAGCGATATACAGCTCAAAAGACGCCGCAATCGAGTTCTAGAACTAACCTATCTCCTTGAGTCAGATTCCCATTTTCTCTTCTTTTCCTTCGGTCTTCACAACTAACCCTCAGACTTCCCATTTCATTAGGCTCCGGTATTTTAAGATTCTACCGCAGGATCGTCCGCTGACGTCGACCGAGAGATTTTGTTCAGTGACGTCTCTCACACCCCCAGGCATACAAGGGAAATCTTTGGCTAGGCTTGCGTAGAGTTCTCTTCAAAACGCTTGCAGTGTATCAAGGAGAGATCGAAGATTGAATTGGTGCTTTTGGTATCATGTCCATCACCCCAACGATACCCGATACGCGGGTTCTCGCCGTGGCAAGCCATGTACGTACGCCATCAAATATCCTGTCACTCTTTAAAAACATTTTGAGCCGAGACTGATAGTTTGTTGTTGTAGGTTGTCTCTGGGTAACTATCTCTTTGCTCTCGGGGTTACGGTGACTTATATGCACTAGGTATGTTGGTAACAAGATTGCCGTCTTTGTGCTACAATCTTTGGGATGTGACGTCGCAGCTCTCAACACCGTACAGTTCAGTGAGTATTCATGTCGTCTTGATCGATGAAGCAATATGATGAACCGTGTTTCTAACTCGCGGGCTTCACCTGTAAAGGCAACCATACCGGCTATAAGCAATGGAAGGGAACGAGAGTTTCGGCACAGGAGATCATGGATCTTTGGGAAGGACTAAAACAGTCGTACCTGGATGATTTTGACGTGATGCTTTCTGGATATATCCCAGGCGCTGAAGCCGTCGACACGGTCGGTAAGATAGGCCGAGAACTTAAGGAAAAGTCAATGCAAACACCTGGCAAGTTCTTCTGGGCTCTCGATCCGGTTATGGGTGACAATGGAAAGATATACGTCTCTGAGGAAGTTGTGCCAGCATACAAGAGGCTCATCCATGATGCGGATCTGATTCTTCCAAACCAGTTCGAGGCCGAGTACGTTTAAGCGTCTGTTAATATTTTAGAGACACTAACTAATGATGTTATGAAAAGGCTACTTTCCGAAGTCAAAATCCATGACATGGACAGTCTCCGAAAGGCTATCCAAGTACTCCACGACAAGTACAAGATTCCTCATGTCGTCATTACTTCAGTCAACCTTGAGGCGCCAGACCATCCGCCTTCGCATCTCTCTGTCGTTGGTTCAACTATGACAACTACTGGCAAAGCTCGCTTTTTCAAGATTGTCTTCCCATCAATCGATTGTTATTTCAGTGGCACAGGCGACATGTTTGGCGCTCTTATGGTAATCCGCATGCGTGAGGCTGTCTTCAACGCCGACGAGCAGGTGCGACATAGCGCCAGCTGGCTTAGCGACGATTCTGTATCGGCTGCTGAACTACCCCTTGCACGCGCTGCAGAAAAGGTCCTGGGCAGTATGCATGAGGTTCTGTCTAAAACCTGCGAGGGCATGAAGAGGGTGGTTGAACGAACAACGGGCGACATGAAAGATGAGGATCGAATTGACCAAACCAAGGCGCATCTCGTAAAGAGCAAGGCGGCAGAGCTTCAACTTGTGAGGAATCTGGACTGCTTACGCTCGCCCGCGACGCAATACCATGCGAAGGCAATTTAGACCGGGGGGGGGGGGGGGGGGGGGGGGGGGGGGTTATGTAAGGTTACAATGACACTATAGAAGAAACCAGCAAAGATGAAATAGAAATAGGTAGAAAGGGTGTGAGAATAGGCGTCTGGTTATGATTCCATTCAAGGGTTTCCCATCTATCTTTCAGGGTCAAATAATTCACTTGGATGGCGTTCCTTCCACAAGCTTTACAGTAGGTCTATTCCATTGGCCCAAAACCCAATTCATTAATTCATGAGACTCATCCTCCTTGACGGTCTAACCAGTGCTGCCGAAGCCGCCAGCGCCTCGAACACTCTCCTCGAGTTCTTGAACCTCGACAACCTCGGGGGTGTAGATGCGCTCCAGAACAAGTTGAGCAATGCGGTCGCCCTCCTTCACCTCAAAGTCGGATTCGTTATGGTTGAAAAGCAGGACCTTGACCTGACCGCGGTAATCGGCATCGATGACACCAGCGCCTGTGTCAATGAAATGCTTGGAAGCGAGGCCGGATCGAGGGGCAATGCGTCCATCTGTATTCATCAGTTTGTCAGGTAGCTGGCCTTGAGGTAGTTGATCAGGGCTTCAGCTGCCTAGGTACTTACAGGTTCCGGCTGGCACAGCCATGCTGATATCAGTGTCAACTAGCGCCTTGCCACGAGCGGGAATAGTTGTGTCGCGAGCAGCGTAAATATCATAGCCGGCAGCAAAGGCACTACCACGAGTGGGCAGACGACCCTTCTCAGAAAGCTTCTTAATCTGTAGGGGTGGGGGGCCTTCCATTGTAGCGGCAGTCTTGACACGTTTGGCGGGAGGTGAAGAAACGGCAGAGTTGTCGGGGACGAGAGTTTCAGAGGTCATTGTTGAATATGAGGAAGGAGGATGGAGAACAATTGTCGTGGATACTGCTTTCGAGGCTGGAGCTTAAGAACCAGCCAGCTTGGGCCAGGACAGACGCGACGCGGTTGGGTGGGTAACGCTCGCTCGGCCGTCGAGAACACGAGGAATACAGATTCCTTCCTACTATGTTACCGTAGCCTGAGGCTTGTAGTAATGCTCCTGGGCTTTCGGAAATATGGCCACGGTATTCTGGACTTGTTAATATTATAATTCATTACAAGTGTCAAGATATCTACTCTGTGTATATCAGGGACATAACCTGACATCTCTTCTGCTTCTGGCGTTTCATGTCTAGCGCGACTATTCACTTTAAAGAATTGACCAATAAGCAGAGCCTATTTTTAAGTGGTTGCTTTTATGCTATGTAAGCTAGGAATATTAACTTGTTAAGTGACTTGACAGAAACATAACAATGAGACATGAGGGGTTATTCTCGAAGCTTTTATTATAGAATTTTACTACTCAGGGTTCTAGATCTCGTCCGAAATCAACCAGTCTGAGCCTTGTTGCATCTCTGGGATGGAATTGTGCAACCTTAGACCTCACCAAAAACCGTGCAGCCGCAGATTCTCGTGACAGTTGCACATAGGATGCTGAGTTGTTGCCATGTGCTTCAGCAAGCGTGTTGAGCAGCTCCTCTGTTAGTTGCTTCATCTCTGCAGCTGCAGCTGTAATCTCGTCTTGACGCCCCGTGCCTCCATCGGTAGCCTGTCCCCAAATCTCATCGATTCTGCGCTGCCGTTTATCTTCTTTATCAGCGCTGTCCTTTGGTTTCCTGAGTTTGCCTTGCGCATTGAACCCGGCAGCCAAATCGTTTCCGTCAATACCTATAAGGTCCCCAACCACAGGGCCCCCTAGCTCTTCTGCCGCAAGCATTGGCGCCAGATGATTATCGATGAACCGAAGGAGAACTTTCATAAGTTTGGACGTCTCTCTGTCATAAGACTTTTTCTTAGTTCTGAGTTCTTGCAATAGTTCTTTTGCCCCTTCTTGTGGAGTGACGTGAGTACCCGCATCCACTTCATCGCGTAGCAACTGTATACGCGCAGTCAGAGCATCGCTGAGGAGATTTTGATCCTTGAGACGCGCTTCATCCGCCTCAAGCTGACGCGACAGTTGTTCGTGGCCCACACGCTGCGAAGCAAGATAGGCTATGGACTCTTGAATGGTCTGGTGAGTCTTGCGGAACGCCAGCAGCGTCGGTAACAGCGACCCTGGCGAGGGGAGAAAGGGATCTGACTCTGTCACCTCTTTGAGGGCCGCCTGGATGAGACGCGCCTGTCCAGCCACAGACTCTGAGGGTTGGCTCTGCTCTGAACGAAGCTGTAACAATTAGCCATTGGTATAATGTTGGTTTTTGGCGCGTGCATACCTTCTCCAGCTCATTTTCATGATGTCGAACTCTCTCTTGGAGTTCCCTTAATGTCTGATCAATGATGGTTGTGTACTCCTCTGCTGCCGTAGGCTGCGATCTGTAGTCCATTGTCGTAAAGCTCACGCAACTGATTCAAGAAATGGGCAAGGGTTGTTACTTTGCTAAAGCTCTAGCGGAATTAAGAATCGTAGGTACGGAGATACCTATGTGCGGATTCAGCTGATCAGCCAATGAAAGAGATAAGTCACTTCCGCGCGTTCAAGGAGTTGTACAATGATGGCAATTGTCGTTCCAGATGTAACTAATCGGAAGCCTTCAAGTCTAACCAGATAATGTTAGTCACTGCATATATTTATGAGAAATTTGAAGCTCATTCGGCTATCAGAAAGAAGGTTGCAGTGCCAGAAGTAGTTATATTGTAGGATGTGATTGCCTACTAGGTACCTACCCTCAGGGAGCAAGAAAACATCTAAGCTTTAGACAAGGTATCAAAAATAACTAGTCTAAGGCTTACTGAATCTACACTAAATTTACCTAAGTCTTTTTATCATTTAGGATAGAGGTCCTGAGTTTTCTTGCCTCCTCTAGCTTACATGCCTACCTACCTAGTACCACCGTTCGGTGGAGTGCCTGAGCTCTTGTGGCCCAAGCTTCAAGCCCAAATCGAGGTGGTGCACGTGACGTCTCCCAGCGCTCCATGCCTTCCCAGGATGGACCCTCGCAGGGCTACTTCTCCGGCTTTCTCCCATCTCCTCACCCCAAACGATCGACCTTTTGTCGTGTCATATTCGCTCTCTCCCCCTTTTCACCTGCCATTGCTCTCGTGAGATCCTCGTTTTCCATTCTCAGCGATTCCTCGCAATCGTTACTGAGGTTTTCTTTTCTTCTTTTTCTCTCTTCTGATTGATTTGGATTGGTCCTTCCCTGGTATTGGGATCCATTGCGACAGCGAAAGTTCTAAAACACCGCGCGCCGATCCATTCAGAAACTGCTTCTCTTGTCTCCGCTTCTCATCCTCCGACGCTTCGCGACGAGATACTTCGTGCTCCAGATTCTGCGCTCGAGCTCAGAACCCCGGAAACTTTTGCGATCAATCAACCTCGAGTCCCGGTCAGAAGGTTTGAGCTGAGCACTGCCTCTTTTTGCTTTTTAAGAAGTCCGTCCCAGTATCGATCGCTTCACCTATCCTCACCACCATTCAACATCTTCATCACAAGACAATCATCTCCGCCCTTCCTCTCCCGCCTATATCTAGGAGATCTTCCGGGTAATTACTCGACGCCCGCTGAAAGAGTTCTGGAACCCGCCCTTGAGCCCGAAACTCGAATCCCTCTTCCTTCCATTCAGCCCGCAACACGCATCGTCTTTGCGCGACACCAGTCACTTCACGAGTATTTCACCGAAGCACACCCAGCGAGAGTCACTACACCAGCACGTTTTCCTTCGAAAACCCCTGAGTGTATATAAGACGAACAATAGAAAGAACGAGACGTTTTCAAATTGTCGATTGTCAGAAAGACTAAACTCGCGTGAACATAACGATTTCAATATGTCTGCTTCCCCAACACAACCAACCCAGTCGGCCAAGCGCCCCCTGGAAGAAGCTTCTTCGCCCTCACGCGCTGGTGATCAGCCTGATGCCAAGCGACCTGCTCTCGACAAGAACAAGCACGACGACGATGTTGAGGTACCTGAAGCTCCCACCGAAGTCCCTGCAGAGGACCACGATGATAAGGTCAACGGAGCCCCTAAGTCTGAAGATGATGACGATACCACTTTGGACCATGCATCTGACACTAAGGCTGCCGCTGCCGCCACAGTTGCTGCCTCTGCATCCAACGCTGTTACGTCTGCTGCTGCTCATGACGAGACCTCATGGATTCATATTCGTGCTGTTATCTCGAGCCCAGAGGCAGCTACCGTGATTGGAAAGGGAGGCGAGAATGTTTCCAACATCAGGAAGCTTTCCAACGCTAAGTGCACAGTCAGCGACTACCAAAAGGGGGCCGTTGAACGTATTCTTACTGTCAGCGGGATAGTGGACGCTGTAGCTAAGGTATGGCGATTCTTCTGACTCATGATTTACAAATTAACATCAATTTAGGCTTTTGGCTTGATCATCCGAACACTGAACAACGAACCCCTCAACGAATCCTCAACCGCATCTTCAAAAACATACCCCCTGCGACTGCTCATTCCGCACATTCTAATCGGTTCCATCATTGGTAAGGGTGGTGCCCGTATTCGTGAGATCCAAGAGGCATCCGGTGCTCGGTTGAACGCTTCTGACTCGTGTTTGCCTATGTCAAGCGAGAGATCGCTGGTAGTGATGGGTGTCGCTGACGCTGTCCATATCGCAACGTATTATGTTGGCAGCACCCTCCTCGAACAGCTCAATGATAGGTTTGGAGGTCCTGCTGCGTCTGCCTACGCAACCCGCAGCGGCGCCCCTGCTGGATCGATCCCAGGTGGCATGCAAGTTGTTCCCTACTCACCCCAACCTGCCTCAGGCCACTACGGACGAAGTGAAAATTACGGCCGCCACAACGACCGACGATCTCACCATATGCCACCCGCGCCTTATCCTCAGCAATACCCGCACGCAGCTGCCCAAGCCAACCCTGCCATGCCTATGCATTATGGTGGTGCGCAAGGAGGAGGTGCCTATGGCGCAGCTCCCCACGCCCAACCGCACATGGCCCCTCACACTGGTCCTCAACCTCATGGTGGTGCTCCCCAAGCTCAGCCCATGGGCGGTGCTATACCCGGCGGGCCCATCACACAGCAGATTTATATCCCGAACGACATGGTCGGCGCCATCATCGGCAAGGGTGGACAAAAGATCAACGAGATCCGTCAAATGAGCAACAGTGTGATCAAGATCAACGAGCCGCAGGACAATAGTAACGAGCGACTTGTGACTATTACCGGAACGGAGGAATGCAACCGTATGGCATTGTACATGCTCTACTCTCGACTTGGTGAGGTGCAAAACAGATCCAGCAGCAATTAAATTTCTAACCTTGTAATTCTAATGCAGAATCGGAAAAACATCGTATCTAACTTTTGGTACCGATACGATGACATTCGAGCGATCAACGGAATAGGACGAACAGAAAGCTATTTGCAGGGATATCGAGAGGCTAAAAGGAGGATGCAGTGTGTTTTGGCGGTGCAAAAGAAGGGCGATATCAGGCCACCGGGTACAATTGAGAAGTTTGAGAAGGCGATTCCACCCACCTGGGTTGAAGTTCCAAGGGGTGGTGAGAAAAGTCGCTGGATGACTGAATGGCATAGAAATGGTGTCAAGGATGGGTTCGCATTTCATCGGGACGAATACGGAAACAAGACGGGGCTTATTGGCAGGAAGAGAGAGCCTCACGTTGACAAGTGACAGCTTTCAAGGTATTTGATTTTCGACGGCGCATTGACTCAGTTTAATTTTGTTCTCTACTTAATCCAATGACAATCTGATATTATCTGCAAACGTTGGGCGCCCTGAAGCCGAGTCTCTTAGAGCTTTTTGAAAGGGACGTGATACTACATGGGATGTTAGTTACTCAAGCTCTCTATAAAATTCCTAGATGGCTCACTATTTCAAGGCTCTTGTTCCGAGCAAGCAGGTAGTATACGTTATCGTCAATTACTATGGCGCAGTTCAGTCAGCGCTATTAGCGTGTCAACATCAAGAAACAAGACTTACCACTTCCATTGTTCTTGTGTTGTAAATGGGCCTCTTTGCTATCCCAACCCATCAACAGCCTGGATGCTCGGCCAGGAATGACTGAAGGGTTCTCATGTTCTCCTTGTACAAACTCGCCATAAGCCAAGCCATGAAGCCCAGCCAAATCGCCCTCCTCACAAGCAATGGCGAATGGCTTCATGTTATCCTCCGTGAAGGTTTCATCAGCACCCCAACAAGTACAAAACTCCGTAATGGGTGCATGGAGAGCGAGCTCGGTACGGCCTGTATACTCTGCGATCGGGCTAACGATAGGGTGCTCAGTCAGCAGGGCGCGCAAAGAGGCATGCCAGTCGGTGGCAGCGGAGCCAGAAACGAAGGCATCATAGGCAGGGCGCGAAGCCCAACGGATACCCAAAACCCAGTAGTCAGGTTTCTCGAGGGGCCTGCCAAGGTACACGGACTCGACCCCGGGAATTGACTTGAGGTGATCAGTCACAGATGAGAAAGAAGCCGGAGGGGATTCGGGGTGTTCAACCAGGATGGGTTTGAACTTGATGAGAAGAGATTCAAAAACTACGGACATTGCGAATGTGGCTAAACAGTTATAAGTTGAAGGTTATGGCTATTAGAAAAATGAGATTCTTGAATAGACTTTAGGCGTTGGTTGAAATAGACATGTGGAAGTTAACATGGAAGAGCCAACATATATCTAGGTAGATGTAATGGCTACAAGTGAAGAGTTCCACACATGCCTGGACTGTACGAGATGGTTCTATGATGGATACCCAAGAATGACGCAGGGCGCCTCTCAAGTTTGATGAGGGGTACCGAACCAATGATGAAGCTCGACATGTGGCAGCTGAGATTGAGTGTGAGAACAAGAGTGAGAAGAAGGATGAAGCTTTGAATCTTATGGTGCGGTAACTTTATTTCACCAGCGGAATTGTAGGGTTCCTGGAAGCTTCTATCTTAGTTCGAAACGAGAGTTGAAAGCGTTTAAAGTAGGTACCTAGGTAGGCTAGAGGAGGCCAGAAACCTTAGGACCTTGATCCTAAGTGATAAAAAGACTTAGGTAAGTTAGTCTAAACTCAGGGAGCATTTTGATGAGTTTGTTTTGGCATCCATCTTGTACTTAAGTCTGAGGTTTTCTTGCAACCTGAGGCCATGTAACAAAGCCATAGTCTTAAGCCCCACTAAGTTAGTAGCCTTTTAACAGCCAGTTTACTCCGTAGAAAAGTCCAATTGAAACAAAGCTTCAAAAACACCTCAGCGAAGGGACGCAGCTAACGGAGTCTATCTCCAATGCCGTATCTATAAACCTCCAGTTCGGTAATCAGCCCCACAGGTATCGGCCCCTCGTTGGAGCGGATGGTCCGGGTGGTCGACCACAAGTACCGGCAGTTTCCCCAAATAAGAAGGAGGCATGGCATTGGTTCAATTGGTGCTCTGTAAATTATCACATTAGACTCCTTCGCGTCGCGTGTTCTCACTCCTTTTCCTGGCGGTGACCGTCCATCACATCTCTCTCATTTTAGGATTTTGTTTTCGATCGTAACTAATTTGCACTATCGTTGTTTTACGCCTATTAGGCTCTACCACTAATAGTAGTGACACCTGGCTGGTGCCCTCATCTAATTAACTAATATCCAGCAGCCGAGGCATCGCGCCACGTTCAACATTTCCACTTTGCAACCCGAGATCCAAAACTTATTCCATGCCCGGTCCCTTGTCTCACTCTCTTTTTCCGACGGTCTGATATTTACGAAACATATCAGTCACCATTACTTCCGCATACTCCACCGGCGCCATGGTCGTGGCAAGTGACGCTGCTGAGCATGTCACAACGCCTTCCACCATTGCCGTCAACAATGATGATGTTCACAGTCTTCCCTCTGAGATCAACCTCTTGACCCTCAACTGCTGGGGTCTTCGCTACATATCGACCCAGCGAGTTGCAAGACTTGACGAGATAGGTCATAGAATTGCACATGCTGTCCCTACACCGCATATTGTCTCCTTGCAGGAATGTTTTACACAGGAGGACTACCAAGCCATTCGGCATCACACTCGCCAGATTCTCCCCTATGGAAAGTTCTACCACAGCGGTGCTTTTGGTGGCGGCCTGGCCATTTTGAGTCATTGGCCGATCGAGGAGAGTACAATGTTCAAGTATCCCCTCAATGGACGTCCAACTGCATTTTGGAGAGGAGACTGGTATGTAGGCAAGGGTGTTGCTTGCGCCAAAATTCGCTTTGGATCAAGGAGAAAGGACGTGATCGAGATCTTCAACACGCATGTGAGTCTGGATCCGCTATATCACTTTTCAATCTGTTGATTGACTTGAATTCTTAGACTCACTCCCCATACGAGCCCGACCCCGTGAGTACCTACGATTGTCATCGAGTTGCGCAGTCATGGGAGATTTCAAAGCTTTTGCGCGGCGCTGCTGAGCGTGGACATCTCGTTATCGGCATGGGTGATTTCAACATGCTACCCTTATCCATATTTCACCGTGTAATCACAGCACATGCGCCTGTTCATGACGTCTGGCGCAAATTACACCCTGACAGCGCTCTTGGTCCTGCCTACCATCCATCTGAGAAGGATCGCCATCGCCCATTACCGACAGCCGACTTCAATCTCCTCGAGAACGGCGCAACTAGCAATTCCGTATATAATACATGGCGCTGGAATAAAAACCAGCAGAACCGGCTCAAGGGAGGCGATATTTGCGAGGTCCCACCCGATACGATTGATCCTCAAGGCCAGCGACTCGACTACATTTTTGCCTCGACTGGCATCGACCCCGATGCTCCTGCTACAGCTTCTGGTTGGATAGTCAAGTCGGCTCATGTTTCAATGACTGAGCGACATCCTGACCTCCTTTGTTCGCTCTCCGACCACTTTGCTGTTCAAGCCACACTTGTCCAGCATACTCCTTCTCCGTTGGCTATCAGAGCTGATCCCCGCTCCGAAACACCATCTGCTGCTCTCCAGACTGGCGCATACTTAGCCCCCAGTAGCCCCGCCAGCAGCATTCACTCAGGTGACGCAGCGCAGACTGCGGATCCCGATACCCAGCTTAGGCGAGGTCGCTTCTTTAATCGCGATTCATTTCACGCGTCCACCTATGATGAAATTCTGGGGATGATCCAAAAGTATCATGCTCGCGAGATTCGCCAGCGCTATTGGCGGGGGGTGCACTTCTTCGGCGCATTGCTTGTTTGGCTAGCATGTCTTGTTGCTGTCTGGTTCAGTCCCGAGAATTATGTCGCATTTGTCCTCATGCTGGTCAGCAGTCTTAGCTTGGTCGCTGGTGTTATCGATGGCCTGCTCTCGCTACTCTTCTTTTCTTGGGAGATTCGGGCCCTCAAAGAATTTGAGTGGGAGATTCGCAATGCCAAAGCTGTGGCATCTGGTGACCCTGCTGCGTTAACAGAGTCTGGTTCGTACAGCCATACCGACCGAAGGTCCAAATCGCAATGAAGGACACTCAATATTATGGTAATGATTTGATGTTTCTGCATAGGACTAGGATGATGAAATGAGGATGAGGATAAAGGTACACATGCCAACAAGGCCTAGCACTTAATGTCTATTCGTAATACTACTCTCAATGATTTTGAGGGCCTGAACACTTTCTCTTCTCATACCGGCTTCCTTTGCTTTTTGTTCAACGCTCAATGTTCAATGTTCGGTGTCAAAACCTGCCTTTCGTCCATATCGGGCATCTCTGTTACTTTTGGCTCGATGTATCCACCAGGTCTCATCCGACGCCAGGTATAGCCCATGAAAGCCGTCTCTTTTCGAATTCTCAATGAAGTCTTTCTGGTATCCTTGTCCCGAAGCAACATGTCTCTTGGTCGTTTGCGCTCTTTATGGCCGTAGAATCTGATAAACTGCTTCAGTGTAGCCTTTTCACTCGGCTGAAATTCCATTGATGCATCAATATCACGGTCTATACTCCGAAGCTTGGCCGCGTCGAACGGGATTTTGATAAGCTCTATAGCCTTTGCATGTACATGGGTATCAAACCCAAAAAGTAACTCTTTGACATCTTCCGAATTGAGAAAGATACCCGAGGGTATCGACTCAGACCAGTCTTCAAATGGTTCGGATTCATCAAAGTAGTGTGCATCTTCATCACTCTTCAGATTCGGAGTGAACGGAGGAGGCATTGATTGTAGGCGTTCCCAGGGCGTGTTTCTGAACCACCTGTGCGCTTTGATATCTTCCGCGTCATCGGGGAACACGTAGCTTTTGAATGAATCCCGATGTTTGACCTGGTACCTCCTTGAACACAGCCGAATATCCTTCTCTTGAATCAGGCGGCAGATGAGGTCCTTGCACTTGTCGCTCACGAAAGGTCTAGGTGGAAACGAGAAGTTCTTCTTGAAGTCCTGCAGCAACTGTCAGTCATTTACCTTGTTCAAGATTGCTACGGGCATACTCACAACAATGTTTTGTTTCGTCTGCTTCCGTCCTTCTTCTGCTAGAAAGGGCGTCTGCCCGTACAGGCATTCATACAGGATGATGCCGATGCTCTACTAGTCACATCTCCCGTCATATTTCTGACTAAGAACGACTTCAGGAGCCATATATTGACTGGTGCCAACAACGGAACGCGCAGCAGTGCGGTTGCCGTGTCGATTTCTCCAACCGATAAGACTTCGCAAGTCCTCGTTACTCGCCAGCGGGTGTTTCCCATGCCTGTCAAGTCCTGAAACAAGGGACTGGTACCACTCAAGATGCTTCAGGAGGTCCTTACTACCTTTTTGATCCGTCTCGTCACCATTGATGTTCATATTTAGTCTTTGGACCAAGGAATATCGATGAGTATTATAGTATGCTGCGTCGTGGGACCAATGATCATCAAATGCTAGCCCAAAGTCAGATATTTTCAAGTGGCCAGTCGCGGATATGAGGAAGTTGTCTGGTTTTATGTCGCGGTGAATGAAATTCAAGCGATGGGCCTCCTCGATAGCAAGGATCATCTCTGCGATATAAAACTGTGCAATGGGTTCCTGCAAAATGTTTTGCCGAATGAGCAATCCAAGGAAATCGCCACCAGGCATGTACTCCATCACCAGGTAGAGGTTCGTTGTGTCTTGAAAGCTGGCAATCAGTGGAACAGCCCTGAGAAGATGCTTCAGTCAGTCAGTCGTCTTGTAGCGTTGGTCAGCTTTGGTACTAACCACTGTGATCCTTCAGAAGCCACAAGAAAATCCCTCTCAGCCCTCAAATGGCCTTCTTGGCTGTTCCGTAGCATTTCTGTCTTTCGAATGACTTTCATAGCATAGACTTGGCCGGGTAAAGCATGTCCTGGAGCAGGCTTTTCACGCACCAGTCTAACTACTCCGAAACTGCCTTTACCTAGGATTTGCAGCGGCTCATAGTTGTTGACCAAGGGGGAGGAGTCCTGCTTTCCATGGTAAGCTAAAGAGCCTGCCCTCATTGCCCTTGACTCTCTGAGATGGCATGTTTCCTGCCTTCTATATTGCACCCGAATCTTCTCCTTCTCCGCTGGTGTCATTAGCAAATAGTTGCACAACTGAGATTCGAGGCACTGGCCCCGCAGAGCTCTTGCATTTGGTTTATAGAGAAGTTCATTGAAATAAGTCTCGAGGAAAATCTTGGCGGCAGATGCTCTCTCTACGGTTGCAATCGTAGGTCGAGCCTGAACAACACTGGCTTCGGGAATAGTACTGAGGGCGCGGCCTTCGGGGCTTGAGCGGGTCCATGGATTTCGCCTGTTGTATCGCCTATCCATGATTTCCCAGTTTGGCAGCGCAGATGATTCCATCGACGTTTTCGCTGTGGACTTTTCCTCGGCTGTTGTGAGTGTATCGCTTGCCTCAGAAGAGGGCGGAGTGATTAGTCCACTGGAGGGGGTAGGATTGACCAGCTGTAGGGAACTTCGTGCTCGTTTTGGGGAGTTTCGGATCACCAAAGTAGAGTTGGATGCCATGGCTGTGGGCTGCAACCCAAACTTTCGTATTAACATCACTTCCTTTGCATCCGGACTTCTTGTTCCACGTTCAGGCCTTCGGGCAGACCTGAAAAGTAAATGGGGTTTGGCTTGGTCTTCAGGGGAACCATGGGTATCTTTGGATGCTTCGGCACCTACAACATGTCAGTGGGATAAAACAAGACAAATAGGATAACCTGCCACTGCGTGCGCTTTTTCTCATGTTCTTGAAGGCACCACGAAAAGATCCCCATCTCTTGGAACCACCATTGCGAAACTTCCGCGCAGCTTGTGCTTCTGAGCCTTCTGCAATATTCAGTTCAGATCCTGGAGATGTTTCAAATACATTCTTCGAATCGCAGGAGGAAAGACGTATGAATTGTTGACTGGCTTTCTTGAGCAGGGTCGGTGCCATGATGCTCCAGAGTAGTGGATAAAGAGAAAGTTAGCACTGCATCGATTAACATCTGAGAGCAGGCCGCGTTTAATAAGATAATGCAGTCGCCAGATACGGAGAGAATGGCGCTCGAGCTTTTCTCTCGGCAATGTTGTTACGGAGCAGAGTCAGAGGGCTTTGAGTCCAGAAGGAAGATGTACGAACCTAAGGTAAGGTAGTAGGGGCTGAGGAGGTTCGACATCATGACTTCCTTCATGAAGCTCATAATAAAACCACCACAAAGAAGGATCGAGGCAGGTAACAAACATCAAATGAAAAGGAAATAAATAGTATTTTGTCTGCAGAACCTTATAAAATCTTTCAGGTATAGGGAAAATAACCCGCCATCAATAGCAAAGCGCAACCATAACCCTTTTTATCGTACGCCAATTCATGTCATGCAACGGGAACGGTCCTCGCCACATCATTCCTGTTTTGCCTTTCTAAATGGCCGCCTTATCTCTGTTCTAAACATCGAAGGCCCTCGGCAGAATGTACAAGTCTGAGGCTCTCTTATCCTCGCATGCAAAACAACAACACCGGGGGGACAGCAGATATGATATATAGAAGCCTGGGGAATACAGGCGTCACAACGTCATCAACTTGTCGCCAAACTGTGCCGCCTCTGCTTAGGGGGTATTATGATACGAGGTCGGTAGCTAGTCAGTCGGCTTGGTGTCGAGTGAGTGGAGGCATATGCTACGCTCACTTGATCTCAAGAAGCTTGACATCGAAGATCAATGTGCTATTGGCGGGAATGCCGGGAAGACCACGGGAGCCGTAGGCAAGATGAGCGGGGATAGTGAGACGGCGCTCACCACCAATAGCCATGCCAATAACACCAATATCCCAACCCTTAATCACTTGTCCCTTGCCAGCCTTGAAGGAGAAAGGCTTGCCCTTCTTGTTGGCTATCAAACCGTTAATCAAGCTGAAGATACTGCGGGAGCTAGTTACTTACCATCGAACTGCTTTCCGTTCTGGAGCTTGCCGATGTATCGGACACCGACAGTGTCACCGTTCTTAACAGTGCGGCCATTGCCAATAGTTCGGTCATCGATGGTGACGCCCTGAACGACCTTGACACCGGTGGTGGCCTTACCCTGCTTGGCCTTCTCAGCAGAGCCAGTAGGGCCCTGTTCGAGGTTCTTTGCGAATTGAACCTTCTTAGCGTCCTTCTTCTCCTCGGTAGCAACAGCCTCGCCCTTGTTGTTCTTGAGCTTCTTCTGTTGCTTCTTGGACAGCTTGGCATCATCCTTGGAGATGAGCTCGTCAAGACCCTCGGTGGCCTCTTCGGCGGCGCGCTTGTTCTTGCCCTTTTGGACGGAAACTAGCTTAGGGGCATCCTCCTCGTCAGACTCGATTTCCTGAACACGGGGGTCCTGGACACCATCAAGTTCGTCACTCTCGTCGCTCTCGTCGCCCTCGAGGGCGTATTCAAGCTCATCGGGGGAAAGATCATAGTCATCCTCGTCCTCATCGTCCTCATCCTCATCATCGTCCATGATGTAGTTTCCGGTGAGGTAAATGGTGTGAGTACCAGTGACGACGAAGAAAACCTTTTCGCCGTGGTTGACAGTGATATCGAGGGGTTGCTGGTAGTTCTTGCATGAAAGTTAGCTGATAATTCTGGGATTCTGCTTTCGTAGACTCACTCTATCGGTATCGAGAGTGCAGATGACAAAGTTTTCGAGATCGGCACCCTCCTCGCTGTCATCATCGGAATCGTCGTCCTCTTCCTCGTCATCCTCCTCAGTAGCCTTACCCTTGCCCTTGGCCTTACCGTTGGGCTTGGCATCCTCCATCTCCTCATCGGATTCCTCCTGGGCAGACTCAAGAAGCTTCTTGATGGCAGCAGCCTGCCTCTGCTTCTTGGCCTTGGCGGGATCGCTAGGGCCACCGTTGGCCTCCTCATCGGAGTCCTCCTCATCGTCGGAGCCGGCGAGGAGAGCCTTCATGTACTCATCATCGATCTCATCATCCTCATCCTCATCGAGACCAGGGAGAGCGCGCTTGACGAGGCGCAGGGTGGATCGAGGAACAGTAGGAACGTTGCCCTCGCCATCGGCCTCGGGCTCTTCAGTAGGGTCAACAGCAGCCATGGTAATGCGGAACTGTAGGATTTCATGGTTAGAACTTTGAGGTCAAGACCATACCGAACTGTCATCGCAAATGATGCGCCAACAACCAAAAGCGAGCCAGCGCAAGGTAGCGTATTGCATCGCATCAAGAAAGCGTTTTCCGCGCCGGAGAAGAACTTACAGAGGCAGGGAATTCCATGGTGGCTGGAATTAAGATCTCTCCGGGAGGGACCTCGAGGCCGTAAACGGGACCAGGAACAGCAGACATTGTGGCGGTTATGTGATTACTTTTGTTTCAAATGTAGGATGAAAGGTACAGTGTATGCCGGAACGAAACAAGAAAAACAGAGAAGTGAGAGAAAGGATGAAGAATGGTGATAGAGTGAAGTTTTCTTGAGACGCTCGTTCACTGCAAAAGAAGAAAACTAAGAATCGACAAGCAACTCCAGAGCATCGAAATTTTTTTCGGGGCTCAACAAGGACCCCACAGACACCACCAATGAGATCTGGCGATAAAGGCTCTTATCGCGATGGGTCCTTCGCTGTCACAGCAACAAGGGTTACCTTGTCTCCGCTTTGGTGCAGATTTTCCCGCCGCAAGCTCCACTAAGAAGTTGTGAACAGAGCCGCCTAAAAAGGACGGCTCGAGAAGGTTGGAAAATTCGGACCAAACCTTTGCTTGATGATTTTGGGTACCGTGACAGAAGATTATATATATATATATATTTAAATCCTGGGGGACGGCAACCTAGGTACTTCCTGGGGGGATCGGATATAGAAGAAAACTTAAGCTGAATCTTAAGTGATATGAATATTTAGAATTACTGGATACTTTCTTGGAAAGTTTAGGATAGCTCAGTATAAACTGCATAGAATCTTTTAATGGTTGTTTTTTTCTGTACTGAAGGTATTGAGCCTTTTTAGACTCCAAGGTTTATGTGTAAACCTGTTCGGAGAATCCGAGCTGAAGATTCAACAATTTATAAAAATCGAACACCGTTGTTACACATTGATTTCAACAGCATGGTTCTGCGCTCAGTGGGGTGCCAAAGAGCTGGGTGTTGCATTGACGGATTATGAGTTAAGGTGAGTTACAGTGAGATACAATGGATGCATTTTCGCCACTACTTAACAATCCTTCTTAACCTTGAGCATGCCCTTCCCAAAAGGTACCACGCTGAAAAGCCAGCCCCGGACAATTTGCCATGCGAATACTATAAAGAACTTGCGCTGGCCCTGATGATATATCTGAGGTCGATCGCCTACATCGACCAACATTGCACCCAGCTTAGAGATCGAGTTTGGCCAATATTTGTTTTGTGCCTGAGCATACGCAGCCATGAGATCGTTGCCGTTGGTTATCCCCCCTGATGTTTCTATAAGCAATTGGCTCAAACTTGGCCTGGCGAAGACGTACCACTTGACCAAAGGTTACCATCCTGAATCCACCGATACTCCTCTCCCACGAAACGCGCGTTTGGGTATTTTTGGATTAATTCATCTTGAAGCCCTCTGGGGCCACTTACCCGGCGGCCGTCGAGAATACCTGCGGCACCACACAGATAAACACCAGTACAAACGCATAACACATCAACGCCCACGGTGTTGAAATGGTCTCTTAGCCACTTCGTCGAAGCCTCTTCAAATTTGTCCGCTGGATCTGTACCAGGCACGACGATAATGTCAAGTTTGCCAGGAGCAACGTCGTCATCTTCGTATGTGTGTGATGCACGAACGGATAGATCTGCTGTTAAGTTTACGGCTGGGAAGAGCTTCGGCGATGTGATATAGGTTATCTTGGTGCTTGGTGCTATTTCACTAATGTGTGCGGGGAGAGGAAGGAGGCGAAGGTATTCCTTGGACATTGAGGCGAGAACATCGACAGTTGCCAGATCGAGTAGTTGCACGCTCGAGGGCATGAAAACGCCAATGCGTAGCTGCTTTAAAGACATTGGCACAAACAGTAATGACGAATTTTGCTAGATTGAGCGGCAGATATTAAGACAATATTAAGTTATAGGTCTTGGATGGGAGCTCTTTGTTTTACCCGTTAGGTATACGTTATCTTAAATAGGTACTAAAATTTATCTCCGTTGATAATCCCTCCGACTTACAGCCCGTATGAGCCAGGAATTATCCGGAGATACTGACATGCAGTTGTTAACAGAAGTTGGTTCCAAATGCTGAATCCGTCACTCGGCCTTCCTCTCATTGGTTCAATCGACTTTAACATCCGACGTGCTTCGGCACCAGAAGGCCCCACTCCGGCCGGATCTTTCGACGTCGTTCTTCCTTGTGCGTCTTGAACGTTAATCATTGACGGATTGATTATCCAACCTGCCAGGGAGGTAAGCTTATCGGTGGCAATGCAATATTATAACTATGAGTCTAAGAATGATCAAAAGTTGAGATCTGTAACTTTCCACCTACATAGGTGTGGTATAAGCTAATAGTATTAATGCGAGATGTTTTATCCCGAATCTTTATAGACCCTGAGGATTATTTAGAACTGTGCGCTAGCTGTAGGTAGTGAAGAGCAAGTGCGATTCTATATACTCAAAACAATGCATCATATGCCAATCTGCCTCTCCTCGCATTAGTAACATTATGTAAATCATTCTGAACACGCTTCGAGATGATTTCTCAAGAAGCCGACCGGATGTTCCTCAACCGAAGCATCAATTACTATTGCCAAACAGCTGTAAACTTTCCTTAATAGCCAAGTCATTGGTATATATTCTTTCCCATGTTAGTTCAGAGACCAACCTTCCATATCCATCATCATCATAAACCGTTGCTTAACACCTCAAGATCATAGTGGCCATGATTATAGCATCTGGTCCTAGGCCATGTTGTCCACCTTCACGACGGGTATTTGACGCCGCGCTGCCTTCTTGCTCACAGTATAAACAAGATCCTGGCCCCAAAGCTGGCAAATCAAAGCTTGAGCACTCGGTATGGTGCCGTATAGAGGAGCGACAACAGGAATCGCAAAGTAGTCATACCAGTTGTTTTTGAGAGATCGACGGGAAAAGTCCATTCCGTTGGCAAGTCCAGCCTTGACCATTTCCCTCTCACGACTGGCGACTCCCGTCTGGTGAAAACTTTCGTATAGAGACACGTAGACTCCAATTTGAAAGAAACCGTAAATGCGAATGAGATTACACCAGCTGAAAATCCAAGCCAGGTTTCGTGGGTCCTCGTTGCCTTCTGTGAGCTTGACATAAAGTGCAGAAGAAAGTACCAGTATAGCCATATGAACGGGAAGAAAGTGAGCTTCGAAAAGGCGATGCAGCATATAGAAAACATTTTCCCAGTGTGGCTGTTGGACAATCTCCCTGTGGATGCTTGAAAAGATGCCGTTGTCATAGGCCTGTCCGCTGTGCTCATCGCCTGAGTAGCTTTCGGGAATGGAAAGATCATCGGCATCTGAGATGGTGTAGTGAAGGGGTTGATAGGAGCGGCAAGTTTGCTTGCGATCATGCCATAGCTGAACCAGTTTACGAAGCGCAAACCCAGTATCAAGAGCACCCCACATGTGACGCAGAGCCTGCTTATAACGAGCATGAGTGTCTTTCAATAGCCCGCCACCTCCAGTAACGTTACTTTGGCTGACAGGGCTGTAGATGACCCGACTGGTTAAGTTACCATTGAGGGCAAAAAAACACTTGATATACATATGCAGGTCTTCACCGATGGCTTCGCTGCCACAATCCCATCCGCCAACCCGATCAATCAAGTCCAGTGGAAGAGAATAAACGGATGTAGGTGGAGAAATAGAGGAGCCAGGGTACAAGCCAGACATACCAGCGGCGCCCCAGAGTATATCAGCAACACGGACAAGAGATGGAACACAATGTGCGTTCCGGTCGAAAATAATAGGAGCCGAGTAGATGGTAGTCAATGCGGTTTCGGAATAAGACAAGTGCATATTCGTCAGAAGTGTAAAGTAGTTCGATGAAAGGTGACTATCAGCTAGATAATCCATGAGAGTCAGCAATGAGCAGGCGAGGATGAAGGATAGGTTTCCAAATAGGCGTACCATCAATGCCAGTGATTACAACGTTCTTCCTCACAGCTGCCGAGTACCTCTCGCTCAGCTTACGAGCAGCCCATGCGATATTGCTGCCTTTGCCAGCGGCTTCACCAGGAATTTCTGATGGGTGAAGTGTGAAGTCAAGGAATCTGAACTTCTTTGCAAATTCCTGTATCAGTCCAAGAGCCTTTGTTTCAGCGTTACTCTCTCTGTGTTCCATTCCGAGATAGACCTAGTGAGAATTATCAGTTAGCGACTTTGATATATGAGTCTGGCGTGTTCCTTAGATAATGATACACTGTTGCGCCTTGATTTAAAAAAAAAATAAAGAAGAAGAAGAAGAAGAAGAAGAAGAAGAAATCTTACATCATAGGAATAATGAGCCTGAGGATGGGATGCCAGCACATCGAGGGTCTCCCTGAGTGTATCAACTTCTTCCTTGTAGTTGGGGATGATGATGGCATGAACCACGTTGTCACAAGCTCCTGGTACACCGTCCGTGTAGTATTCAGGGTCGTAATCGCCAGCTTCACTAGCAGTGGAGGAAGACGGACTGTTTGGACTGGATATGAGAGTCTCAGAGCTCGATACTGAAGCGTAGGAGTCCCGACGTGAAGCGAGTTTCTTCAGATCAAGTAATGAATCGCTACGCGCTGCTCTTTTCATGGATTGGGTGAGAGTCCATATAGTCCAGCAGGCTCGGAGGGGGAACATGCAAACCAGTATATGAACAAAAAGGCAATAATATGCGAAGACGTAACTCCAAACACCAGCGCCTATAGAATAATCGGGAGGATATTGGGAGGCTTGGATATCAGGCTGTTTTCCTTCGTATCGGTATTGTTCAAGAGAGGCATCGTGGTATATAACCCAATAGCAGAGAGCACTCAGTGCAATCATACTTAACCCACCTGCGCGTTGCGCGACCCATGTGAACAAAGACATGCCGTGTAAGATCGAAAAATAAGGTTTCTTGGAGATATGAACCTGCAAATGTATACGAGAGCTGCGATGTACTCAGGAGAACCCGGGTAGCCCAGAGGCAGTTGACTCAAGTGCGACGAGGAAGTACAAAGCAGGAATAAGCTGTATATATCAGGTCAACCAGGGCAAGAAGGTGTTAACTGGAAAGAAAGATAAGGTAGGAGAGAAAGGCAAAGGGGGCGGGATGACGTTTGTTTGAAAATGCATGTGTAAGTGCAAGGCTATGGGGAGATTTCCGACCTGATAAAGCTAGGTAGGCCAAGCAAGGTCAATCACACCCACCCGATTTCACAATGCGAAAATTAACATGGAATCTGCAAAGAGCTAGCTCTGGGAGACTGGAGAACAAAAGACATGGGAAATAGCCATGATGGTCAAGCCAAGGGCACGAGACATAGGATATTCGCCAGCCTCCGGATCTTAAGATATGGTTACCAACCCTTATAGCACGCGCCATCTTGTAGCTTTTCTGATTCGGCCAGAAGAACAAGATAACACCTTCTTGAGGCTCCACGCCCCATGTGCCAAAATATGGGGTGGGCAACATGGGACATGTTACCTTGAGGCTTGATCGTCATGCTGCTTGCGAACTAACCATCTACTAGATACCAAGCAACCAAGCTAGTGGTATCTTGAGGTATCGCTCGGATGGAAACCGGGGGTGATAGCGGTCAACATGGTTGTTGTAGTCCAATAATAAGGTAATGAGACTTAGCAAACAAGCTCATGAACTATATTTCTCCTAAGCATTAATGAATCGTGGCAAGTGGACCCAAATCGGACCCTTGGCTTTGGCTCAGGATTATCTTTGGCCACTCACAAGCGAACAAACGCCCATGGTGTGATGAAGATACCATGCTTCCTGTTCCTAATCACTGTGATGCAGATACAGAAGTCATGGACCTCATTGGCTCCAAACCAGAGCTGTCTTCGAGGGTGAGATGCAATTCACTCAGTCGTCTTCCATCGAGTAAATTCGGAGGATTCAAGTCACCCATGAAGCTCATGACCGGCTTCAACATCACAAACCTAGGTACTCGACGTTAACATGGAGCAAGCACTGGGATCAGAAAATAATATCATTTAGACAGTGTGACACTTCTGGATCCGGAGTCTCTGGTGAGTTCTCATCTCTAATTCCGGTGGTTATTCCTTCATTTCGATGGGGTTTCATAGCGATGCTTTGCCCGAATTCCAAAGACCCTCTGTCGTCACGAACCAAAACCTGACCCGCGCACAATGGTTCAGGGTCACTTTGGCCAGGTGAGAGACCTGCTGGTTCTCACCAACTCGAAGTGACCGTCGTGAGGTCTAGCTGTTGTTGGTCGTTGTACACGGCCATATGTATATCTCGGGATAAGATTTTGCACCCTCGATCTGTCTCGTAAATCACACACTGTGTCAGTTTGACAGCGAAGAACACTGATCGGCTTATTATTAGGCATCGTTGTTGCTCGCTCACGATCTCAATGAAACTGAGATGAAGAGTAACGGGCTTGATACAAGAAGCCTCGCCTTAGGTTGATGCCTATTCCACAACGTTGGTATGCGGTTAACTTTGACTGGCTCGAGGCTGTGTCCACGAGGCTCGCTCAACTTTCTAGTGGTTGTGTGGCTATTGTAACATTTCCTTGGTCTTGAATAATAGCCTGAGAATCGTGCGTCAATCGCAAGTCGTAGTCACAACACGCGCCGCTACCAGTGGTTGAGGATCCCGACTGATACATATGGGTCCAAATCCGGTCACGAGTGGGAGTTCGACCACGGCTGATGATTCTGGTTTGAAGATCTACCCAAGGGGTCTGTGGTCAATTGTTCGTAGCCGGCATCCAATTCAACGAACTTGTTAGTCGACGTGGTTGTGCAGGGTCTTGTTGATGTTGCATGGCTATCATTGGCCCACGGGGTTAAGTGATTGGATCCCTTGCATTTTCGGAAGCCCACCCATGTGAATTTTCGGATAGCCATGAGACGCTATACCTCCTCAACTGAGATGAGACATAAGACATAGTTCGTTCATGGTGTTGAAGGAAAATGACCATAAGTTCAGTAACGGTGTAGAGGATCAAAATCGCAGTCGTGGTGCTGTTGTTTTTGTTGTTCTAATCAAGTTGGCTGTCAATTCTGACACATGTCGCGTTCGCTTGTAGCAAACGTGGTTCAGAGCGGCCATGTCACAATTGAATAGCGGAAACAGTGTTCGCTTGAACCTGCAGCTGAAAGGCCAAGGGTTTCGTTGAAAAACCAAGCATGCGAGCGTCGAATAGTCTCTTTCGCGAAAAGCAGCCCTCAGACTGGATGCAGGTGAAGGTTTGGTGGGAATACTTGCCAGTTTCTCTTTCAATGGGTATCTTATGTTTAGGAAGAATTCTAACGTTACTCTCCGTGGTAAAAACACTCCCTTGCGGTTTCGTTCAGTTCCATAAACGCCGTACGCCAGCCTGTAATTCTGCAGTGATTTCGATCAAGGTTGAAATCTGAGCGTTAACGTCCAACACCTAGGCGTTTCCCCTAACGTCGTGATGTCAGCTCAAGACTGGCTCAAAAGCACACGCTCGGTGTAAACCACCATAATTTTGCCTGTCCTCCAAGAAAGTCATTATTCAGGGTGCCTTTTCAAACAGCTTCTGAATCGGTTTGGCAGCCTAGAAGAAAGTTAGGACAAAGTCCGGACGTAATTAGGACATGCACGCATCGAAAAACTTACATCAATGAACTTTTCCAAGTCATTATCCAAGTTGGCAAGGTCATCCTTCCTTCTTTTGTTGTCCGCAATCAGCTTTTGCTTCCGCTTAAGCAGCTCCTGTCTCTGTTGCTCCAGAGCCTCACGCTCAGACCGTTCGTGATCTATGCGCGCGACCATCAAGGTATTCTCGTCATCATTCTCGTGTTCGGGGTGTTGGGCAAGGAATTCCTCGACAGGGATGAGAGGTAATTGTTGATACTTGTGACTATGATGTGTTAGTGAATTACTGAAGTCGAGCCCAGCTGGAGTCGGTGTGCAAGGGCTTACTCGTAAGATTCGCATGCGGTAATCTCTCCTTGGAGGTGTCGTTGTTCGTAATACAGGTTCTGAAGCTGAAGATGCAGGCGGTCGACTTCTTGACGCGACTCGGCAGTCTGGGACTTGGTCTCACGGGCGGAGAAACAAACGTTTCGGTGCAGTCCTTTCAGATGCGCCACGGTCGTGAAAAGGAGCTTTTGCTGCTTGGCGAATTCAGCTTGCGCTTCGGCTGATGGAGGACCTTCACTGTATGCTTGTTCACCCAGACTAAGGAGTGCGCCAGCCTGGTCGCGTGCCTGGTCAGAAATCTGCAAGACTGCGCAAAGCCTTGGGTCGGTAACAATTTTATCGATCGCCATGTTTTTTATTCGTGGGCTGTACTCTTTGATGCGAAAGATGTAAGTGCAAGGTGTGGAGAAGAATCGCTGGATGAATTCGAGTTGAGAACTCGAACCCCAGGCTTTTGTTTGTTCCTGAGCTGATGTTAGGACAAGGAAAGGTGGGGCTAGGCAACCAGCGGCAAACCATTGGACGGGATATTTGGCATGATGCCAACTACCAATATGTAAGTGTGTCTGACACTTCTGTTTGTTATTATTGATGGTGAGTATCTACTTTAGTAGTTAACCTTTATTACTGTACTTGCTTCATTGGATTTCATGAGTACGAGCTGCCATGTTTCGTGGTCTCTCCACAATATAGGTACCTTATACTTACGGGCATGCTGAGGATACTCTTTTCTAAATAACAAAAATACTTAGGTAAACTTAGTATTGACTTAATAGACCCTTAGATTACTTATTTTTGGCACTTTTATTCAATGTCAGAAGTTCTCTTGCTCCCTGAGGGCCTGGCTCAAAATACACATTTGGTGACGCAGTTGTTGATTAGTTCCATCCTCTAAAAATCGAGGCTATCGCGATCTTAGCATATGAAGAGGACGATTGCAGCCCGGTAACCTGGCTTTGGGTTGCAGAAAAATGCGGGATTGAGATGTCTTTCTAATGACGAGTTTATGCTATTCTAGCCAACCTTAAGCTTAGGTTAATTAATCCCAAATATCTGATCATGTCAATTAACTCGTCAGTCATATCCTCAGTCAATACTCACTATTCAACTGACTTTCTTGTCAATTCGTCTCAGTAGTTACTATCTACTAATGTAAGTCAATATTTTCTCTCTCGCCTGGTTGCTCAAAGGGATGTCGTCTTTTTAGGCCCCTGTCGTGAATCAAGTGACTTTCCAGGATTGACTTCAGCGGTTGCACCGTTCCTTGACGGCGTGACAATAGAGTTACGCTCAGACATAGTCTCAATTTGCATTTGTGTCGGGGATGATAGTTAGGACTGATTCTGAGACTAAGCAGGCCATTGGCAGTACTACGTTAATACAACAGATGACTGCTCTGGCCCCTTTCGGCTATGGGAACACCAGACAGCTCTTATATGGGAGCCATGAGAGTCCTTGGAACCAGGACACAACAACAGCTGCGTTGTCAATGGAAACCCGCGCTTGTCTGCCTAAGGTATTCGGAATATTTTGTGACTTCAATCTTCAACATCAATTCCTACGTAGTCCAGGAACAAAGACCAAACAGGAGCGGCACCTCAATGCAAGTGGTCGGTGAGTGCATCGGCGGCGTTTTGAAGGTTGGCACCCTATTGGTTCGAGAATCCATCTTTCTTGCGCAATCAAAGTCCATAAGCGGGCCGTGGCGAGCTGAGTTACCGAGCTATCTTGTGAAAGCCGGGGGGTTTGTATCGACTGTTAGAAGTCTTGCTAAGAAGCATTTTGTTTTCGACGGGAGGTCATCTTCGATCATCAAGGAATCCGGATGTCCTTCCAAATACCCTTCAGAGCCGTGGATACTTTGTTGGTCATGGAAAAGGACTGAACTTGTCTCCCGATTCTACCGGTATGCCATGCCTTTGCCTTGTTCGACGCTGCCCAATAAACGATTAGGTCGTTTTCCAAGTGGCGTTCGTTAGTAACCCAACAAGGACGCCAAGACCGCCCCCGGTACCGTCATTTCAGCTACTGGGATGAATCCAGTCCTTTTTTCTGCCCAATTTCTCAACCTCTCAACCATCATGCGCTCTCACTCTGTTCATTCCTTCGTACTCTGACCCTCCTTTGCTTGTAATTTCTCATCCCTCTTAACGAGCTATACTCTCCTTTTCAAGTCTTCATATTCCCAACATCATATCATTTCCCCATTTCCAAGCCTTGGCTGCTTCCTTACACGCAGATCCTTATCCAACTCAGCAAGAATAGGAAGAAGACAGGACTATTTCCGCCAACCAGACTCGGCAATCGTTGTCCCCGCGTGTAAAATACCCGCAGGGTCCGCAAGGGTGCTTCTCATCGCTGCACCCAACTTGTTCCGAGACTCCTAATCATTCAATAATAACCAATTGTACTCTTCATTTTTTGCTCGTGGCCTCGACAAAGCCTCACGTTAGCCAAGTCGCATAGAAGTTCAAACAACATCATCCACCGATTACCAGCATCACCAGATGCAGAGAGTTTAACTCGTTGCCACCATAGTTGCAGCGTCACAGCGCTTGCCGATTCAGCTTAGCCCAACCGTCGCGGCATAATCACCACAATATTCGTCTCAAGTCGCAGCCGCCATCATGTCAGACGTTACTACCGCCATCACAACAGCCTGTGCCTATAAGGCTCGGGACGGTGATAAGATGGCGAGTACATCCGGATCCGACATTCGACCTGACGCCGAACCCCGAAGACGACGACACTCCTTCTTCATTCCCAGGAGACGATCCATTGTTGGCCATATCATGGATGGTGAAGAGGGTCTCCTTCTCAAAGTCGACCTGTTCCTCTCAGAACTCGAGCGTCGGCTTGATTTTATCGAGAACTATGTTGATTTGAGTAAGGACTCCAGCATCTCTCGTACCTTCTCTACACTCCAGGCTGTTCGTTCGAGATGTTCCCACGCTTCCGAGGAAGTCCTTGGTGCAGGTCGACGCCGTTTACATATTATGGTCGATACTCTAGAGGCAAGATACAAGGAGACCTTAGAGGCCGCCGAGTCGCTGAATGAGAAGGCTCACGTTGGAGTCGATTTGCTTGAAAACATGCTCTCTGATTTTGAAACCAGGGCCTACAAATTACGTGAGCAGGGTTTCGCAAACGCCGCCAACGCTGCTGAGGCTTTCATGGATGAGGGACGTCGAGTTGCTAACGAAGGAATTGAGCGTGCCATTCAAGCCGCTCTTTCACTGGAGGAACATATTCAGCAAGCTATTGTTCTGGCCAAGGAAGGGCGCCTCCTCTCCTACGATGACCTCCCCTCACCTTGGCGAAACAACCCTCATATCCACAAAGGTTACCGTTTCACCGAATCCAAACTCGAATGCGTACGCTCAGCCTTTAATCTTTCCAATGAGCTAGTCAACATCTGGTCCCATGCACTGGGCCTTATTTTGGTCCTCGCGATTGCGCTCTATTTCTACCCGAATACTGCCAACTTTACACTCAGTACGAAGTCTGATGTATTCGTCGCGGGCGTCTTTTTTGTTATGGCTTGCCTCACTTTGGTTTGCTCAACGGTTTGGCACACTATGAATGCTGTTGCAGATGTCGATGCTATTTCAATATTTGCCTGCGTGGACTATACCGGCATATCTTTGTTGATTGCTGCCTCCATCATGACGACTGAATACACAGCATTTTACTGCGACCCTGTCAGCCGATACATCTATATGGGCTTGACAGCTTTTCTCGGAATTGGAGGCGTCATCCTCCCTTGGCATCCTCGGTTTAATGGTGCCGATATGGCATGGGCGCGAGTCGCCTTTTTTGTTGGCCTTGCCTTGACCGGGTTTATGCCCATGGTTCAGCTTGGGTGGACTCACGGGCTCGACTTCGTGTACAATTTCTACTCGCCAATCTCCAAGTCGATGCTCGTGTACTTCACGGGCGCCGTTGTTTACGCCAGTAAGATTCCTGAAAGGTGGTTTCCCGGTTGCTTTGACTATGTTGGTGGAAGCCATAACCTCTGGCATGCCGCGGTTCTCGGAGGTATCCTATTCCACTACTCGGCCATGCAAACCTTCTTTGCCAACGCCTTCCACCGAGCAGAAGCTGGCTGCCCTTCGTATTAAATCATTAGGGGGCATTGGACGGGCCTTGAGCGACCAACTCAGAATGGCCTAACAAGTTTATCAGCCCCCCTCGAAGCGTATCAAGCATCTGGCTGATTCCGCCGCGCCTTGCTCGGCTTGACCCGCGCCGCTCGAATCCTCCTATCGTCAATTGCATGCTCTGCTGGAGTTGATCTTATCTCAGCGCTGCCCCTGTGGCAAAACTCTGCTGAAGTACCTATACGCACCTTGGTGCAGCGTGAGTCCAATCGCACCGCCTGTTCGAGGGGCATTTCGCCGGAAACTTGGATTAAAACAACTAAGTAATCCTGTTAAACCGTGCCGTTCGTCCATAATAGGATAACTCCCAACAATGGTGGCCATGACTTGAGTGGTGGTAGGCAAAAGCTATACACTCAGCCCCCTTCTTGATGAAGCTAAATGCTTCAATGTCGTCTGATGAAAAGCACATGCATGTAAGCCGGCGTTGAGTTTGATTGATAAAGGGTTGAATATGATATGACAGGCGTGCGTGGACGGAGCAGTAAGTTCGCAATGTGATACGAGTTGCATGTAAATAGATCATAGATAACCAATCGTATATTCATTCATTCATCCTAGAGCATCCGTCTCTATTTGAAGCCTCTAGTACCCATTAAGAACCGCTCACGCTCATATCGCGCATCATTAAAGTACCATCCATGTCCCGTCATAACGCGTTTCAATAATCATAAAAAACATAAAACAAAAACCACTTTTGAGTACTATTGCCCTTTCATGGCCGCCTGCTGTTAAAAACTTGAGTTTGGCAATATCGGCCAGGATTAGTGTGTTGCAAGACCCTTGAACAACTTTATGGGCTGCTGGGTAACGGACGAGTGGTTCAAAATAAACTTTCCATCCGCGTGGCAGTATGCACGTCAGTTGAGTTTCGCGACCAGACCCCTGCTCAGTCATGTTGTGCCCTTGTATCACCTAGAGTGGCCACAGCGCTTGTCTGTCAATCCCGAAATACTATGGTACGAAGGGTGCGCCATATTTAGAGAGCGTGAGAAACAATCTCAGCATAAACATCGTCGGGTATCTTCTTGATAATGCCAATGGTGACGGATTTGACGAGATCAGCGTTAAGCTGGGGGAAGGATCTCAAGACCTTATTTGGGCTACTTGGAAATCAGCAATCATTCGAGTCGGGCTTTCGCATAATCCTTACCTAGGTGACTGAAGAATTTGAGTTCGCATAATTGTAAGCTGCGCGACAATGCAGACAATATTAAGATGAGGACCATAGGCGAACAAGAAGTCCCATAGCCGTAAAACCTCAGGAAGCGGTGGTGTACATGCGCACAGCGTCAAAACGGACGGAAAAGCATAGATCTCAGCCGAGAGGCCCTTCGCAGTAAGGTACATGCTTAGCTTAGGATCAACAATAGCAAGGACCTTATCGACCAGTGCAAGACCGCGATGAACGCCGTCCATGGCACCACGAATATATCCCGGGCATTCTCGAGTCAACAGTGAGTGGAATGCAACGAATGCTTCTGCTTCACTGCGAGCTGCGTAAAGAAATGGTGCTGCCAGAACGTTCATACCCTGAACATAGGTGCCGGGCTCTAGAGTCGCAGCGCCTGCGCCGGATTCGGAACCCTCGGTTGTAAGTGTTAAGGCCCGCGCGCGATTGCGAGCAGTTGGCGAAGACGTGCTTGTGCCTGACTGAGAACAGCCCGAGACACTACTGCCGCCAGGGAGTGAAGCTCGGCTGCTACCAGGGCGGCTTTGACGCTGTTCCTCACGTGCATCATGTAACTTCCATGCAATTGCGTTAAGTAAACGAATCAGACTGGCCTCGCTGACACGTCGGCGGAAGAGAGGGTCGGTTGTAAGTGTGCGGAAAGTGTCGTTGCGGATCTTAGAGTAAGCCGGAGAGGCTCCTCGGTGGATGAGGGCGAGGTAGTCATCGGTCGATAGGATAGGAGCGTCCAGGAGGACGAGCCAGACGTATATTCTCAATGTTGACTGCACAAGACTACTGTCAGTACACCATGTTGGGAGCACCTGAATATTCCTCTTACCATGCCATCCTCAGCACTCTTGACACCTTCATCAATGACCTTCCACCGTGCGCTCTCCAAAGCGCCCAAGAAATCACCATCTGTTGGACCTTCGCGGATAATTTGATGAAGAGGCAAATGGCCATGCGAGAATACGGGTTTCTTACTCCCAGCACGCTTGCTGGCTGTCACAACATTCATCTGATGAATGAGGGGTGGGGTGGCATCGCTATTAGCGCGCCCGCGCTGAGGTGAGCGATTGATATTCTGGGAGAAGCTGGGTGTGCCTGAAGCAGCAGGAGGCGCTTGTGACGGTCTTGTAGGAGAAGGATTGCGCTGGGTGTCGCGCTGGCGCTGCTGAGAGATGAGCGAGGGCGTGCCTTGCTCGCGAGCGCGGGCTCCAAGAGTGTGTGCGGATTGAAGACGTCGAAGGGCGCGATGAGTGCGCGGCGATGGCGGGGCCTGGAGTTGTGTGGTAACGGGGGCGGGAAGTGAGGGAATCGCTGATCTGATGCTAGAATTCGAATTTGAGGGCGGCTCCATGGTTGCGATGCTCAAGGAGAGTTTGTCAAACCTCGACGATAGGGGTAGGCATGGGTGTTATACGACAAGATCCGATGCGAAAAAGGAGCCAGATAACCGAATATGATGGGGATATTAATTAGGGCTGATGACGCTGAGAACGGGTTTTAGTCGTTCGGAGCGCAGGATTCCATTAGCGGGGAGGCTGGAGACTGAGTTGAAGTGTGGAAGGGACGTGATGTGGATGGAGGGACAATGGTGAATCGTGTTGGTTTCGCGTTCTTCAATTAACCTCTACACTAAGACCTATTGAAACCTATCTTAATTAGCTGCTTAGGTTGACCACTACCACCAATTGTTTTTATAGCAGGCCCTTTCAACTTCCAGTCGACACGTTGTTATTATATTCGATGACTCGCGAAGGCTCTTTGGCCCCTGACTTTAATGTCTTGGTGTTCGCCTGCCCATGACACTGAGGAATGCATCATTTATCAAGAGGTTGGGATTCAGGTGTGCTATTTTGAGGTTGGGTCGGAGCTGGATAGACTGATTCGCCGACTTCCCGAATGCCTGCAGGCTGACGAGATGTTCATGCAAACAAGTATTAGTAGTAGGTAACTAAGCAGATACTACCTGTAGGCAGTGAAATCTTGGGAATATATTCATCCACGCATCCATATGTTTGTGGTTAACTTATTCTCAGATTACAGTAAACCCAGGAAATTGGAGAAGACATTGTTCGACTAACATGGGTTATTTCTGAGTAACATATCTCAAAGATTCAACAACCTTGGGCTTCCAGTTATAGCATAGGCAATGATATAGCCTATGTCCCTTCTTGGTCCTGTTCTTTCTTTGCAATAGCACAACCTCGAGTTCTCTTTGCTTTCACTAGGTCAGTATGTGCTTGCCAACCAAGAAGGTATTCAAAAAGCATAGTTTATGGTATTGGAGTAGCGATGATCCCTGCAACTCGTTGGACTTGGCTTATAAGCCATATGGCTATGGTAGCCCAACGAAAAACTGTCATCGCCATACGTTCAGCTATCGTCTAGAAATTCTGCTGATCATCATCGCAAATCTCGGGATATCGCTAGTCATGTCACATTCTTGGTTTTCTGACATGGGAATACTGGATCTCAGACGTGGGGTTTAACATACATTATGTTCCTGATGTTGTTACGCTATTACCGTGAAGGGGAAAGTGGCGATTGCGACATCGAAAAACACCCATTTTTATATCATGCTGAACGCTCACAAGCTGACCAAGCGCCGCACGACTTTGTCATTTATTCAGAAAAAGATGGAGAAGCCATTCAATAGAAGCCATGACAACACATCCTGCCCCTCCATATCATGTTTGGATCCTCTCCACACAATGCCGATTACCGATGGCTCGGGGGTCACTAGTTTCTCCAGACTCATCAAGAGTTTTACCAATCTTCAAATACAAGATTGAAGCTCTTGCCACACCAGAGCACTCATCTTCGTTGATTTATGGCCTCCTTACTTTACATTCTCAAGAATTAACATTACTCAGTTATCCTAGCCGGAACGCATCGTCAGAATCCCATTTTACTGTCTCCCAATTTTCAAAACAATCCTATCCCACGTGCAACCTCCAACGATAATGTCGCCTTACACCCCACGATATTCGTCATCGGCCTGAACTAAAACCCCAGACCACAAGATCAAGATCAACACAGTTTCTATTATCCTATTTGCAAGAAGAACAGCCCTAAGCTAGCTACTATCTACCTGACCCCTTCTTGGACAACTCAGACCTCCACGCCTCTATATGAAACTGGCTAGCTACAGCTGGTCCGGTGACCACTGCCTTACTACAGAGCAGGTTTCCCATCACTAGGATCAGAGCTGGCAGACATATACGAGCAATGTTTCTGCCCAAGTAATCGATCGTTTTATGTTGAAAAGAAGTGAAGGGTGAAGTCATCCTCGGCTGCCGTAGTTTGGATCTTCTCCTCAAAGGAAATAGCTCTTGACACCGCTCAACCAATACACATGATGCTAGGCCAAACAAACCTGTTGGGCAGGGGGCTGGCTAACATTCTCGGCATCAAACTCGAAGACCAAAAACAAGACCTACAAGCTGAGGTAGCAAGCAGTTCATCAATTTTTTCAGAGCAAAGAAACAGTTCATTTTACGAAACTGAACCCACATCGTCGGAATGGCTCAAGGAGCAGACCCCGTCAAAGGAGGAGGTTGTTGCATATGCAGCTTCGTTATTTCCATTCGCTACTTGGATCAGCCACTACAACTTGCAATGGTTTGCGGGTGATTTGGTCGCCGGTATCACCATAGGTGCTGTGGTTGTTCCACAAGGCATGGCCTATGCTATTCTCGCAAACCTGGAACCCCAATTTGGCCTCTACTCGTCTTTTATAGGGGCCTTGATCTACTGGATATTCGGTACCTCCAAGGATATATCTATCGGTCCTGTCGCAGTACTTTCGACCGTCGTTGGGAACGTTGTTCAGGATGTCCAAGATTCGGGACAAAACGTCCCGGCACATGTTGTTGCGTCAGCGTTATCAGTCATCGCAGGCTTCATTGTCCTCATTATTGGACTATTACGATGCGGCTGGATAGTCGACCTCATTTCCATTACCTCTCTCTCAGCTTTTATGACGGGCTCTGCCATCACAATTTGCGTCGGCCAACTACCAGCACTCCTCGGTCTGTCAGGATTTTCGAACCGGGACCCGCCATATAAAGTCCTTGCAAATACGATCGAACATCTTGGAGAGGCGGGTTACGATGCCATCGTCGGAGTCTCAGCCCTGTCGATTTTATACCTTATCCGTCAAGGTTTCACCGCTGCGGCAGAACGATATCCAAAACATAAAAGACTATTGTTCTTCACCAACACAATGCGAACTGTTTTTGTTATTCTAGTATATACAGTGATGAGCTGGGTCCTCAACATGCATAGAAGAGACGATCCCCTCTTTAAAGTTCTGGGGGTAATTCCAAAAGGTACTCCCATCACAATCTATCTGCTTGAGTCAAGGAGCTAACAACGTGAAAGGTTTCCAGAATATCGGGGTTCCAAAGCTAACAACGGAGCTCATTTCGGACTTTGTTCCATATCTCCCAGCTACCGTCATCGTCTTGCTTGTTGAGCATATGGCGATTTCCAAGTCGTTTGGACGTGTCAACAATTACACCATCGATCCCTCTCAAGAAATGGTTGCCATTGGGATGGCCAACCTTGTTGGACCATTTCTTGGGGCATATCCAGCTACAGGCTCCTTCAGTCGTACTGCGATTCAGTCGAAAGCTGGCGTACGAACGCCTGCTGCTGGAATAATAACTGGACTGGTGGTTTTACTTGCAACCTACCTATTGACTGCTGTCTTCTTTTATATACCAAGTGCCGCTCTTGCGGCTGTCATCATCCACGCCGTCGGAGATCTCGTCACGCCCCCCAACACCATTTACCAGTTCTGGAGAGTTTCGCCTATCGAGGTTTTCATCTTCTTCACCGGTGTTACCGTCAGCGTCTTTGCTCAAATAGAAGATGGGCTATACGCTACTGTCCTCCTTTCAGGCGCTGTATTTATCTATCGTATCCTCAAGGCCAAAGGCAGGTTTCTTGGCAAAGTAAAGGTTCGTTCAGTCATTGGCGACCATGTTATTGGTGATGATCACCGAAAAGTCGTGGGAGAGTACGGCACAATCGAGGATTCTGATGTTTCTGCGAGAAATGTTTTTCTCCCCCTTGATCATGGTGATGGCTCGAACCCCGAAGTTGAAGTTGATCATCCGTATCCCGGAGTTTTCATCTACCGCTTCTCTGAAGGCTTCAATTACCCCAATGCCAACTCCTCCCTGGACTATCTAAGCGACTTCATTCAATCCAACACGCAACGCAGCAGTCCCGAAGCTTTCGAACGACCAGGTGACAGGCCGTGGAATAACCCAGGGCCGAGGAAATCTGCAAAACGGCCTGTTCACTCGGATCCAGACTCTGCACTTCCGACACTGAAGGCGGTCATTCTAGATTTCAGTTCTGTCAACAACGTCGACATCACCTCGATTCAACGACTGATCGATATTCGTAATCAGCTCGATTCATATACCTCTCCTGATGGTGTAGATTGGCATTTTGCTTGCATAAATAATCGATGGTCCAAGAGAGCGTTGGTGTCAGCAGGGTTTGGAGTCCCATACAAACCCAACGAAGACACAGCACATCGAAGATGGAAATCGATTTTCAGCGTAGCGGAAATCGGAGGCAAGGACTCTGCTGCGGCACTCGCTCAGGAGACAGGCTTCCACGAACTGACACCAAAACATACAAACAACACAGACGAAGAGCCTTTGATTGGGGGATTCTCCTCGGTAAAATCTTATGGCTCAATGTCATCAGGAGAACTCGAGAAGCAGAAGCGGAGAGGTGCTGTTGTTCATGGCCTGGACAAACCATTATTTCATGTAGATTTGACAAGCGCGTTACAGAACGCAATTACTAATGTGGAAGAGAGGACGATATCAAGAGCAACAGCATACGTTTAACAGCTGGATTGGAGTAAGGGTAGACTTGGAGTTTTGCTGGCGTTTCGGGACATCATGAAGGGGAAGCATTTAGCGAGCGATCATTTTCACTATGTTTGCCTAGAACAGGAATTTGTATTGAGACCATGAGATGTTCTGTCGATCTACTATTTCCTTACACTAAACCCCGTCGTGTTGATAATATTGCTTCCAGTTTGGAATCGCCTCTTAAAACATGGTCACAGCGTCTCAACGTTGATCGTCAATCGCTCTGGTTATACTAAACTCATACCTAGTAGCGTTGCACGTGATCTATTATCGCACATCATGCCATAGAAATTGTTTTGTCTGCGATTGAAACAATGAGTCGTCCAGTAAATGTTCAACTTGCAGATTTCTGACACCGTGGGAAGCTTTTACTCAGCAATTTCTAGTCACAAACCACTATAGCCAGGCCAGTGGATCTTTGCATGAGGGATAGGGTCGCCATCATGTACTACCACCGAGGTTTCAGGAGACTTCTTGCATCAGGTGTCAAAAATCAATCATTCTTAATTAAAGAGCCGACAAAATTTACTCTAAATTATCCTAACTTGTCTGAGTATTCTTTTCACTTCAGATTATACCTTTAGGTTTTCTGCAATGCACTAGCCACTATTGTATTGGATGTTAGTGTGGCCAGGGGCGTCAGCTAGCGCTTATTACTAGTAGACAAGCATCCATATGCTAACTGAGGTATCTGCAACTGGTAGGTTGTTGGCACATTCTTGGGTGGTAGTTCCTATTTTGCGGTATCAAAGCTCCTTTTGTAGGACGACCAGAGGCGGGGAACTCTTCGTATTCCTTTGTTTACTCTTCTTTGCTCGAGGACTGCGTACACACGCTAAGTCTTGTTAGCTCGGTGAGACTGTTTGTCATGGCTGAGTCTTCTCCCTCAGGTGAGGGACGTGGTCGTGTTCGTTGGGGACGCGTAGAAGAGCATTACCTGGTTTGTGTAACACTGTTCACTATCAATACTTGACTTACGACCAGTAGGATTCTCCGCAGCCTCGTCGGCGAGAGATCAGGTATCCAGCCAGGCGAGGCACATTTGAGAGAGCTGATGTTCCTATTGACGGGGCTCGTGTTCGTAACGACACTAGACGGGTAGTCGGGACATCGTCTCGGCAGTCTACAGATGACGTTCCAGTACAGACCTACACCGAGTGGGAAATCCCTGCAGATTTCCCAATCCAGGCTTCAGTTGTACCTGATAGAGACTATACTGAGTCTCCACGCCCGATTGAAGTTGATGGCGAGGATGGAGATGTAAACCCCAGACAGAGACAACTCTCCTATGACAGAAGCGACTACGGCCGTCGCTACAAAAGTCGGTCAAGATCGCCCATATACCCCCGCTATGAAAGCTCAAGACGTGAGAGATACTTTTCTCGTGATGCTCCCTCACGTACTGTAGGATATAATAGTGACTGGTACCCGAGAACAAGGGGGTGGAGCTTTTCAAGCAACGAATATGACCCTTACGATAAGTTTGATTTCTCATCCCGGACCCAGTCGATCATAGAGCCATCGAAGGCAGACGATTCTGATGCCGAATATCCTGAGTCTGAAGAGAGAACTCTTGTTGCGGAGCGTTCCACTCTCGTGAAGGACGAGAAGGCATCTAACTTACGCTCTCAGCTGACGCTTGTTCATTCTTCGGCCTATACTGGGAGTGCTGAAATGGGTGGTTCTCATGCAGCAGTCTTAAATCTTGTTCATGATCCTAAAGGACAGAAAAATCCCCTATTCCGCTGGCTGTAAGCTTCCACAAGTATTCACAAAAAAAAACTTTAGGCGTACTAACTATGAACAGCCACGTTCCACAGGACGTGATGAACTTTGAAGATTTCTGGGTAAGATAGCTTCTTTAAGTGCACACACTTGAAAGCTGACGATTCGTATCAGGTTGAGATCAGCCGGATCTCAGGACTGACAGAGCTGGAGAAAAGGGCCGTATCGAGGCTTCGTTCTGATGTCAAAAAGAACTGCGTGAAGTCTAGGACCAACCCTAAAGGTGCAAAGGTTGGATACTTGGACCCGAAATACATTGAGGTACCATTAAAATCACTAGAAGAGAAAGCAATGACGTCCGATTCAGTGACTGGCTCAGCACGATGGATTTGTATTCCCTACTTCTCACTCGAGCAGTACTCTGGTCTACTCGCTGCTACCAGCGTATCTCTTTTTCCAGCTCAGACCTTGCTGCAAGTCCAGTACTCCCGAAACACTGCAGCAAGGGACATGGAGCAAGCGGTGGTTCAGTTAGGAAACGCAGAACGTGGAGAATGTTTTCATATATCCCAACTGTGGTGTCTTGTCATTGATAACAGTAACGTCCCTTTCACTGATACAATAGGCGACTCATTGACAATAAGAAAGGCTTAGTAGTAACATGCGCGACGATGACTAGGGACGATCTGCTGGGACAAGGGCTTGAGATTAAAGAACACCCATCTCGTGCTGTAACTAATGAACGCAAAGGACTAATATTGGTGGCATACGGTGATTCGGTTGTCTGGTCATTTAAAGCCGATGAGTGCCACACGTGGTTTGTAAGTCAAGCTTCCTTTTTCAGTGACAGATCTAACACTTCATCTCAGGCATTCCTGTCTAAGTTCCAAGCATTCTGGCCCAAAGTCCCTGAGTTCTGGCATAAGGATCAGGCCGTCACAGCAGACGCATGGCCCAAGATACTCAAATTGGCTTCGACCGTGAAGTCAATGTCACTTAAGATTACCATGAAGCTGGGTTCCCTGCCTGATCCTCCCCCGCGAGCCATTCTACGATCAGATCCACAAGTTCTCCCAAGTACGCATGGTGGAAAGGGTAAACCTAAGGCGCAGGAATTTGCTCATGTGTTGTCCTTGGCGACAGGGGGCACCAGCGGTCCTCAAATCCAGGGGACTGGTTTCAAGTCTCTTGAAGCCCAGCTGGATGCGGCCGAGGCCTTTTTAACATGCGACACAACCTATACAGATCGAAAAGCATATAAGACCTGCAAAGAAGCCACCAGAAAGGAGTGCTATGACTATCTAGTCGAGTTATCTGGTCGAATGGAGGAAGATGAGAGTGATTTCTTACGACGTGCATACGAGGAAAAGGTTGATGTCTTCAACGCTGCCGATATTGTTTACAGCTTCTTTTTACCCATGACTTTTAAAGGTCCCATGGTCGGAAAGTTCTGGGGTGCTGTCAGATCGATAATTGAGGTACGTGATAGGCAGAAGGTCTCGAAATTGGGCGTGCTAACCTTGACATGAAGTTAACCATGCCAGATGGTAAGTCGACTTCTGACAGCATTACCGGTAGCCTTCGGATCTCTCTCAGAGACTTGACGCGAAATCTCCTCGCTGTCCAAAATCTTGTCATGTATTCATCCAATCAAGAGCGTGCTGAAGTTGATATGCCGCCCGAATTCTCCAAAGCATGGCTTTACATCACCATGGCCATAGTCTATGGTTCCAATGACGACCCTAAGTGGGATAATCGGATGAGGAGGGCCGAAGAGCTCATCGGTACGGGTTCCAAAAAGCTGGTACAAGGACTCGGCGAAAATAATTTACTGGAAAAGGCTGTTGTAATGCCGCTTGAAGTGCTTTCGCTCATCACAATGGGCCTACTGCAAGATCAGGTCGGCAAATCTGATGACATATGCGATACTTACTCTCAGTATCTCAACTCTCTAGTATGTTTCGATACAAATAACGGCATAACCCAGGTCGGCTACTAACATGCTCAGGACAATGCAATCACGTCGAAGCCCTCCGACAGGTCCTTTCAACATCAGCTCGATCTAGTGCAGCAAGAGCTCGTAGCCGTCAAGCGAACAATCTGGAAACAAAAGTCACTTATCTATCGACTACGAAAGTCACTCACCGCTATTGATACAGAAGACATTGTCATGAGTCAGATGGAGCATGAAATCGTGTTGAAAGATGCAGAGAAGCAGTACAGCAGCAAACGGCACTACTCGGAGACCTTGCCGCCGCCTCACTCACAACGTCAGGATGAGGACTATAATCGAATCGTCCCTGTTTCCTATGTTCAGGAGGTTACACCTGCAAACGACTATATGGGACTTGATGATGACTTCCTTTTCGATATGGCTTCATCTTCAAAACTGTCTCCTACAGATGCGGGAGGTTTACGTGGTCTCTTCTTCCTCGAATGCTCCCGTCTCATCGAGCAACGTGAGTTTGAGTTTCGACGTTTCAGCGACTTTTCCAAAGACCTCGAGCGGGCGATTGCATATAAGATGGACTTCACAAGAGACCGACAGGAGCGCGCCATTTATGCCTTCACTCTTGTTACTATCATTTTCTTGCCCATCAGCGCGGTTTCGAGTATCTTTGGCATGAACACGACTGATGTTCGTGATATGAATTACTCACAGTGGTTGTACTGGGTGGTTGCTATACCGGTGACGGTTCTCGTCATTGTCCTGGGCCTCTGGTTTATGGGCGAGTTAGGAAACCTAGCTCGATGGTTATTCGGGAGACCAGGAAAGGGGGTCTACGGCGGACCGACAGTCATATCACAAACAGTCGAACCAGCATATTGGGCGGCTCCTCCGACCACACAGCTGGCTACCCAACCGGTAGAGTATCCATCGCCGCCATATGAGCCGAGGCACAGCTTGCGTAGAAGGGTTCAGGCTCAAGCCTACTACCCTGAGGGCCAGAGCCACATTTATCGATCACGATAGGTAACTTGGGGGCGAATACTCGACGCATATGGGGAGGACTGCTCGGTTGAGGATAGCTTTATCAATGTTGTACCCATTTCCTGGGATATGTTTAGGATAATAAGTCTATAATGAGGATATTTTACGATGGACTCATAACAGTCTTAGGGACACAAGTCCGAGTTTTAGGATAACTTGGGATATAATTTGTAAAATGTTGATCTAAAGATACTCAGATTTCCCTAACTCCTGGAGAAACACTATTCCTTAAAACCTAATATTGAAAAGAATCAAAGTCATCAATCGTAATACAGACAAAGCCGTTATAGAACGCTCCGGTTACGGTCATTCGAGCACTTGCTGATCATCGGTAGTACTCACGCTCACGATCCGTAATACGGAGCCGTACTCTATCATCCTCAATCATCCGCCTCGGTGGTGATGGAGGTGAATACTCTCGACGTCGAGTTCCCTCAACGTACCGAAAGGTTTCATAGCGAGGCTCGACTTGAACCGGGACAGGTACAGGGACGATCCTCTCACGCTCAATGACGCGCTCTCGATCGTGGTCATATGATGAGTGGTGGCTGTGCCTGCTTCTGGATCGAGACTTGGGCTTCTTCTTTTTCTTGTGTGGCTCAACGTCGACTGCAATGACCTCAATAGGCTCCTCTGGAGGTGAAGGAGGTCTGGGCTTCACAACCGGAGGAGGCGGAGGCTTGGGTTTCTCAACTGGAGGGCAAGGCGGAGGAGGCGGTGGTTTCTCAACCACGGGAGGCGGCGGTGGTGGTTGAGGTTGTGGAGGTGGTGGTGGTGGCAGCGGAGGTCTCACAATGACCGGAGGCGGAGGAGGAGGAGAAGGTTCAGGAGGAGGAATGATTCGTGTTACGCGATGGCTGACGATACCATAGTCCTGCTCTGGGTGCTGGAGATAGAGTCGCTTCTTCTCGTAAGGTTTGGTGACTGTTGCGATGACGTCAGTGACGGTTGGATTTGCGACACGGGACACACGGCAATGTGCAGCAAGAGGAGACATACCCATTTTGTCGGTAAAGACAGCTACAGCAGCAGCGATAACAATAATGAAATGCAGCTACCTGCGACGCGATAAACAAACAGCCAAAGGTCGGTTGACGGGGATAACCCGAGGATGATCAAGTGGGGTGCTCAGGTCACGATGATCAAGTGGGATGGACAATGATGGATGGATGGTTGGCAGTTAACGGTGGCGACAGGCGGGTGTGAAAGGGGAATGGCGATCTTTTATGTTCTAATTGAAGATGCGGATGATCAGGCTGCAATGGAAGACATGGCATGTGAGTAAAAGCTATCAAGCTTCCACGGTTTTGTTCCAACCCAACCCAACCAATGCCCAAGTCAAAAAGCCAGGCCAGTCTGATTGATGGATGGATGGGTCTAGCAACTATGAACTTGGAACACAAAAGACTCTAAACTACCAGTAAAACACGAGGTCACCGGATCATGACGTCGCACATGCGTATGCACGTCAGCCCCCGCCTCCAACGTTCGGTCACCCACAAGAAACCAGATTTCGCGGTTGCAATGGGCAGGGGCTGAGAGGTGCATGCTGAGTAGGCCAAGCCCAACCAGTCATGTGTTTCTTTTTCGACATAGCCTACGCTCTGGACCCCTGGACCCTGAATAAATGGAAAGATAAAGAGAAAACCTTGGCGTCAGAGGGCAGGGCTGAGTTGTTCTGGTTGGGTTACGGAGAAAGCCATAGAACCTAGGCGGTAGATTGGCAACGGAAAATGCCATTGTGTTTGTGTCAACGAACAAAGAAATTCCACTCAGGTGTGTGTGTCGAGAACAATACCGAGGGAGAGTAGTTCACAGTTGAGCATAATTGAATTTTGGCAACGGATGTCATACCATAGTATTTCAGTCAATGAAACATTAGAGTGGTTTCAAAAGCCAAAGTTGTCCACGGCAGTTCAAACTTCCAGAGGCCGGTGCCAAGGCCCGGATCGGATGCCGAAGGCTCGGAGCTAGTGGGTCCGAAACGCCGACTCACGGCCATGAAAACTCCGGTATACTTTCGGAGGCACAACATCTTCGGATAGGTTTCCTCAACGTCTCGTTTAACAAATTCAATTCCTAATCTTACGTGGAATTTTAGTTAGGTGCTCACCCTAGCGATCACCACCTCCACCGCCTCCTGAAACCAACCTGGGCACTAGAAACCCCTGAACTTCGGCAAGTCATCAGGTGTATTGCGACCCTGGGGTGCATTCTGACATGGCAGGATTATTCTGATCGCCAGGGTCGAGGACGTTGGCGATCATTAGTTCAATGTCTCCAAGATCTAAAGAGGGTGAACCATTTGCCAGGATTGTTGACAGAATCCTTCAGGAAACTAGTCTGCACGATAGTGACGATACCCTGTTCCTCCAGAACTCATCCACTCCGTTCTATCATGGTTTGAGGGCCATGTTATTTGAATCTTTATGGCGGCTTATGTCGTGGGCAGTGAGCCTCAAGAAAGCAATAATTAGTGTGAACCATCAGCCCCCAGGGAAACGGTTCAACGGTAGGTTTAAGTTTAATAACATAAAATGAATATATATCATTATAGCATTTTTGAACGGGAGAGTTCAAACTCTAGCATGATGAAAATAGCGTTATTGAGATGGATCAAAGTTCGAAGCTTTACCTATTAGCAGTCGTGTCAGGTAGTCCCAACATTCGGGTTTATCAAAGAGGATGCCCGGCAGCGCTGAACTGGCTGAAGCTAGGTTTTGGACACTATTTACTAGGAATTTGCATCTCATGGATATGCTCGGTTGGGTCACTTACAAGGACCGTCGTTACTTATCCGAAAATATAAACAAGCGTCTCCGACAAATACCTGAGTCAACACATCCGGTGTCAGAACTTCTGTCTTGTCAGCAGCTAGACTCATGCGTAGACCGAGAAATCCGAAACAATTGTTGTCTTCTATCTGGTAACTGACTTAGTCGTTCGCCACTAGAAGTTGACCCGTTTGTGTCCTCATGACCAGGCTCGAGTTCATGCTTCTCTTTCTTATGATATCGATTGAACTGTGGGTGCCGAATATCCGAAACAATTCGCAGCTGTCTGTGGTGGTTTAATAATCTACCGATGCGAGGCTCCATAAATAGTAAGACTCATATTGAAACAAGCTGTCTGGGGTTGAAACAGTCTCACAATCACCATCCTGCAGTTGTTGTTCTAGCTCTACGAAAGGCTGGAAGGTCTAGACTGGATGCCAGACATGAGCCTATAGACTGCTCGGATGATCTGAGTTGGAAACATGTCCTTCAAACAATCATACGCAGTATCGCTCTGAATGTACGGGGATATGCCGTGTTCCTGATGTTAGGGTTATCTATTGTATTTGACTTGAAACCCGAATAGTTACAACATCCCACGTTAAGTACATCACGAAGTTGGCTTCCACCACCCGTAGGCACCCAAAATATGCATCATCGCAAAAGACAACAGAATAATATAACATCCACCTTTGCCATCGAAATATCCTACAGATGTTGAATAAAATTCCGAGTTCCCAACGGAGTTAAGGTTCCCTTCCTCAAACTTACCCTGTAACAGTAGGATCAGCCGAGCTCGGGAATCAATAAGGATATGTGCAAACTGAGCATAAAAACCAGCATACAATATAGAGAAAGGACAACAATGAAATGCAGTGCACAAAGTTGTCACAAACTATTTCATGCGTTGCGGGCGGAATCAAGATGATCGAAATCACCGTTTTACAAGGTATTTTGGAAGTATGAGAGTAGTGGGGAGGGAGTAAGGTATCCATCGAGACTTACCGTGCTGCCATGGTATCCGGAAGTATACGTAGTATGCATAATTAAAGGAGCTCGGCACTGGTAACACTGTTTTTTGATCCATGAAATTCGCTCTATACAGAAGACCTGGGCTGTCCAATAAGCAAATGAGGACTCTTATCACATTTTCAGATCACACCGCTTTTACCGTCACCCACCTTTGGGTATCTACTAACTACTCCTTAAATGATTTTATACGTCGCATACGGAAGGAATGTATTATTTTTAGGCCCTGCATGATGTTCTTACTAGTTTATTCGAATACCTTATTCCCTTTCCTACGTATATTCTTACAACAACCCAATAATCTAACACTTCTCTCCCATCCTCCAGTAACCAACCTTGTCATTACATGTAATGGGACTATCTGCATGTGGTTTTCGGGAAGTTAAGCCAGTTGAGAAACCGGATTTATTAACTCAGTGTCTTTTTCGTGAAAAAGCCATTATTCGGGATGAGTCTTGACCCAAATCGCAACCGTGCTAGGTCGATCGTACAGGTACCAATGACACGGCCCAGGGACTGTGATATCTGGACACTTCCAAGCCTCATCTGTGTCTTACGGTACATGGCAATTGCGCGATAATCCAGCCACACGGAATAGTTCTGAGTTTTCGTTTTGAGAAACATCCCTGCGGCGAGGGCTGACGAACTGTCTCAGTGGCTAAAGCTGTAAGGAGTGTATTGGCATGAGTTGAAGATATGCCATATGGAACGACCCCCTGTCTAGTTCACGGACCAAAATAAAGAAGCAAGACGAAAGCAAGGACGAACTATCCTTCCTCTCGCATATGCATCTCGTTCGCCCCGGATGTGATACCTTCGGGGTGGCTTGCAGCAAATCTGTCAGATGGCTGTTGTGTTTGCCGTGAATACGCGCTGAAGTGTGGATTGTCATACCAAACACTGGACAACTGAAGGCACATATTGCTAAGAATAATTTCGAGTCCCCATTGTTACAAGCTATACTAACCCGAAGCGCCTTGTGTTTCTCCTTGAGATCCCAAACAGAGCCGACATAATTCACTCCTTGGTAAGAGATCGATCCGAGGCTTGCTTTGTGTCATCCGCCAAGCAATTTGGTCAGTGCTGCTTGATTATTTGGCGGGCGGTTAACGCTGGTGATGCGGACAGGGTTGTAATAACACGTACGAGTGATATAGATGGATCTTCGGAGTCCGGACCACTTGAGATGGCCAGATTGTACCTGCATAAAGCAGATACAGAATGGATATCGACTGAGGGTGGGACACGTGCATATCTGTGCTTTTTATTGACCATACCTTCTGTTTTTGGAGATATCAGAGCATAAGCGAGACATGTAGTGACTGATGAGATGTTGTGAAACGCGGAGGGCAATGACTTGAGAGAATTGGACGATAATAATCAACAACAATATTTGCCATTAGTATTGGCTTAGCATCCTCAAGTGGAACCTGGTGGTTCTCAGCTCATTCATTCCATTCCATCTAGAACAGGGACCTGTTTTTTCTTTTCCTAGCTTGTCCAGGTTGTGTGTCTTTTACCGAGGACCCAGCGCATCTCAGAAATCTTCCGGCCGTCCATCCTTCATGACCAGATAAGGACGGTTAGGCTCAGCAACCCTTGCACGCCGTAATCCCTGGAGTGGTTTGTTTGACCGTGCTGGATCCAGCAAAGTGCTGCGAATCATTGGGAGCCAGGATCAGACGTGACAATAGCCACTGCGGCTCTGATTGGAACAACTATCACTGAGGCTTCCAGGGGGCCCTTGTCCTTGTGATTGCTTTAGAATAGAACCCACTTAAGTCAAGGCCACTTACAGACTGTAATGGCCTTTTGAGGGACAGGTCTATAATGATTTCCAGAATAAAACACGTCAATACAGAGATTAAGAGGTGATGTCAAGTATGTGAACAAATGTAGCAGCCACGCTAGTTGAGACCATAAAGTATCACAAGATTAACCTGATTGGAGGATTCAAAGTCGAGAGCAACCCATATACCTAAGATTACACCACGAACATGGTTTATAATGTTGAGCGTCGGTTTGAACTTTGAATAGACAATCCTTCAGGACTCCCTCGCATCCGGCATTCTAGACCTCAATCCCTTGAGAAAAGCTTAGAATAAGAAACCCCTGGCTAAACTGGCGCGTCAATCCAAGCTTTGGCACTAAAATCGTAACGTTATTTTCCACGGGACGGTAGAGTAAAATCTCGCAACGTCCCGTTGTCCGTGTCAGTTTGCGTTCCAGTCGTGTTGCAGTCTGAACCAACTATTTTGAGCATTTGGTATGGAAGGTGGCTAATTTGGATTCTAGACCTTCAAGCCTCCGTTTCAAAATAAACGGTGAATGTTCCTCTGGGCTTTTGTTGGACTTGTTTAGTTTTAGGTCTATCTTAACCTCCACCAGACTCTCTGCTCTGAAGCATCATGACGATCATGACGATAGGAACAAATATCAAAATTATACCCCGCAGCAGCCGCCGCTATGCATCAATGGAACCGAGTCAGTCCAGTTAATTGAACCCTGACACAATCTACTGGACTGGTATTATCCACAGCCATAAAGTGGACGCTTGGGTGGCGCCTT